ATGTTGCAAGATCTCACTCACCAAGAAAGGGAAATAGTGTTTCACGATCAGCCGTATCACCAAGATTCCAGCTGGAGAACAAGGACCGAGAAGGGATCGATAATGGGAAGAGTGAACCCTGAGGAAGAGAGGGAGTGGGCAACCAAGGAGACTTTATAGCCAACCGACAGAGGAGAACGGCCGCAAGATGCGACTGCCACAAGCAACTGCCGTCTCAACCAATAAATCCTTCGACCGACGATCTTGCCAGAACCTCTCGATGCGTGCTTGGGATCATGAATACCCCTCCTAGGCAGGCTTCTTGAAACGGCAAGCGTACTGAAATGGTCCACGATTGGAGGCACAAAGACCTTGGAGCGACATGTCAGAATCGCACTCACCGAATCGGTTCACGATGATTGGGTCATCTACCACGCGCTGACCACGTTCTGTGTTATGTGCTTATGACAGTGCAAGCGGGGGAGTACCTCGTCGATCATCTCTATCGAGAAAACGGAAAATCTTTCCTTCTATTAGCCTGCTCGGCCGTGTATTTTGAAATACCATCGAGAAGACTTGTTAGGGTAGAAAAGTTGAGCTGCAGTCTCCTGAATCGAATTGCCAAACTCGGTATCGATGCTTTTAGCCGCTAGCCACTGATCAGTTTGTCGATGGACGACGGTGACTTTTCCTCAAGAGTCAAAAGAACCATCCGTCAGTGGTAAGGTTTAAAGCCAAGACATGGCTATACGCGAACTCACTGACCTTGACTTGAATCTCCCTAGTGCTTACACCTGATTCATGGACAGGGGAATGGAGCGGACGGATCGCGTCTTGGTCCGTTTTCATAAAAGAATTAAAAATGAACAACTGACGTATTTTGCATGGGCTCAAGTACCCTGTGTTAGGCGCTATTCTAACGTTGCGCGACATTAGCGATGACTGAACCTCAGTGATAGCCGAGTAATTATGAATTTGGGCCTCCATAGATGTTGCATCAGCCGAGTAGCCACAGCCGATTGGCGTAACTGGTCGATCACAGGGGGAAGATGGGCAATATCATGAGCAGGGGTTCAGATCCTATCTGACATCTTCACTTCCAGGCTGTGCGCTTTTGGGCGACCCTATATTCATATCATCTTCATTGGCCGATCAGGGCTTAGTCCAAAGTAACGGAAGGCTGAAGAACTAACTACTAGGAAAACGTTAGTCACAAATTCGCTTCGATCTCACCGTGGGGTTGGCATAGACTGCCTTTGTTTCCCTTCCACGCTGCCTTCATCGCTCTGTTAACGGGTCGGGATCGTGATGGGAATGGGTTAGTGACAGGGGATGGCTAGGGTCGCTTCGGCTCCCGCTCTACTTCGGCATGTAGATCCTGTAGACGGGGGCTTCTCCGAAGTGCAGCCTAGCTATTCACTGGGTGCGGCATGGCAAGCGCACTTGGCTGTCAATCGTCATTCCTTTGGGCTGGTACCTCTGAAACGCTTACTTTGAGTCTGTGCAGGAGCAGAGTCTAGACATCTTTTCCTTCTGCCCATCGCTGTGCCATGCGGCGATCGATAAGTCGACACCGATTAGAGTCATCAGGTGCATAAAAACGATATGAAGGAGGGAGAGAAGCGGAAGCAGAAACAATCCAGTGTTTTGGAAGAATGGTTCGAAGGGAGACAGTAGGGCGATCAAACCCTGTTGAGGCGGCTACACCTTAGCCACGATTGTACATAATTACCTGGACGAACAGATTTTCGCAGTATTTCAGCTCTACAGTACAGTGCAGTCATACTCAGCCTTCAACTTATACTGTATCACACATGCATTCAGGTTCAGACTTTCTCGACAATCTCGCCTCGATCCATTGCGTAGAGATCAGACGAGAGTCAAACTTCCGTCCAGAGACATTTTACTTCGCACTACCACATCATCGAGACCGTTTCTTTGTCGACTCGTTATACGGCGCATTCAACCTCTAAAGCTTCTACATTCCACGGAGGGTGTTGCTGCAAGCCTTGCTTCAGACGTGTGTACTTGGAGCTATACCCGAGAGAGTGGTTTTACGGAGAATGTTGAGTATAGTTGACGGGTGCTGGGGATGGGAGCGAGGACTAGACTTTGCGTTACATCACATCAGACAGGGTGATGAATTCTAGAAAAAAGCATCGCTGACTCGAAACAAAGTAGAACATGGATCACGGAAGCACTCTACAAGGCCCTGTACTTCTGTAGATCATGGTAAAAAAAACCAGCTCTTTCACATGTAAGTCTAGCTCTCTATGTACAAGCTTGATCTTTACTCTTCATGTACTAATTTTCAATATCGGGAAATAAGGAGGATATGCCATCATCACCATCAGCAATAGGAAGGTGTACGTTCTCGATGGAGAGCATATGCTGCTCCCAAACGCGAACCCAATTGTTGAGCCATTTCCAGTCATGACACACATGCCCGGTATTGAAACCGCTAACATCAGCAGTTTCCTTCTCAGCAACTTCAATGGTCAGATCCGGATTGCATGTCAAGTGTAGCCTCAGTAGCTCCACACAATGATCTACGTGCTCTCGACTATGCATCTTGGATGTCTGGTCGTCATATAACTTCGTGTTATGAATCGCTCCACGTGAGGTGATCTGCGGTCCAAAGATTTACTTGGAGGGAGTAACAAATGTATGTCTGCTCGAGGGTAAAATGTACGCAGTACTTGTAACGGCGTATAGTGGAACAACACTCTTGTGCCCAAAGGTAGGGGTCAGTGGGATGAGGATCAACCTAAGCTATATAACTCTTGTATGTACATGGTTGCTCAGTACTGTCAGCCACGCTCAGTCTTGATCAGTGTTGCTTTGTGCCTGAGCGCACTGAGCGAGGCTGACCTCCACTGAGCGACGCTGAGCGCGTCACGTGACTGTTGGTTTTCCAGCCTTGCCAACGAGGCTATCGGGTCCGTTCGCCATAGTTTCCTTTCTTCGTAGTTGCGCATGGTCACCTGAAGGTCGGGTCGTAACACTAATGAGCGTGGCGAGCCTTCGTCTGGCGACTTATGATCGGGCCCGCACCAGGCCGTGTGTGACATAAAACTACTTCGACCGTAAACCGCCTTACGTGGAGCGATTCATAAGAGTTTACCACGAATTTTGCCGGCTCGACATGTGGTCGCTCTGCTGGAGGGGAGGAAGATGAGGAAATTGAGAGCCTGAGGACTTGCTTCATGCGGCATGAAAGAACTACAGGGTTTGGGCGAAGTTGGTATCGAACGAATGAATGTAGTTAATTCTACGAGTGCCAATACGTCAAGCACTCCGACGAGCTTTGGCCGATCAGATAACATCTGTGGAAGTGTTCTCCTACAGCAGCCTCAACGTCTGTATATGGAAATTTAAGCCCCAGTCCAACACTTCATCCTTACTGCTCCTGGTGGTCTCTGCATTTGCAAACAGGTAGAGGGAAACCGCGTGGGAGAAACCTCTACCGAGACGACCATGCGGTAGCCTTGACTAGTGGCACCGTGGTAAGAGTCAACCTTTTGCATGTCAAAATTTTGTAGCATGTCTGAAGCAGAGCGAACTGACAATCGAGTAGCCGTGTCTTATCCTTCGCTTCACTAGCAAGTGATGCTTGGGTCTGGACTGCGTTTGCAGCCACCATAATAGTTGATGTACTGCCCGTCGAAAGCTGGCTGTTCAGATTTGTCAACTTCAATGCTCAAGGTGCAACCCTCCACTTTTTGCAATGCCTCTGCGCTTCCCTTTCGGCGAAACTGCAGCTAAGATAGTCTTTGGAAAGGGGAAAATCATGTTGAACAGTTGCAGATCGTGATGATAAGGTACGTACCGCATCGGCCGCGTCCGTAGCTTCCTCCCCACGAGTCTGCAAGGTTCCCGCAGCGTTCTGGTAGGTCAATCGAGTCAGTGTCAATCTCATCTCAAAAATGAAAGCAAAACTCAGAGCGGCCAGCAAGATAGAGACTCTCATGAGCACAAGAGCCTTCGACCACTAATCTCCACAAGGGTGGGTTGCGTTGTACCTGGACGGGAGCAGCCATAGCCACAGTGAGAAGGGCCAGCAAGACGACTTGAATGAGGTGCATAATTGCGTCGAGTTGTGTTATGTCGAGCAAGGCTTCAACTGTGCAAAATTTGTCTGCCTTCGGTAATGCAGGGCTTGAACAGACAATATAAACATTGTAGGTTCGGCAAGGTTACATCAATCGTCGGCCATGTGAAACCGTGGCTACTCGGGAACTGCATACATTGATCGTATCCCTGTTTAGTCTGCATATTTAGCATGATTCCTGGCTGGGCGAATCCTCCAGAAGGAAGGTGACAACGGCGTGAGTTGTGGAAGATTTCGAGATATAGGTCTAGTCGGTGGACTCGGATAGTGCTGCAACCGATGCCAACCACTGCTACCCACTTCCTGAACAGGTCTCGCCCGGCAGAATGACAGTGGGCTTGGCGTTTATGGGCCAGGTTTGGGGCTTTCATTCCTACGCCTTCTTCTTATGACTCCGCAGGTCGCTTCCACTGGTGTGGGCATTACATGTGCTATTGGGCTAGCCATCTGCCATTTTGTGCACTCTGACTGTTGCCAGTCTCTTGTCACTTCATCATGTTACAGTCTTTTCGAAATTTCTCGCTCGCTCATCACTCTATTGCTATGAGCCTCTTTCGACACTTTGGCTACGAACCTCTAGCAGAGAGCGAGCAGAATCAAACTCTGCCAGAGACAGAGATGAAGGCGCCTGCAACCGTTCGAAAAACCCCACCCTTTTTCTCCTCATACAAGCGAGCGACTGTGTTTGTCGTTTGCGTCTCGTTGATAATTCTCCTCCTCCTCTTCCTTGGTCTTCCTTACGCCAGAACTGGATCAGTAAGAGATCAAGACTTTTTGAACCAATGTCAGTGTCTTTTCAGGTCTCATACAGCGCAGCCGGCTCATGATGCACAGTGCCTCCATCACCAACAGACATTCTGTTCCAGGAAGATCTGAGCTGGTATGGCAACGATGCCGAAACAAACCTCAAATGGGAATCGACCTATCTTCAAGGCCGTGCTATCGTTGTCCACAACCCCAGCCTATATGGCTTTCCCCCTGGGATGCCTATGAACAATCCGAGTCCTCGTGTCCAGAGATACGGTGTATCTATGTGGCATCAGCTACATTGTCTAGTGTGTGAAGTCTTCAGAGCGTGCGGCAGCAGCTATTGACTGACGGAATGTGCAGGCAAGCCTTAGAGCAGCTTTCACCAACCAATCCTTTCCTCATGATCACCATCTGGCCCGGGAGTTGGCAGTACCCAAAGCGAGATCCTTTAATAATAACGCTTGGGTCCACCTGGAACATTGTTTCGACTATCTTAGACAATCCATTCTGTGTGCCGCTGATATGACGATAGAGTGGCCTCATCTCGATGAGGATGGTGACCCTGAACCCTTCGTGGACGGGTGGGATGTGCCTCACAAGCATTGTAGAGATCCCCGAGCGGTCCAGCAATTTATGATAGACCATGATAGATAGGAGTACAATTCTCGCTGGTCGAAGAATCAAGGCGAGTCTCATCTAAAAATGCCGAGATCCACACAAAGTATAGTCAGATTTTGCCAAGAGGTCAGGCAGCGCCAATGGGACATAAGTGATGAGGGCGTAGCGTAGATAGATCGACCAGCGTGCAAGACTGGAAGACGAGACCCGCCATCAGGATTGAACACGCTTTAAATTCTCTCTTGCAGCCGACAGTCTCAATCCAGCTTGTTACATTTCACAGGTAATGGCTCCCAAGAAAGATTGGCAGTCCTCCATGCCTGAAAACGTCGAAGATGAGGAGAGGCTGTTGCCTTCAGACGTGGCTCAGCCTGCTGCCAAAGCACCAGCAACGTCGCGGAGCTTCCTGGCATGGGTAATCGTTCTACTCTTTCTTACTTTTTCACTTATCAGCAATATCATCCTTATCCGTGGTCCGTCACTTGACCGAGTTTGCGCGGACTATACTTCACAATACCGTAAGTCAAGTAAATTGTGACTGTGAGCGTGGCTGACGAGGTAGGCTCTCCCATGCTCGATGAGGTCGACATTCGCTACAGCACGGTTCAGTTTGATGGAACGTTCATGAACCTGTCCATCTATGCTCAACCTCCAGGGTCAGGCGTGGACGAGGCATGGCTTGCACTGGGTACAAATTGTAGGTCGGATCGCGGAAGAAGAAAAACATCACGACTGAGACAAACTCTACCAGACCGCCAGGTTATCGTGCCCGAAAACCAAGCGGAAGCCGCCGGTCTATCTCCTGGACAAGTAAAGAGGCGGGAAGATCAGGGAGGTGGCTACATCACCAACGTCGAAGCTTTGCACCATCTGCATTGTCTTGTAAATGTCTATCGCATGGACGGATAGAGTGATTGCCTGACCAGTGTGCAGAACCTCCTGCGTCAGTCTTCGCATTGGTATTACGAGCACTACAAGGAGCAAGGAGAGGGCGCTTTTGTCAACGATGAAGACATTGTTCTGATTCACCACGGTAAATTTGATCCCGACCCCACTGCTTGAACACTGGCTCAACCTGTCGAAGGGCACTGTCTCGATATACTTCGACAGCAGATAATGTGCACCGCCGACCACGGCGTGTTCGGCCAATGGTGGGTGCACGATGTTGGGCCTTTCGTCGACTTCAATACAAAACACAAGTGTAAGAATTTCGAAGATATCAGGCGGTGGGCCGAGATTCACCAGATTGACTATGAGGACCGAGTACACAGAAGACCGGGCGATGTAGTTCTCCCACGCATTCCGTAGCTCAATGCCCAAGACGACTGCGCTCAATATCACGCACTTCCTCTCCCGCTCCTTTGCGTCCCAATGACGGCCCTCCTCCGAGGATACTTGAGCCCCGGAAACAAAGTAGCAGTGGCCAGGCCATTGAATGTACCTTGTTTACGTGCTAGGCTCTGCGAAATGATACATGATGTAAGACCCATGGCGGCCTTCTGATGTTAGCTTTCCATTGGTGCTATCAGGCCTTCGTGAGTACGAACCAATACACCAGTGAGGTGGATCATGCTTGTCACAGTGCTCGTCCGGTGGAAAGCTGGTCGGAAGAGGGCGGGCGAAAGTGGCCATGACGAGGACTAGCAGGATCAGTTGACAAAGATGACTCTTCATTTCCAATAAGATTCGAGGGTATGCAGCTGTGAAACAAGGCAGTCTTAGGGAGAGCTCGAGGAGAGAGGCCCAAAGACTTTGTAAAATGACCTCCACGACTAAACACGCTAGACTACCTAGTTTCTACCGCCATTAACCAATTGGCGCGTTGGATGCAGTCTGTGGGACACTCAACTATGTCCTTAGTCTATCGCGACCATGGCCTTGGTTGAGAATGAGGTCGAAGTCAGAGAAATGTAACGCTCTGCTTAGCCGGTCTCTCGGGGAATTACTCCTTGTGAAATGCTCCACCAGGCTCGCATGCTTCGCGCCGTTTTCTTTGTTGAGGAGACGGGTGGCAAAGTACGAGTACCTATTGTCTTGTGCACTAGCTTGAATGTCGGCCGCCGCCCCCGCCTGCCCCGGCCCCCCCCGCCCTCTCCCCCGCGGGAACCACAACGGCAAGTACGGGATATACCGACTTCGCTTGAGATGTGTGTCACCGCCCCATTTCTAAACCTAAGTAGGCAAGTAGGTTGAGGTGACGCTATGATGGGTCCACAGCGGGCGGTCCTTGCCTATTCTCTTTCCTTGGCACGCATATACAGAATTTGAAACATGTACTTCTCCTGGCGCAGTCGTATCTTCGTGCACTCTCTCCTAAAACGGAGCATGCAACTGTTCATTGGGTCCTCGCGGAAACAATGACCGCTACGATATCATGATGGACGAGTGGCTTCCCGAGCAGCGCTCTGATCAGGAATGTTACGAGAGACGCTAACGCTGCATGAGCACGACCGCTTGTTTCGGGATTCCAACCTCGGGGTAACTACGAAGATGACAGAATTTCGAGACCGCGACTCCCAAATTGCCTTGAGCAGGTTGGAGTTTCACGTCCCGCGATCTGCCTGTCTGATGCGCTTGTAGGAGCGTGCTAATGATGTTGTGGACAGGAAGAGCAGGTAGATCCAGCACAGGGTTAGTGCCAGAATCTCCTGCGGTAGCTGTATGGGTTGCTACAAGATAAGCTTGGCACGCCGCTCCATGCGCGCTCCTCTCCGCGTCTTACTTGGGCAAGAAATTGTCGAAGACCGAGACATGCTGCTCAACTCTGCGATGGTTGTCCGAAAAGACGCTATCTTCGGTCAGCAGACCCAGCATTATCCCCGAGCGCTTCGTGTCGCCTCGTGCCTCTTATGGACTGGCCAGCCCTCCTGTGACAACGAGGCGATGTGGAGTTGAAGGATCTCTGGTGCTTCTCAAACTGACAGACACCAATTTCTGCACATGGAACAGACCATGTCCATGATGGGAAGCTAAGGAAGATCTGCTTGGCTCGTGTCTATGTGATTGGTGCCTACGTTGACCTCGATATGACCAAACACTGAACAAGGTGAAGGCTTTCTAGTGCATGCAGAAGCTTACGCCCCTCTCTCGCTTCTACAAGAGCGGATGCATTGCGATCAAGATCCAACACGGTAGATGAGCTTTGATGTGCCGGTGGCTGACAGCCTCTTTCAGGCAGTGCGTTGGTAGGTGGACGGATAGTGGGGAAAGGGTCCCAAAGTCTACCTAGGCACTCACTCGAAGTTTATTTGATATCATGATCGTCGTACTCGGCCTGAAGCGGGCCCGACCGACCTGTCTTTAGTGCTGTGCCTGAATTCCAAGTTCTTTACCGAGTAGAGGATTGTGGCTGACGTTACTCTCCATCACGTCTTAGAATTGGCAGGTCAGACCCCCATCATCGATTCGGTGCGGCAAGCTGTCTCTAGCCTCCGCTGCATATCGAGCCAACCATCCTCGTGACACGGTCCCCTTCGAACCAATACTGCAGCTATGACGTTAGTGGACGACTTTACTTGGAGAAATCATTGTGAAAGCAAGAACCGCTCCTTACTGCCACTTACTTCAGCAGTCTATCTCGCTTCACTCACCAAGCCAGTCCCTTTGACCTCCTTTTCAATCCCTACTCTAACTTGTCATGGCAACCAAGTCACCGGAGAGCATTTATGGGGAACATTTAGGTGCTTTGCAAGCCCTTTGTGCCTCTCATTTCCCGATTCCACCACCGAGTCTAGAACGGATTCAAACCGCGATTCTCACCTCCACAGAAGGGACCGCTCTGCAATCTGCCGAAGAACGAACCGCTATTGCTACGTTAGCCACTGAGGACTCAGGATTAATTGTGCTCGGTATCTTTGGTGCCATTTGTCATCATTTTGGCGAGGATAGATTTCTGGGACCTTTTATCCAGTATCTCTGGGAGCTTCCGGGACAGCACAACGTGTCAGAGCAGAACTACGATTGGGAAGAACTCAGACCGCTGTTTAAGAACATCCTCTCTCGTTCCGAGTATGTGGTTTGCTCCAATGCAATCAAGCAAGCCACTGCAGGCCATGTTGGGGAGGACGCAACTCTAGTACATGGACAACCAGCACTGATTGTGGACGCCTTGCAATGCATGATCCGTCAGCAGCAAGGAGAGCGTCAGCGGGTGTCCATGTATATGGGAGCAGATGCAGCTTTCATCACAGCCATGTCTGTTTGGCTTTTCGATCTTGACGTCGTGCTACTTGCAGGGCAAGGGACCATGGTTTATTCATCTAAGGGTAGCTCTGTGGACGAAGCGCAAGTGACCGTCTGGCTCAGCAATCCCGGGCAGCCCTGTAACTGACGGTTTTCTCAACCGTAGCTATTCCACCGCTTTTATCTTCCTCATCTCGGCTCCACACTTTTTAACATGTGACGGACCTCTTCCCTGACAACCAACTCCGCTTACAGCCACCGCTTGCGAACTGGCAACACTAGGTTCATCCAACATTAGCCTGGAGATTCGTTGCAATGGTGTCAACTCGGAGAAGGGGTCACATACCCTCACAAAGGCCTCGGACTCTCCATTTTCCGGACAATCAGAGTTTTGCTGTGCCCAATCAGTGTCAAAGAGCATCTTCCAAAAATTGTTGAATTTTCCGGGCAATCGTCCGTACCTGGCAATCAAAGCTGCCACACACTCCACACGAAGCGGTGCAACATTGGGTCCAACTGGCAGCTTCGCCGGCTTCGGCACGATCCATAAGTTCTTTCGGGACCTGCACTGCGTCCAACGGGCTTGCTTGGACGGCTACAAGCTGGTGCAATCCAGTGGCGAAGAGGAGGAGTGCTACTTTGGCGAGCATCTTATGACCGGCAGGTATCGAAAACTTCGTTGTCCTTTACTTGTCGACTGGGCACAATTGGCTTCTATTTTGAAGGGTGACTTCAGCATGAGGACAAACGTCTCTCTTATAACAGTCCGCTCTGTCTAAACACGGTAACATCAAAGTCATCGATTTTTTGCGAATATCGGTGGACTAGTCTTAGCGGCGCTAAATCCGCGTCCCTCGAGCTTATGATCGAAGGCTCCGACCGGATTGTTCTTGTCACCATGGAGATCCACATTCTAGTATACTGATATCGATCCTACTGTACGCGCCAAGCCCCCCGAGGCCTCCTTTCCCATGCGGATCCACAAGCAGATTGGCGCAGTGTCGGACATGTTCCGCGCTGAGGGAGTCAGAATCGACCAATCGTTTGTCCTTCAAGCCATCCAGCAAAATGATCCACATGTAGATACAATGGCGGAGGTGAAACTTTGACCGAGTGAAGGCTGTGCCATAGTCTCCCAGCCTTAGCTCGTCGAGAGTCATGGGTGTAGTGAGGTTGGCGTCTCGATACCACTGATCCTGCTCCTCCAGCAGAAATTCCTTGGAACGTTCCTGGTAATAGCAGGCCGGGGGAAGCCACGCAGCCATCATGATGTCGTATTTACATCCTCGTGCCTTTGCCGTAGCAGCGGAAGTGCCGCAGCTCGCCGGTGGATCGGGCCCGGTTTGTGGCTCTCTCATGGACCACCCACTGGCAAGCGTGTTGGTGAGGACTGCTAGGACTAGCAGTGCCATGGTCAAGAATATCGCAGGACGCAGCCATGCTCGTCGCGCTGGTTTCTCGGCCGATATCGCCATGGGTAGTGATTCGAATTCGTCTTTGGTTTCGGGTTTGTCGAATGCCATGTCTCGTTCTCGCAAGCTTTGGTATGGGCTGACATACCTTTCGAGTGATACGCCCACTTATACCTGCTTTTGAGGGTCTAATGCCCATGCGTTCTTGTGGAGACATTCAAAGTCCCAGTCCCAAAATGGAAGGTGCGACAGGCCAGTGGTTGTTGCCTTCGCATCCTGCAGTAGACAGCAGCGCTTGAGGCGGATGGTCAGCATAAACGACCTTAGTGGTCTGATGCTTACCCAGATACCGCCGAAGCCCGCTCTTGGACTCAGGTCGACTCGCCTCGGCTGGGTCGTCGCTTGCACACAGCGTTACCTTTCCACAGAGCACTGGGCAGCAGCTGCCACCGATTTGACCATCCACTACCGCCTCAATTGTCGCAGAAGAGGTTCAACAAACATGGACGAAGAAAACGATATTGAACAGACATCGAAAGATGACTTCGAGTCGCTCCCCCTGATAAACGATTCCTCGCACCAGCAACAAAGATACTTCACTTTGTCGCCTACGCTGTCGGTGTGGACAATCACCACGATCATCTTGCTCATAATCCTGTTGACCACACCCTCATCTCTGAACGAACACGAGAACCGCCATAAGTCGAGCTTGTCGCGAGACCGGAACTACATGACACTCGATCACGATGCTGATGGATATTGGGAGGACTTCTTGGACGATAATATGGGGTTTATTCAGACTGAGTCGGGCAGCGGACTAATCACGATGTAAGTTCCTATCATTACCTGCGTTTCAAGATGCCAATGTCCTGCGTTCTAGGTTCCATCAACTGCACTGTCTTGCCTCCTTGCGGCATGCGCTCCAACAGTCCCAAGCTGGCGAAGCCATCGGCGTGGACTGGAGAGACAACTTGCATTGGCCTCACTGCATGGACTACCTGCGCAGCGTATGTTCACGCTTGTGCTGCACTCCAGCGGACTACTGACTTCCGGTGTCACAGACATTCATGTGCCTAGCAGATGGCACGATCGAGCGTCCGAAGGCTTTCATTATCAATGGAACAGAAAGATTCTTGATCGATGGCACGGACGACGAGAGAAGCTGTGGAGATACTTCCGAACTATTCGCACTGAGAGATAGGCAGCGAGCTCGCTATCCGGCCGATTCAGGTTCATAGTTCATCATGTACACTTTGCACAGCTTCTGGGCTTTCTCCCGACCGCTGCGAACCATTGTGGCCGGTCTCCTTCATCATTCTGACCTCTTTCACAAACTTGCTCAACGATTCTGCCGTTGGAGGGAAATCTAGAAACTCGACTGGCTCTCCTTTAGCTCTGGCGAGAAACAATTTGATCGTTGGGAAGCCCCTTAGCTCATCGGGGACGTCGTTTGCTTCGGCATCGATTTTGGCCGCGACTATCTCCAACCCAGAGGCGTTTGATGCCGCGAACTGTTCATATACTGGAGAGAACTTCTTGCAGTGAGAGCACCAGGGAGCGTAGTAGTACAACAAGACATCGGCTTGGTTGCGAAGCACGAGCTCGTCGAACGTTTGTCCTACGACAATAGTTACCGGACCATCTTGTGCTTCCGGCACGGGTTGTGACTTGATCTCGGCGGCGATGTCACCGTTGAGAATGCCTTGGACAAAGGTCTCGATTCGTTTCGTCGTCAGTGCCTCTGTTGCTGCATTGAGGGTAAATTTCTGCGTTTTGAAAGACCCTTGAACAGCGATGGCCGGCCATACGTCAGCTTCGAGGCCTAAGGTCTCTGCAAACCCGCCGAAAATGGTTGCGTTGCCCAAGGCAAAATTCATGTCGCGCTTGAAGCGCGGGGAGATGGGTCGGATGAGGTCGATCAAGATTTCTTTCTGCTCTATATCCTCGAAGAAGAGGTAGGCTGAGAACAGTTCGGACTGATAATTGTTAGCATGCGCCATCTGTCGTGTGGAAAACAGCCATACCGCCACATTTTCGACATAGACCTCTTGGGTGAGTTCGGTCAGATGGGGACGACCATTAATATTGACGAAGTCGACGATCGAATCAACGCTGAAGTCGCCGTCATATACGACTTCCCGCTCTAAGAGATCTCTCTGCTTGTACATGGTGATCGAAGGAGTCGCTGTCTCTGTATCATTGATGATGCCAAAGACATGAGTGGACGACCACAGCGTTTCCGCCGCTGTTGAAAAGACCTCGACATACTCTCCGTGTTCTTCACCGAAGCTTCCGACGACAGCAGTGCCGGTAAGATCGATCAAGTCTCCGAGACCTGCTGCCGTGAGGCGCGAAACCAAAGGGTTGGAGATCTTAGAGACAGTCCGCACAAGCCTGGCCATACCTCAGCCTTGCGATAAAGTCTATACAGCTCGTCATTAGCTTACCCTTCTACCGTCCGGATGCCGTGGTAAGATTCGTATTTGTCGACACTGTGAAAAATCTTGAGAGTGTCGTAGCCATCGATTTCGTAGGTCTTGCAGAGAGCTTCGTCCGCTGAGCAGTCGACCTTTGCCATCCAAGCCGACCTCGACCCCAGTTGAGCAGCCGCCTATGCACATGTCAGTCATGGGTCAGACTGAGCATTTGTCCCCAGCACCTTTTCATATTGTGGTTCCAGCAGTTGGCATCTGGGGCTTTCCGCGCTGAAGAATTCGATCAACGAGTGTTCAGTGCGAGTGACAAAGTCATTGAATGTGTCCGCCGTGAGAACCTGGACCAGCGATGAAGTTGCAAGCGTGTTCGCAGTCGATAGGGCCGCGAATAGGCGAATCAAGTGCTCCATGTCGTCGTCCGATATGTTCCTGTTCAATTGTAGTACTTCGCGGCAGAGCTTATTGACAGGCGCTCCAAGAAGAAGGGGGAGACATCGGCGTCAAAGCTGCAATTGACAGGCCATGGACTGATCCGAAATGCGAAAGGTACCTTCCCCTTTCGGCATGTTGGAATTCGTCTGCATTACATTCGCTTTGGGTATCTGATAGAGCAGATCCTGGACGATTGTTAGCTTCAAACGCATTTGCCATTTTTCTAGTGCTTACTTTCGGGAATGAGGCATCTTTGCATGCAGTAGTATCATGGAAGAGCGCATTTCTTGGAAACATGCCCTAATGCAGGCAACCGGCAATATGAAATGACCCACACTTGGCATTAAGGATTTACTGAAGAGACGCGCGAAGGATGCAGGTGTAACAGCGGGGTCAAGGAGCTTGATAGCAACGACGCAGGAAGCGTGATGGTCAAACAGCGAGACCAGGTAATTTCCAGGAAGGGGACACCAGGAAGCCACACATGCATGCTGGACGCTGCGGAACGAGAAGTATAAGATGGAGAGTTTTCGTTCGTAGGTGCGAATAGTGTCTTGTCTGTCGTCTAGACTCTCTTTCGTAACTCATCAGGCCAGTACCATTTCGAGCACCATGAAGTTCACCACTTCCTTTATTCCTATCCTGGCTGCGTGTGGATACTTCTGGACTGTGCAAGCTGTCCCGTTGGACGCAGTGCCGATCCCTCGGGAGTTCACCCTCAGCGCCCTGGGTCGCCGCGGTATAGAGACCCTAGAGACACGTCAAGACGTCAGGAAAGCATGTTGCGTCGCGTCTTGTGGAGTCTGCCAACAAAAGGGCTGTGTTGTAAGAAAGAATCCTGACCCTAACCCTACTTCACGGAAGAGCAACTGACTCTGAATTCTAGGACAACGGCAGCTGCATTGACAGCAGCACATACAATCGTGTACGGTGTACTCCATGCTTGTATCTGTGTCGAGAAGAACCCACTGACATCGCTGCTTTACCTCTCTAGTGCTGTAGCTTTGGCCCACCAACCGGTGGATGCAAGCGTGATGAAAATGGGAAACGATCAGTTACCTGCTGAGCCATTGTGCACGCATAGGGTTCTTGTCAAAGAGCAATCACGGAGTCGCTGTGTAGCTACTGCTGTAGGCGAATCGTGGGTGAGCTGGGTTGAACCTTGAAACTGGAAGCTTTGGCGGTCCTGGCAGGTTGCGAGAACTGCTGGAGACCTTGGGCAGTCGTAGAGTTGAACTGACTCCGAAAATATCATTTAAATTTTGGAGACATTTGTGCCACATTCGTAATCTTCCTCGTAAAGACGTGCAGATAGTAGGGTGGGAATGTCTCGTCCTCGCAGACGAAATTCAAGGATCGATCAGCAGGCTAGAGAGAGCGAAAAGTCGACAGGTTCAAGTTGTAGTTAAGGCCAACTCTCGGTTTTTGCCTAGATAGACACGTGACACTCTGAAAGACTCGCGTTCTAGCGTGTCTAACTACGCGATTGACCTACATACTGATATATACCTCTGGTGACCAGACAGTCGATAAAGGTCGATCATGAGTCTTCTCATTAGGCAGAGGAGCTAAAGCTTGCATTCGCTTAGCTCGACCTCAAACGACGAGAACGACGACGACGCAGAGAGAGGGCAGCTAACACACTAAGTTACAACCCGCAGCGGTCGCCTCAGCAAACCCTCACGTCGCGTCGCGCAAAATATTACACCCGCCGGCACACTACTAAGCGAGCGGATATACTGTTGTTACCCCCGATAAGTAAACTACTTGGATTATAGACCACCTCTCGTGGAGCGATTCATAACATTATAGATAACCTATATGTTACGTATGATCTATCGGCGATGGGCCAACTCCGATATCGATGGTAAAGATATATAGCGGCTTCTGCACAAAGCTCGTACCATTGTTGAAAGGAGTGCCTCGATTCAGTTGAGCAGCAGGCATCCAGAGCTTGCCATGGGTATCAATCCACATGGCGTCAACCCAGAGTAGTCTGGGATCTTGCACCACTAGCACAAATCAGTAAAAGGAATTTGATGAATGGAAAACATACATGTAGTCCAGGTCCCATTCGGTGCGATCTTGATGATTGCCTGTCGGTCAGTGTCGCTGTTGTATATGTAACCGTCCGCGTCGATGGCGGTTCCGCCTGTGGAAGGCGTCAAAGCAAATGGCTCAGGATACTGCGAGAGAATACTGGCAAATGAGGAATTGTAGTATGCCTCGTTCAGATACTGCGTCTTGATTCGAGACATGCCACCTCCGCAGGGTTGGTAATAATAATACTGTCCATCCGGTGAGACTTCATGTTGGTCGGCATAGATGTATTGAAATTCTCCTTGGGAGTTGTGCATAAGCTTGCCTTCACCGGATGGTGGCATGAAGCCTTTGGTGGTAGGATCATTTTCGAGGACTCGTCTTGCTTCGCCGGACTCTAGATCGATCACGATAAGCGCAGCTGCTCCGGCGTCGGTAATGTATGCAAGGCTGACCGCAGGATTGAAGCGAACATCATCGATTAGACTAGTGGCAAGTGTGACGTCTGCAGAATTTAGTAAGGCGCATTGTCACTTGTCTGACAGCGTGGTATGTATCAGTTCAGGAATGCTCACTCCCTAGATTGTAGACTCTCTTCACAGTGTTCGTGGTCAAGTTCACTTGCACCAGCTTTGGTCCGTCTGGCAAGATGACTGCTTGGCCGAAGCTTGGAGAACCGGTATCAACGAGCCACAAGGTTCCATTGGGCCCAATCCGAAGTGAATTGATTCGAATCAGATGGGTTGTGGGGTCGCTTCCCACGGTATACGAATTCCATTCTGCGTCCGGGTAAGGCGTGGGATCGCTATCATTGTGCCACTCAGCGACCATGGGGCCTGTAGAACCATCGACTCGAGCGTACAAAACGAAGAGGCGTCCATCTGGCGTAGTGCTGACACCATTCACAGGGTGCTGAAGAGTGAGAGCGACTTGGACACGCGGGTCTTGAGAGGAGCTAGTGTCGGTGAGGGCAAGCAGCATGCCCAAGAGAAGAGTACGAAGTCTCATTATGTCAGAGTTGTGATACGTGGCGGAGCTCGGGTGATAGCTTAAAAGGCTGCTGCAACTTCTTTTAGCGTGGTTCACTATACATATACTCAACGTGCAGAGAAATCATGACGTTGTAACCCCTCAGGGGGGAGTACAAACGAGGTCATTGTTTCGCGTTTCAAACTTGTGTTGTACATCAATGTACATCAATGTGATCGACTGCGGTAAGCCGGAAACGTATGACCGAAGGCTGCTTCATCCAAAATGATCTGCAAGCTCCCAGTTGAGGTTACGACGAACCAATTGTGTAACGCGTTCCTTCGGACACATAAAGCGGGGATGTCGGGGTAAACGGTCTGAGGTCCGACTTGCGATCGGTGTGCACATCATAACATCTCGACTCCAAGATCTGCGTGCAATGAGGTTACAGAAGCCTCCTATGCAGGTCGCCAGATCTGTGACCAATGGTTGCGTCCGCGGCCGAATTGGCCGTGGGAAGTCACCTTCCGCTCAAGTGTGACTGCTGAGAATAGGGACCCCGGGTCGCCTCCCGCGCCTGGAAACGGAACAGCAAGCCGTTTGAGCCCGACTTCTGGTATGCTCAGCTCACCTGTAATGAGATTGCTGCAGTCGGGGACGATGGGAGAGCTTGAAATGCTACGGAATGGTGCAATGGAAGGGTCAGTTGCTGAAAAGCTTCTTAGACAGGAGAGAAAGGGGACCGATTGCGGATGTATGAAGATTGTACCAGGTGTCGGAGGGTTCGCGGAAGATGCTACGCTTGTGGCTGGATCAGTATACAGTATCAGACGCCAGTTTGTCGAGAAGCTGTCGAAGACTACCCCTCTTCGTTGTGACGGTTTTGCGCCTTCTTGAAGACATTCGATGACTGCTTAATTTTGTCCGATACTTCCTTGTTCGTTTCGATATGTGACGGCTGTAGTGGCATTGGTGTTGGCATTGATCGGCCACATGCGGGTCTTGATACCGGCAGCCGAAATCGCCAGAGCCTGGCTGCTGATGCTGTGCGGCTGAAATCACAAAGTTGGGTGTCATCTTGTGGTTGGACAGGTGGAATGGGAATCTAGCCAGATGCTCTTCTTGGGAGAGACGCTTGATCTTATTCCATGTAACCAGGTCATTCGCGCTGGTCGACTGCAAGATCCGGACTCATAGGCTTTGACTTCGACATGTTGCAACACAACACAGCTCTAATTCGAAGCCTTATTGTGTATGGGTGACTCGCTGACGATTTTCCGGAGCGTTTTCAGGACTTTCGCGTGTACCTCCGGCACTTTGTGAGTCCTACAAAGGTGGCGAGATGAAGACCATCAGAAGTGAGGTCGTGTCCGTTATAGGCAAATTTCGAGCGTGACTGGGATAGTATAGAGTCCTTCGGGTCCGATAGCAGGTAAACGGGATATCTGATTCCTGCTGAATCTCCTCGACAGCTCGCGAAGTCCGCTGCAAAGCTTGAGAATTTGTCACAAGAATAGCAACAGCTGCAGACGTCGCCAATGGGTCTAGCATTAAGGAATCCACAAGTTAGCATACTACTTACAAGAGTCTCTTCTTTCGCCTCTGTGACGACCAGGGTAAGCAGAGGCGGATTCGAAGGAGCCACGGCCGAGAACTCGGCACAGTCGAATTATGGCGGCACTCGGGTGCTGCGAAGACTGCCAGGCTTGCCCCGGCTGCCTCTGCCACCGGGAGTGCCGTCAGCAGTTTTGATCCTCGAGCAGTAGGCTGTTGCCGTGTTATTCCAGAAGAGCTTAACGCGCCCGGAACGCTACGGTTATTATTCGGACCCCATGTTTTGGCAAGTGGAGCGAGAATGAGCAATCGACACTGTCGACGCTAGACACGTTCTCATTCTCAGGTGAAACCGAGCTGTCGTCCGTCTACCAACGCATCGAGGGCGCAGCAGGATGTCTCGGCGTCCACGCGGCCAAAGAGCTCTCTGACAGGAATAACACAAATCAACTCCAGAATAGCAGTGAAACGGCCAATCCCCGCCTTGGAGATGACGTCGTCGATATGAGATGGACTGGGGTTTACCTGAAGGAGTACAGAGTACTCGTGCTCAAAATGGCGACGTCTGCTGGACTTGTTCCGTGAATCTCTCTCTGTTTGTATTCTGCTACCGCAGTGGCACTCACATACCATCACAATGCTCTCCTTTTCGGCATTCGGTCTACTCGTCCTCACCGTCGGTCCTGCTCTCTGCATTCCTCCACCAGACTTTGGCTTCCCAGAGGCTCCGAATGATACAGCCCTCGCGGTCACATACCCGAACAATGGCAGTCCACTTGTCGTCGCAGAAGCCCAACTCTTCGGCGTGACGAGTAAGCCCCTTCTCCAGTCATAGCGTGCCGGCTGGCAACTGACGCTGCGCAGTCCCGTCTCAAGAACCTACCGTGGCCGTCGATCCCTCTAGATTCGAGTCCATCGCAACCTACAATGGTTCCTACACCCTCATCATGGTCGATCCCGATGCCAGATACCCTGAAGAGCCCACCTCCCGATTCATTCTCCACTGGCTGCAGACCAACATGACAACCGCTCAACAAGCTGCGGACGGAACCACTCAACTCATCAATAATACCCAGCCACGAGCGCCATACCGGGGTCCTGGGCCCCCAACGAACTCGTCCGCCCATCGATACATCCTGTATGCGTTCTTCCAGCACGAAAATTTCACATTCCCGCCAGCTTTCGAAGGTTACAATGCTACAAACCGGACTAGCTTCAACCTGACAGAGTTCCTGGATCAGTCGAATCTGGGTCAGACAGCTGCTGCTGCAATGTACTTCTTCGCCAGCAATCAGACCGGAGTGCCTCCAGACTTTGTTGCTGCTGCTGGAGCAACGTATCCAGGCGGGAATGGTGCGATGATCACGGAAGGCCCCGGACCAAGCATCACACCTTCTTCGACGCCCGCCACTGCTACGGCATCGGCGACCGGAGCAAGCTCTGAGGACTCGAACTCCGCCAGCGAATCTGGAGGTGCCTCGGCGACGGAATCGGCAGCATCACCCTCACCTTCAAGCGACGCTGTCAAGACAAGAGCCGGACTAGGTATGGTCATGCTAGCATGCACGTTGATCGCCATGACTTTGGCGTGAGAAGTGTAGAGCGTGTCGGAGATCAGAACGGATTGGGCGAACACGTGGCTATCCAAAAGCGCGTTACGTTTTATCCCAGTAGGCCCCTGCTGAGCCGAAGATTCACAAGACATTCGTTCTTAAGCTCCAGAACCCAGACCACCGATTGCCGAAGCCCAGAATGTGGACTTCAGCTCGCTTTGGTCGTTGGAATTTCATGCTTTGATGCAGGTAGCGTCAACGCTTCTAAAAGTGAATCAAACCTTGTCCGAGCAGTCCACTGCCTTTGTCTCAGGGAGTCCTTGCCCTTTTCCTCCTCCTCTTCCGCGGAGGATTCCCGGTTTCTCAATCTTTTCGGTCCCCAATGATCAGATTGGCAATGAATACCGTTTGTCGTCCCCGGCATCTGCACTCCCTGATATGGTGACATCCTGGAGACTCATACCAGCTCTCCCCCTTGGAATATGATTTGGATCCGTTGTTCTGTCCAACGTACAACATCCGGCTCAGCTCGACCAACACGAATGCTCCAATTTCCGTGTCGAGGAGATGCAGCACCGACTGGGGCAGGGACAATTAGGCCAGTATATGTCATGCCAATGATGGTCGTAGGTTGGTGTTGACAGGCAGACTCGACCTTGACAACTGCACGACTACGCCCAACACCGGCGACGCGCTCTCTGATGACCGTTAATCTCACACAACAACCCTCTGTTGTTTGTCTACCTTGACCGAATTCCGGTCCTACCACGCCAGGTTCATTCCCCGTGCGGACGACATGTTGTAACGTGGAATCATGTATGCTGCACTGCCGATAGAGAGGCTACGGACATGTTCCAGTAATTATATCATGGCACTTCTCGACTCGAGACATTTCCTATGCTGGGAGAACATCGGAGTTGCTTGATTGGACGATTCGTTAGGGACCTCCGTGATCCCCTCCTTCGCCCGCGGATGTACGCTAGTCATAGCATTCATCCAGCATAATCATCCTACTCGATCCGTCATCTTCACTTACTATCAGCCGCGAAACCGTCCTTGGGAAGAAGCAGAAGCTATTGACGCCACGTGAGAGATGCCGAGCCTGAAGATCACTCAGTCCGCCCGTCGATTTCGCCAAGCGAGTTCGCCGCTGAGATGCTTAGCCTGCGGTGTCGAGGCTGAATCTGTTTGGTGGTACAGCTGAAAATGGCTTGCAATCACCCATGTCAAGATATTGTATTAAACTTACAGGCTCACGGATTGCCGACACTAAACAAACAGGCATGTTTACAGAACTTGTTGAGCGCCCAAACTGATTGGCCATCATTCCAGCCCGGCTTTTCTCGAGACAACAGTCCGGCTCTTGGCCAGCCTCGCATGCGTGTTCAGCTATAATAGGACCAGGGCAGTTCCCCTCAGGTGGCTTGGAACACGAGGGACACACGAGGCTTCTTTCAGTGGAAAGAGACGAGCTGAACAAACACCCCTAGCTGTCAGCTCGTATCAGGCTACACTGGACATCGTGGATGACTTATATGCAGCCTGAAGCCTCCCAAACCCATTTTACAGACATTGGTCCTCCACTTTCCTGACCTTCGCCATGTCCATCGCAGCTGGAGATCACCATATATACACCGATGCCATCGCGGTTCAACCGCAGGTGGTCCAATCCAGTGTTCGAGGTCTCGTAACACCAACGGCCATCAGTACAACAGCTGAACCACTAACGCTCAACCAAATTGGGACTCTCATCGGGAAATATGGCCCGGTTCTCAATCTGCACCCTAATGAGAAGTTCTTCAACACTTCCGTCGAAGATTTCCTGAACCATTCCGAATTGATCGAAGTCATCGACAAGAAGGCCAAGAAGACCAAGTCCTTGGGCAAGCCGACCGCCGCGAATCTGCCACAAACGGGCAAGGACAGTCAATACTACCTGCAGCTGAAGGAAGACGGCAAGAAAGGGGATTTGTCAGCGGCAAAAGCATACGTCCGTGCATTCTGGCAGCCTGGAATGCCATACACCGACCTGCAGTTCTGGTTTTTCAACGCGTACAACGGACCAGGGACGCTCCACATTGACGGGCTGGTGATGGACAGCATTACGAGCTCTGGTGATATCAACGTGTCCCCGCTCGGGGAGCACGTGGGAGACTGGGAGATGTGCATGGTTCGCGTCAACAACACCACGCTAAACCTTGACAGTATCTGGCTATCGCAGCACTCCAAGGGCCAGTTCTTCACGGCGGACCAAATTGGGCGGGCCTTTGAATTCCAAGGCACGCAGCCGATCATCTTCTCTTCGCGCAACGGACATGCAAACTTCTCCCGCGCGGGATCCAATCCGACCGAGTCGAGGAAGATAGGAGGCATCCCGGCAGGGTTTGGCTTCTTCGTACGCAACGATACAGCTGTGAGCAACTATAAACTAGACTGCTCCAAGGACTACGAGCTCGTCTCGGCAGACTTTGCCGGGGTCAAGTCACCTAGCTGGTTGACCTATCCATTCCGGTGGGGTCCCGAGGGAACTTCAACCCGCATTAGTCCTGTCACAGTTGCCGAAATCGTCGAGGCCGCCGCAGGCGACGAACTGACCAAGTTTCTGCCTTTCGCTGCGGGAGTTATCCTCGCTGGAGAAATCCTTCCACATTTCGTGAAGGGCGACATCAATGGACCAACTCCCCCAAGTCGACATGGAAGCTGGATGGGCATATATCCTGTGTACTAGGGAGAGCTGGGCCCGGCCGGATGCTGAATAACAAAACATTCAATGGGTAATAGTGCGGAAACGCAGGCTGGTCTAGTGTAATCACGCGAATACATGGGAGACGACAGCTTAGCGTAACAGACTGTGGCTTGACGAGTTGACATCCAAATCCACGCCCTGTCTCCGTAGGTTAATCAAGGCTTCCAGCGGAAAGCTGGATGTTGCCAGTCCAAGTCTTGCAAATCCTTGATCGATAGTCCATTCAGTTCCGAGTCAACATCTCTGGTGGCTCGCTTCTTGTTGTCGTATTTCATCCACAGAAGAAGCATGACAGATAGGAGGAAACAGCTCGACGTCGAAGCCAGATTCAAACCGTTGCCGATGGGGTAGTTCGGACCGTCGAAAGGCAAGTATGACCACGTGGACACCAGGCCTCCGATATTGCCAAACAGCACATTCGTCCCGATGGCCGCTGACCTAGCAGTGTCCGAGATGACATTTGCCGACAGCAATGCATTGCTGATAGCTCCAAACAGGAAGGCGGAAGTAGCCACGAGAAATGTTGCGCCATAACGAGCATCGGCATCTGTCGTCCCGAGGAAGACTGCATAACCGCACATTGTGATCGGAAGAGCGATGATATAGTATATCAGGTAACGACTGGTTTTCCAGCTTAGAAAGGACAGGCCGAGCACGAAAGCTGCACCCACAACGTAGGGTGGCACAGTGTGTAGCTGTTGGGAGACCACGCTGTTGTGCGGGTAAATCGTCTTCACGATTGTTGGTGCAAAGAACGCTAGGCCTTGAGCTGTGATGTTCCCCAGGCCGAATACGACTGCCGTCATGAGTGTGACGGGGCTGAGGATACCCTTTAGTATCTTCTTCGTGGTGAAACCATCGAGAACTTCCGTGGTTGAGGTCCGCTCGGATTTCAGTCGGGCAATGGCAAGATCCTTCTCATCGGGCGAGAGCCATTTTGCTGTCTCGGGTCGATCGGTGAGGGTAAAGAAGGCTAGCAGGCCCAGCCCGCAGGTGATAATGCCTTCGATTACAAATATCAATCTCCAGGTCCGCAAATGGCCCATATGGCCGAGCGTCAAGATTGCAGATGCGAGCAGACCGCCGAATGCGCCAGCCAGCGGAGACATCATGATGTAGCAGGACAATCGAAAGACCAGCTCGTCTCGTCGATACCACCTTGAGAGATAGTACGCGATGCCAGGCAGCATTCCGGCTTCACAGATGCCGAGAAGAAATCGAACGGCGGACGCGTTCTGGATGGTCGTGCTGAACCCAGTGACGATGGAGAAGACACCGAAACCGACAGTCATGCTTGGAATCCACCATCCTGGGCCGAAGTACTTGCAGGCGAAGCTTGAGGGCATCTCAAAGACGATATAGCCGATGTAGAATGCGGAGAGCACCTTATTATAGTCGTAGCCATGCAAACCGAGGTCCTTCTCGAATCCCGCAAGCCGTGCATTGCCTTGAAAACAGGTTAGTGACGGGACAAAGAAACTAAAGATCGAAGCTCACCAATGTTGGCTCGGTCAATGAAACAGAAGAGGTAGACGATAGCAACCGTCGGCACCACAAAGCAATCGATCTTCCTCCGCAGTCTGGCCTCTGCGGCAGCATCCAAGGTAATCAACGGTCGCCCATATCTAGACCAATTAGCCAAATCCCACCAATTCGTGCGGTGCAGACTTGCCTGTCGGTGGCGGTGTGGCCACGTTCTGCCACCTCATGAAGTATCTCACGTGCTGAATCTGCGGTGCCTTCGAACGGGCTCTTCTCGATTGCGACAGGGGGATTTGACGTAACTTGGACTCGCTGTGACTTCTCCATGTCGACACTCGGCAAGATCTGGCAGATCTGGGGACCGCTTGGTAAGGAATTGGACAGGTTGATGAGTACATTGTCTCGAGGACGACGCTGCCATTTTATCTGTTCTCGTCAGTCGTCTCCCTCCTGGGCGTACGCCGTTCGAGCATGCAAGCTGCAAGACAGAAACCTTAGATCGATGTACGCACGACCGAAGTACAGAACTTTGAAAGATTCACTGTGTTGACAGCTATGCGGTGAAGTCGAGCTGCAAGGTCATATCGGCATCAGCGAGCTGAGCAGCAAGCATCGCCCATTGAGAAAGCGCGTCGTGGCATCCAGAGTGCCCCGCACCGTGGCTAAGCCCCGGTGCTTGAAGCGCCATGCAAAGCGACAGCCACTCACAGAAAATCGGCAGGGCCGCTTTGACATCAACATGTGTCGTGGCTACATTTCCATCAACTGGTCTTACGTGAAAGCTCTCCAACGACTCCCTCTCTACTCTGTCGTCGCTTCCGCTATGCGAAAGTATAGCTGGATGCTGCTGTTCTTTACGTGAAGCTGCGCTGGCGATTTGCTGGGGCTTGCTTCATACGGTAGGCAAGTCCACGGCAACAACGGCCACCAGATCTGTCAAGACAAAGACAGTTCAAGAGGCTAGCTATTCCGGCCGTACTCCGTACTTTTGACGGTTCAGACAAAGCTTGACCGCCATGCAGCTGAGTTCTCGACCTCGGTGACTGGATGCAGAACTTCAGTAGCCACGCTCTCGGGGGAGACAAGAAGATGGAGCACGACTGCTATATATCCCACGCTTCGACGTGATGATGATTTTGTTCGCCATCTTTGAGCCAGTAGCCCAGACCTCTTCCAACACAACTCAACTTACAAACACCGGAATAATGGTCATCGCCAACGACGAGTACTCCATTTGGAGGACAGCCCCAGATGCCAGCCGCCTCTGCTACCAGCACTTCTGTTGGCGTGAGCTCTACAAAAGCAACATCCATCCCTCCATCGACTTGACCGACAGACCACACCTGCGCATCGCCGAACTTGCCACAGGCCACTGTCTCTGGGCTATCCAAGTTGCGGAAGAATACCCCCATGCACAAGTCGACGCGTCCGATATCAGCTTGGGATTGCTTCCTCCTAAACCCGACCTTCCAGCAAATCTGTCCGTCAGAAAGTGGAGCTTCTTCGACCCGGTCCCGGAGGAATGGATAGGAGCGTTCGACCTCCTCCACGTGAGGTTGGTCATCCAGCCATTTGGAGGAAATCAAGATCCACGATCTGTGCTGGACAAATTCGTGTCTATGCTGAGTGAGTTCTTTACAGCCGTTGCTAGCTTTGGCTGACCACCTGCTTCAGAACCGGGAGGCTACCTTCAGTGGGATGAATATGACTATCACAATGCCGATAAGAACAATGTCTACTCGGTTAACGACCCAGTCCTCATCCCCAACCCGGAGGTTACCCACAATTCATCCACCAAGGTCTGGAAGCTTATCATGAAGACTTTCCAATGGCCGACTGAGCATTTGGACCGACTAGCCGACTATTTCTCCGCAGCTGGCCTCACGGACGTTGTGGCGCACCGAAAGCGTCCTCCGCCTACCGTATTTCGGGCGTTCTACGAGCACTGGTACGCGCTGATTGCCCAGCTGTTGCCAGTTTTGGAGTCAGTGGATGTTGCCGCGGGACAAGAGGCAAAGCAATTGCTCATGCAAATGAAGAAGGATGCTGTGGTAGATGGCGTGTATAGCGCTCATATCACAAAGTTCGTGGTCGGGAGGAAACCTGAATAAACGGCAAGACAATGATCTAGACAGAGTATACTTACACACTGGGTAAAGTATACCGAAATATTACGTGGCTGCCGGGTTTTGCAAACGAGGTCGATCGCCTGTAATTATATCCTGCCACTTCAGGTTCGTCTAAGCATTTCAGGCACCGCGACACCCTTAGAGGCTTGGATACAGGGCCCCCTGAAGCATTCTGTCCTACCTGAATGACACGCCTCTTACTGCAAGTCACTGTTTCCTTGTCTCTCCTTCGCAATCTTCTCATAGTAGCCTGGTAAGTGTCTAATTTCTCAGTCAGGCTGAAACGCGAAGCCTCACCGTAGCATTGCAGTGATCTGCGTGCGATAGTTCCGCAATCTATACAAACTTCCCTGCAGGTGCGCACAAAGCCCCCGTTCCGTCCAGAGTGCCCAACAACTCAGGCCAAGCCGGATCCGAGGTTATCAAGATATCAGCATCAGTAGCTGTGAGGTGAGCAGGTGAGAAGGTCAGGGTTGAATTGACGGAACATCAAAGCCCATGTGTGTTCGTCAACTCCGCCGTACATGGGGTAGTTCTGGATGGAGTATGCGGACGGATTCCGCAGCCCCGGCGGTGCTCTTCCGATGTGGAGATGCCTCTCCCCGTGAAATGCCCCCTTTGCCCCTAATCGTGGGGCCCCAGGGTGCTCGGAGAGGGTTCAAGACGGCTTGCGGCTGTTCAGGTATATATCTTTCAAGTCGGCATGGCATAAAATCAGGGTTTTCCGGGGATCCCCTTGAAGTCCAACAGGAATTCTCATCATGTTCATCGATCAGATCAAGGATGTACTGCAAAAACTACCCCTATCATACTTACTGATCCTGATAGGGGTGTATCTCGTCGCTCGCCTTGGTCTGAACAAGTATGTAGACGGTCTCAACCACATTCCAGGCCCAACGCTGGCGCCTTTCACGAACCTCTGGCGGTTCTTCATCGTATGGGGCCGTCGTCCTGAACTTGCGCATATCAGGCTACATGAGAGATATGGGCCGTTAGTCAGGTTGGGTCCCCGAGTGGTCTCGGTGTCTGATCCAGCGGCGATCTCGGTCATCTATGCTTTGAACGCAGGCTTTGTCAAGTCGGGGTTTTACCCAGTCCAGCAGACCATTGCAAAGGGCCGTCGCCTGTATACAATGTTCAGCACGACCGACGAGAAATTCCACGCCAAGCTCAGACGGGCAGTGTCGAATGCCTATGCCATGAGCACCCTGGTGCAATTTGAGCCTCTGGTTGACTCGACAACTCTGGCATTCCTTGATCAGCTCGAGAAGAAGTTCGCAGACAGGCTGGGGCCGGACGGCATTTGTGACTTTTCGACGTGGCTCCAGTTCTACGCTTTCGATGTCATCGGCGAACTGACCTATTCGAAGCGCCTGGGGTTCGTCGACCGCGGGGAAGATGTCGATGGCATCATCAAGAACCTTGAGTGGTTGCTGAACTATGCTGCTATCGTAAGTTCATCCGCGAAGTGTTGGGCCGTCATGAATCTCATGCACCAATTGATAGGTCGGACAAATGCCATTCTTGGATCGATTGTTCCTCAAGAACCCTCTGAGATTGTTTGCAAGCCAAGTCGGACTTATCAGCTCGAATACGCCGGTAGCAACGTTTGCCAGGAACCGGATCGCAGCTCGACAGGATGTGGAGAAGGGCCAGGAAAAGCCAACAACTCCATCTGACTGGAAATTGGGCAGGAGAGACTTCTTATCGAGGTTTACTGAAGCGCACCAGAAAGACCCCGAATTTATCAGCCGGGAAAGAGTGCTGGCATTGACTGTGGCCAACATGTTCGCAGGATCGGACACCACTGCAATCAGCCTGCGAGCGATTTTCTATTACCTGTTGAGGAATCCCGACGACATGGAGAATCTCATGAGGGAGCTTTATGAGGCGAAAGAAAAGCATGACGCGAGTAGTCCCGACGGGTCGTTTAAGTGGAACAGCGTCAAGGACTTGCCGTACCTGAGTGCGGTGGTGAAAGAGGGTCTCCGCTGTCATCCAGCAACCGGACTCACGCTGGAACGAATCGTACCTCCTCAAGGCATCACCATCTGTGGGAAGTTCATCCCCGGCGGGACTATTGTGGGATGCAATGCGTGGACTGTGCACAGGGACGGTCTGTTCGGAGCGCGTCCGGACCAGTTTCGTCCTAAGCGATGGCTTGAAGCATCACCGGACCGCAAGAGGTTGATGGAGAACTCCCTGTTCACTTTTGGCGCAGGATCCCATACATGTATTGGCAAGAATATCAGTTTGCTCGAGATGTACAAGCTGGTACCAGCGTTGCTGATGAGATTTGAGGTAGGTAGATGGTGCGCAACGCCCATGGTGCTAGCTGACGTTTATCAGATCGAGTTCGCGGATCCGACGAAGCCATGGAAACTCCACAACGCATGGTTCGTCAAGCAGTCCGATTTCAAGGTGCGCCTTCGGCGGAGAAAGTGATCAGAAGCCACGGTTGCGATGCTCAAGAATACTGGAATGTCTCGGGCACTCAGGGTCGTCGCCAGGGCTACATCCGCAACGTACCATTTTCACACCAGCGCAAGGTCGTTTGCATGCGCAATTCATGATGGCAGTCAGGGTGTGAGTGAAGACAAAAGCACCTTTGCTAGTGAGGACACCAAGGGATGCACCTCGCCACCCTTGACGTTCCAGTCCTTTGGTGCATGGCGGGATGGGCCGCGCAGGGAAGACATCAAGTTGGCATGGCCATACAGTGTTGAATGCTACTGGGTTCCTCCACGGCGCTGGTTGATATCTGCGTATGAGAGGACATGGTCGTCAGAGCAGTGATAGCTTGAGCCTCGGATAAATCGGAAGTGAATTCGGTCAAATCACGTCCAGCTGCCCGCACACACCCCGCCGTGCAGCAGCTCCGTGAGACCCTTGTGCTCTTCTGGCCTGACGTAAACAAACTGGCTTGAACCCCACCTGTCTCCAATTGTTCTTACCATTGAAGTCATCGAAGGCGCCGTAATGCGAATAGGACCGGCAACAGCCTCATCCAACGACCTGAAGACATCATCCCAATGACCTCCCGACTCAGACTATCTGCCCTCTCGAAACAAATCTTCTCTGCCTCTCAATCGCTCTCCGCCGTCCCACGAAGAACCCTTGCTAGCATGTCCCAAACACAAAACCCCTCGGCAGGATGCTGCAACACCCCGGCAGTTGTGAGCAAAGGCTACAAAGAGAAGGGTGAATGGACGACAGTCGATGGATTGAAGACCTATGTTACCGGCCCCTCGACGGCCACTCAGGGCATCCTGGTTGTCTATGACATCTTCGGCTATTTCCCCCAGACTCTCCAAGGCGCCGACATCCTCGCCCACGCCGACAAGGAGCACCAGTACCAAGTCTTCATGCCGGATTTCTTCGAAGGCAAGCCCGCCGACATCTCGTGGTACCCACCAGACACAGAGGAAAAGGGCAAGAAGCTAGGCGAGTTCTTCCAGACGACTGCGGCGCCACCAAAAACTGTCGAGAAGGTCAAGAGCGTGATGAAGGAATTGACGGCGAAGAACTCCGGGATCCAATTCTGGGGGATCGTGGGATACTGCTGGGGCGGCAAGGTGAGTTTCCTGATGCTGTCCCTTCCGTGTACCCGTCATGACCGTGGTACAGATCGTAAATCTGAGCGCTGGAGCTGGCACGCCGTTCAAAGCCGCCGCAGCCTGTCACCCAGCCATGGTTGACCCGAACGACGCACCAAACGTTACGATCCCAATGCTCATGATTCCATCCAAGGACGAAGACCAGGAGGCGGTCGACAAGTACGAAAAGGGTTTGAAAGTTGCCCACCAGATTGAATGGTTCAAGGACCAAGTCCACGGCTTCATGGCCGCAAGAGGTGACCTCGAGAAGGAAGACGTCAAGGCCGCGTACGAAAAGGCTTACCAGCATTTGCTCGACTTCTTCCACAAGCAACTGTGACGCCCCGAGATGTGAAATAGAGTAGCCACAACTGTGCTGCTGGACGGGGAGGACGTGGACCTGACGAGCCGGTGAAGCATGGCTTAGCGCAAAAGTCTATCTCTCGTAGGCAATGCAAGTAGATCGATCCTCTGAGAACAAATCGACTTCGTATGTACAAAACTTGTTTCTTATATTGGAGGAAAGGAAGAATGTGTGACGAATGCAGCAGACGGCACGCTCCCTTACACTCTTGTAAAGACGTCCCACTAGAGCTGCCCTCGATCACATTCTTCCCATTCCCTCGAGGTGCCCGATCGCTCCGTCTCTTCAGCACCATTGGCCCATGATTAATCAAGCTTTGGTCACAAATACAAAGCTGATCAATACAGCTCAACTGCCCAGGTTCAAGACTGGGACGCTGGGCATGCCAGAGTTACCGCGCGCCTCTTCTCCAGTAGTGCCTGTGCTACGATTCAGCACGAATGGCATCAAAATAGCAGCCTATGAGTATGTGCCCATCTCGACTTTCCTCAGCAGCCATAATAAGTCGTTGAAAAGCAGTGACGGCGGTCGGTTTGCATTCTTCTGCACTGGCCATGCCGATCCATCAGGTCAGAGGGTGATGAGGTGGGAAATTGCGGTTGCCACCCCCCTTTATCATCCGCCCAAAAGCCATCCAATCCACTGAGTCGCTACTGTGACTTCAGGAACCATCAACGAGATGCTGTCTTCGGAACGGCCCTCCAGAAGAAGAAGGCACCGATAATGATAGTCTTCAGCCCGGCAGCGGTCCACAATGCGCCAGCCAAACCAACCGGACTGTGTGCCCAGACGCCACCCAGAATGGCTCCGACCAGTAGCAACAAAGGCGCAGCTGCTCTGCGATTCCTTTCTGCGTTCGCCGAAAGCCCAGCCATGATCAGCGGATCAGAGAACAAGTCACAGTAGATACTCGTCAGAACGACGCTGGTCAGACTGTTGTACTGCAAAGCACGGCTGGTGACGGCCTGTCCGCTGCTCTGAAATGCCACCAGCGCAATCGGAACGAGGACTTCCCACCGCAAGTCGTTCCCTTTCTTGCTATCGACCACCACGATAATCCCTGCCGCAATGATCAAGAGTAGCTGTGCCGTAAATGAGGCCAACAGGACCCAACGTCTCTTTGGTGAAAAATGCCGGTGGAAGCGACTGAAACAGAACGAACCGAAGCAGAAGAAGCCGATTGACGTGCCGGATCGGATCCATCTCGTTCCTGCTGTTGGTGCAACCAGTCCCAGACCCAAGTACACAGTATTGCCGGTCTGCATGCTCACGAATGAGCCCCAGATGAAGACGGCAGAGCTGTCAAGAAGACCTGTAATGACATAGGACAGCAGCAGCAGAAGGTCGGCCCATCGCTTGTCGATATCTTCCGTCATGTACTCGCGGAAGTGAATGAGTTGAGCTGAATTACTCTTCTTCCCGAGAAGAGGTTCATTTTCGTCGTGCGCCGACCGGTTTGACGAAACATCATGAGATAGAGTCCCGTAGCCATTTGCTGTAGTCATGATGGAAAGTGAACACTAAGACTTTATCTCTGCTGGGACATGGACAGTGCTCAAAAAAGGCGGGCGTAGAAGAGAGGAAAGTGGCTTCGTGTGCAGACGAGTGGTTGCCCAAGAAGGACATTACGAAACGATCTGCCGGAGGACGGGCAGGACGGGCAGATGAAGGGCTGTTTTGCGGAGACTCTGAAACGCATCATGAGTGGTGGATTTGGGGCGAGAGGGAAAAACGATCGCCTCAGTGACGGGGATGCGACGACGGTCGAGGCTGCTTGAACGTTTTGCCGTCATAATGACGCTCTCGTCATTCGCGCCGCGGCGGAGCTCCCCCTGCTATGCCTTGGGTAATCTGTTACGACTGAGACTGCCGTAGCTATATATTCGCCAGCTCCAGTCCCCAGATTTTCCGGCGAGCTTGTTTGTGCTCTCTCCCTCGATCAAAATGCATCTCCAGCTGTGGTCTCTCTTTGCCAGTGCTGCCTTGGCAGTCCCCATCATTGACCGTGAGCAGCAAGCTCTCGGTCCTGCCGGTGGCAATGGGCCCTACAACCCAGACAACAAAGATCCCTACGACCACAAGGTGGACTCGTACGCCAACGGCTGGCAACCGGAGCCGTGGAGGAACGGTGATGGAGCTACCGTGATGGGACCTCGCAATCGCGACCGAGAGAGGCAGAACCCGGACATGATCCGGCCACCCAGCACCGACCATGGAAGCATGTCAAACTACCGCTGGAGCTTTGCTGACTCTCACATGAGAATTGAGGTGAGTCCGGCATTCGTGAAGCCGTCGTCGGGAGGTCCTAATAAGTGTACAGGAAGGTGGCTGGACCCGTCAGACCACAGTCAGAGAGCTTGGTGCAAGCAACGAGATCGCTGGTGTCAACATGAGACTCGACTACGGCGTGATTCGCGAGCTGCATTGGCACAAGGAAGCTGAATGGGCCTATGTTCTCGACGGCAACGTCCGTGTCACCGCCCTTGACACCGAAGGCGGCAACTTCATCGATGACCTACAGAAGGGCGATTTGTGGTACTTCCCACCGGGTCACCCTCATTCGCTCCAGGGTCTGAGCGAGAATGGCACCGAGTTCCTCCTTGTCTTCGACGATGGCAACTTCAACGAAGAGTCGACCTTCCTGCTCACCGACTGGCTTGGTAAGTCCATTCACGGTGTGCCGCTGTGGCAAGTTCTAACACATCCCAGCACACACTCCCAAGGCCGTCCTCGGGGAGAATTTCCGGGTTTCTCCTCAGATCTTCAAGACCATGGACAAGTCCGACAAATACATCTTCCAAGGTAGCCTTCCAGGCTCGATCGACGACGAACAGCCAGATGGGAGCTACGTCAAGAAATCCAAGCTCCAGTTCACCCACAAAATGATGGATCAAGAACCCGTCAACACTACTGGAGGTCAGGTTCGCATCACTGACTCGACCAACTTCCCGATCTCCAAGACAATTGCGGCAGCTCACCTAGACATCGCCCCTGGCGCCATGCGCGAGATGCACTGGCACCCGAATGCTGATGAGTGGTCATTCTTCATCCGCGGCCGTGCTCGTATTACCATCTTCGGCGCTCAAGGTAACGCGAGAACCTTTGACTACGTGGCTGGAGATGTCGGAGTCGTGCCCAGAAACATGGGACACTTCATCGAGAACTTGAGCGACGATGAGCCCGTGGAGGTCTTGGAAATCTTCCGATCCGACAAGTTCCAAGACTTCTCGCTTTTCCAGTGGCTCGGCGAAACCCCCAAGAGGCTGGTGGCCGACCACATATTTGCAAACGACGAGGCGGCTGCCAAGAAGTTCCTGAAGGAAATTCACAATGCCGAGTACGACCCCATCAGGGGAGCGCCCAAAGACTCATGAAGGGAGCTACCGAGATCACGCGCAGGGTGAGACACGAATGTGCGAGACTGTACAGGAACCGAGCAAAAGGGGTTATTGTTTGCTGTAACTTTGCCACATAGCTTTTAGTCGCTGGGCCGTCCAGAAAGGATTTCATGGCAAAGGCTAGTTTTCTTGAACCCCAGATCACATGTGGAGTGGTAGATCAATTTGCCGGCCTAGATCTTCGCTTGGGCGACTCACTCCACCTATGCCAAGATACTTCGTGCACTTGTGCGGAGGAGAGTATTGCCAGACCAGGACTCCAGAAATAGTGCCAAGATGGAGCTTTTCTTACAGCTTCAACGGAGCTCGCGTCCAGGTCGCCGTAGCAAGTTGAGCCAGAAGACACGTGAAGTTACTTATTGGCTGAAAAGATCGCCATGCCGTACTCGCCCTTAGCTACCGTCTGGCAACCACAGCAATTCGTCCCAGATCCAGGCTTGGCTGGTGCCGTCGAACATGTCAGTGAGCCTGTTACTAGGTATTGTAGCCGGAGCCAATGGTCCATGTGGTTGCACAGATGCTCCCGTCGTAGACAAGGATTTCCCGGAGTCCTGGTGTCGAAGCCCATTCCCGGGCCAGTTATTGAGGTTGTTCCGCCCATCTCGAAACACTGCGATCGATCAGCACGAAATGAGGATAGTGACGGAAGACCTTACCATCTTGCAACGAAACCAAAGCATCGCTGAAGTTTCCAGAAGCAATGTCCCGGGGTAGCTCGAGTGTTTCATGGGAAAACAGTTCAAAAACATCCGCTACGCTCCCATCACTGGGTTCTGGGGCTTGCATGGTAACATCGTCTCCGTCGAGCAGAGGAGCGGCATCGCCATTAGCACCTGCGGAGTCGTCTGGGAGTCTGCTTGGTGCGTTGCCTTCTCGAGATGGCTCGGACTCATTTAGTAAAGCTTTCATCTCCTCGGCGAGTATCAACCGGACGAGTTCCTCCAAGATCGCCCCGCATTGATCGGATACCGCAGTTCGAAATCGATGCAACCGAGGAAGCTTGATGATTCTGCTCACTGCGCGTTTTGCTTGGTGAGCCTGATCGGAGAGTGGGTCTGACAGTGCAAAGATGCCGAGTACCACGCCAGCCGTGAACGACTGGATGCCAACGTAGGCCGCTCCGTGAGTGTTCTGCAAAGTCGTGAGGATTTCAGAGTACTCTCCAATCTTCGAAGTGCTCATTGAAGACACCCAGCAATGGTATTTGCTAGTTTTGATGATAGAATCCAAATCCTCGGTCGAAGTGACAGCCACGCCTTGGCCACCATCAACATTGACTTGTGGTCCATCTGAAGGCCAACGCGGCACCCGGTTGATCGTGAGTAACGGTCGGTGAAGCACCAATTGGATGTTGTCGTACGAAAGCTGCAGTGCAAGGGCCTGAAGCTGGAAAATCCTGGCGGTCTGTTGCACATTCTTCTCAGCACTGTCGAACTTCAAGTACTTCAGCCGCAGTTCCCGAGGGACGCATTTCTCCCACCTCAGGAGGCACTGATTGATCGCTTTAATCTCACCCACTACTTCAGAGAGAGTTGCTCCACTTCGTAGGTAGATATTCCGGGTAATGGAGGAGGCAATGCGGTAAAGCCGGAACTTGTATCTCTGATACGAGGCTATTGTTACGGGTCCGAAGGACTCTCCGTCGTACGTTTCGATAGAATCAAAGCCCGGGCAAGTTACGGAGGTATCGTCGATGTTACCCGGGAAGGAGACAGTCCAGTCGCCGTCATAGACGTTGCATGGGGTTCCAAAGCTCATAGCACCAAAGCTACTCAAGAAGATCAGTTCCGCGTCAACCATGGCGAGATAGAAAGCACTTACACCTCTGCCGTGTAGAGCGCCCAGCACAACCGGCGCCAAACTTCTCGGACGACAGGGTCCTGCATTTTCCAGCTCGATTCCTTGTGAAGTCCCATGCTGAACGCTAGTTTCTGGGCACTCCCGTTCAAGGCGAGACTACGATTCGGCCGGCTATGGTAGATGTAGTATGATGACAGAATAATTGCAATCTGAATTGCCTCAATGTGACCTTCATCAAAGACGTCCAGTATTCGCTCCTCGGCCCTGCGAATAAACCTGGTTCCAAGACCGTCGAGATCGAAGCCTGGACATCGTTCTTCGGCATCCTGCTTGGTGACATACTTTGCACCGACGGCAATGACCAGCGCAACGAGGATGAGGAAGGAGACCTGATCTGCACGGACGAAACCTGCCGTTTTGAGATCCTGGATGCCGGCTCTGAGCGATGGTTCATGGAACAAGATCATGAACCAATGCACAGCATCCAGGTAACTTTCCAGACAAAACTCGATGACGTGAGAAGGAGGTAGGTCGGATCCAAGCACATCTTGTATGGAGGTATAATGACCGCTGGCATCGTGAGACCGTGCATCAGGACTGCCCCCAGGAATCGCGTGGACAGTATGACTCAGTCTCACTGTAGAATTGTGTTCCCTGAATAGCTGGTCAACCACTTCGTATGTCGATGTCCTTTCTCGGTAGACCTCAGACAACCGTTTCCCGGACTCTTGCGGACTCTGCGTGGCCGCTGCTGCGTGGTCTCGATGGGAAGAGGCAGGAGAAGGCTTTGAGAGGTCCGGAGGTGCGAGGCTCCGCGGCGAGAGATCATCACGCTGATTTATCATTGACAAAGAGGGTGCCTCGCTCGGTCTAGGGGAACCCGCAGATGGTCTATTCTCAGGCCGCTCCCTGCATTCAGCTCCGACTCGCACACACAAGGCACAAGGTCGGACGTCATCGCACCGTAGCTTCTGTTTGCGGCAACGGAGGCAGGCATGTCGGGCTCGCGGCAAGGGTCGTTTCTTCGGTATTGAGGAGGATGGCATCGCGACGGCTAGGTGGGATCTTTAACACGCAGCTGTGCCTCATTACCAGGGCCTTCGTTCACTGAGCCTTTACAGTAACGCAACGACTCCATAGTCGGCTTGGTTGCTGCCAAAATGATGTGCGGTGCACGACGCGAAGGAAGAGCGCAGTAAGAACGAAATGGTACGACGTACTCCGTACAGGCTCCAATTCAATGCAAGCTGAACCTCGGTAGGAATCAGGGAAGCAGGCGTGGTAGGCATCACAGGGCTGCGCCTTAGTCATGCGCGCCGGGAGGTGGAACTTTGAAGGAGTTGTCTCTATTAGACAATCTTATCGTAGTACTTCGTTACATCCAGTGCATTATGCTGTTGGGTGACTGTCGCGCGAAAGAGATACCTTCTTTGTTGCCCCCAGGGTCGATGCTGAACTGCCCAGAAATCCACCCTGGGCCGCCGCTATTGCCCTCGTGCGTGGAAGCACTGGTCATCAAAGCGTTCCGTGCGGACAAAGTTAATGAACACGACATGTCACCAAGTCGAGGCGCAATTTCTACACTCCATGAAGGATTCCGGTCGCCCTTCAGGCCTGACTGCGCCCAGAGCTCTTCTCACCGCATGCAATACGAGGTACCGGCTCGGAAGTCGGTCCTAGACGCGACCGGAAGCACTTCCACCGGATGGGATTCGAATTGCGAATCCAGCATGACAGTACAGTCTTACGCCTAGAATGGTTTCGTCAACATAAATGAACTGGACGGAAGCTGCAGGTAAGTCCGCTATACTGACACGATTTTCACCAGATATTGTTTCTCTCTTATCTCCATAACGAAGAGTGGCGATTCTGGTGCCATCCGTCGCCTAGCTCGTTGCCAGGCTCTCCTTCAGTAAACCCGCTGCCTTTACTGATTGGCTTCCCCGCTTCCGATCATGGCCCTCGCAGGCTCGGAACCAATGGCTCGAGTGGGCGGACTCAGCAAAAGAGCTCCTCGAGCATGTGAATCGTGCAGAGCTCGTAAGGTTAGGTGCGACGTTACGCGGACAAAAGCTCCATGTACAAATTGTAGGCTTGACAGCAAGACTTGTGTGCTGCCAGCAAGCAGACGAAGGCACGTGGGCGACCGGGTTCTGGGTTCCTCCTTCTTGGAAGGCAAGCAGCACAATCCACAAAGCCCGATTTGCGATGCGATCATTGACTTCGGCGATACGAAGCCTGTAACACTGCACAACCACATTGACAAGACCCATGCGCCGCCCAGAGACGGCTCGTTCGATGTGTTCGACCTTGCAGAGAGCCCTCTGTCCATAAATGACAAGGCTGCCGGAGTCGGCTGCCCAACGAAGGACAATGTGATCAACAGCAAGGCCTACTACCCAGCAAGTCTTCTGACACCATATCCCTCACCAACTCAGTCGCTCTTGGACTATCCTCATAGCCACTGGATGCTCCCGAACTACATCACACCAATTCCGGGAAGCATATCCGGAGAAGACTTGCAGTATCTCAACAGAAAAGGCGCTTTTGATATTCCCGACACGCAACTGAGGGACCAGCTGCTGGAGGCGTATGCGAGATGGATCCACCCTTTCGCACCCATGCTAGATCTTGAGCAAATCTTGACGGCAATTTTCACCAATGGCGAGAAGGGGACGCTCGGCCTTCTTCTCTTTCAGTCAATCCTCTTCGCTGCAAGTGCATATGTGCAGACAGATTATCAGCAGGGCTATCGGAAGCGGTTGAGAAAGACGTTTTACGAGCGTGCGCGGCTTCTCCACGACTTTGATGCCGAGACCGACCGACTCTCCCTCAGTCAGGCAGCCATTCTGCTCAGTCTCTGGGATGGGCAGCCCGGCTCAGTCAGAGACAGCTATCATTGGATCGGTATAGCGACCCTGCACGCTACCAGTCTGGGACTGAACGTTACTCCTGCAGAAGCCCTAGTTGAAACGAGGCGGCAGCGAACGCTCAACAAGACGTGGTGGACTTTACTTGTACGGGACAGGCTACTGGCTGTTGCCATGCGGCGACCGGTCCAGAATAAGGTGTTTCGATTCGATGCCCCTATGCTCCATCTTCTGGACTTCAGGCCGGAACCTTTGGTCAAGGTGTTGCGCAAGACGTTGCACCTGGAAGATGTTACAGTGCGCCATATGGAAACGCTGGTCAGCCTGTGGATGGCGCTCGCTCAGCTTTCCGAGTACATTGACAAGGTGCTCAGTCTACAGTACACTTCTCAGAGAGCCTCGGCACTCCCTGGCCAGGGCTTGGCAGTCATGTCACTCGTCCCACAGATGGACGTTTCGAAGAGTTCGGAGATCAGGGCTTGCGGGCTGGAGCTGCAAAACTGGTATGGGTACTTACCGAAGGAGGTCCAGCTACTCGACGTAGCCTCCAGCCGTCCGGACGACATAGAGACCATCAGAGTGCACCGCCAACTGCTGGCCGGCTACTATTCGATGACGCTCATGACGCTCTACCGGCCTTTGTTGAATCTGCAGTCCACCGTTCCGAGCGAAACGACATTGTGTCGGGAATCAATGAAGATGGTCTCGCAAGCGGCCGCGAGCATCACGGACATCTTCAAGGATTTGTATGCCGACAACTTGATCAGCCGGCTGCCAGACACAGCAATAGCAGTGCTGGAGCCTGCTGTAGCAACGCACTTGCTCTGCAGCATGTCCGTAACGCCCACGGTCCGAGACTCGAGCTTCCAAAAATTCTACCTATGCTGGCGGATCCTGCTCCAGTTCAAGCAGACATATCATCTCGCAGACATGACCATGTCCATGCTGGATGCAGCTGCAAAGAGGCTCAAGTCGCCGTCCGATCTCAAGGCCCTGAAGAAGGCGGCCTTTTCCCAGCTGATGGATGAGCTAGCGTCCGCAGATGAAGAAGCCGCCAGAACTTACATGGCCGTTCCGTTCCACGGGGTGGTTGGTGAGCAGAAAACGGACCGCTCCGATGTAGTCCATGACTGGCCAAGACAAAGCAGACCACAAGGGGAACCCAGTTTTCCTGGAGAAACCGGCAAGGATCTCGACCATGGTTTTGAGGTCGACACCGAGTCGGTCTTGGATCTTAGTCCCTTCGACCAGCTTATGTGCCTGGACGACCTGGAAGCAGAGCTGCTGCTGTAAAATTGGTTGAAAGGTAAACAACAGAGTACGGAACCTCAGTCCTGATGCCAACCAGAACATTACTTGGAGGCACAAGGGGTTTGAATGTAACAATCGATAACTTGCTGCTCTTCTCTTCCCAACCACGTAGCCAGGTGGTAAGCGTCGGCATTGACGCTTCCCTTCTCTGGTCAGCCTCGTGTTGCGTGCCGCCCACAGGACTTTTAAGTCAGGCGGCCAGATTGGACAACGCGGTCCTGAACTGCTCCCTGTTCACGGAAGTTGGACGGACGTCTGCACTCAATGTTGATTCGCTCCATGGGCATCACGCCGAGACTGTGTGCGATGATCGCTACGTCACGCGGGGAATTAGTGCGCCATGAAGTTGAGGCACGAGGACAAGCGATCGACGAAGAATGTTATTTAAGCTAATTGGCCATGCAATGTACGAATACCCTGGCTGTCTCATAGTGTTCGTCGCTTGTTCTTCTATGAGTATTTCAGACGCCTTGAAACGACAGCTTTGCCCGAGCGCCGTGGTCTGCGCACATCTCATGACAGCATTCGGTTAGCCATGGCCGCGGTGGACCAGCATACCAATAAACGAACCCACAATGCAGAGGACGGCGACTACGTATCAGGAGTCACTGACCCTCGAGGCATAGAGACGGAAGATCCCGTGGAAGAACTGCGGGATACCTATGTGAAGCCAGGTCTGGAAGCAAATGTCCCGTGCTTTATTTGTGGTACCTAGCTCACCTCTGGTTTTGCACAGGCTTGCGCGGGACGTTTCAATCCAAGTATGTCGTCCTGTGCGCTTTTGTAGTCAGACTTGGCGGGTTCTTGTTCGGCTATGGTATGCTCTGGTTGTGGCTTTTGCCAATTAGTCGGGCTTCGATGCTCACTCGTTGCAGACCAAGGTGTTGTCTCTGTTATCCTCGTCATGGACCAATTTCTGGACCAGTTTCCTCGTGTGTCAGAAACAGCGAGCGGCGCGGGCTTCTGGAAGGGATTTATGACCGCTATGATCGAGTTGGGAGCGTTGATTGGTAGCTACCTACCCTATCTGTACCGAGCATTTGCTGTGGGTGTTGACTATGTTAGACGCATTCAATCAAGGTTGGATCGCGGAAAAGATCTCGCGCAAGTACTCGATCTGCGTCGCTGTGTCTATCTTTGTGGTGGGCTCAATCCTTCAAACAGCCGCTCAGAACTATGCCATGCTAGTCGTTGGTCGACTCATCGGGGGCGTTGGTGTTGGGATGCTGAGTATGGTGGTCCCAATGTACATTGCGGAAGTGTCGCCACCGGAGATCAGAGGTATGGTATCAGAGCATCCTCTGGGGTCGATGTGAAGCTGATGGTTTTGCAGGCACACTGCTTGTCCTAGAAGAGTTCTCCATCGTGTTCGGCATCATATGCGCGTACTGGTTGACGTTTGGCACAAGATACATCGGCAGCCAATGGTCGTTCCGGCTTCCTTTTCTGCTGCAGATCATACCAGCAATTGTCCTGGGCATCGCGGTCCTGTTCATACCATTCTCTCCGAGATGGCTGGTGTCGAAAGGACGCGACCGAGAGGCCTTGGCGGCTCTGGTCAAACTACGTCGCGTCCCAGCAGATGATCCACGTCTCCAAGCAGAGTGGTATGACATTCGTGCAGAAGTTGCCTTTCACAAAGAGGTTGCCCAGAAAAGGCACCCGGAACTAGGACTGCAAGGACGACGGTCTCGCTTGAGTGCAATCAAACTCGAACTCACCGCGTATGCCGATTGCTTCCGGCAAGGCTACTGGAAACGAACGATGGTGGGTATTGGCTTGATGTTCTTCCAGCAGTTCGTGGGCATCAACGCTCTGATCTACTACTCACCCAGTTTGTTCGAAAGCATGAATGTCACGTACAACATGCGATTGGTCTTGTCGGGCGTCCTGAATGTCACGCAGCTCGTCGGAGTGTCGACATCTTTGTACACGATGGACCGGTTCGGCCGGCGTCCGCTGCTCCTGATCGGCAGTGTGTTCATGGCGGTCTCGCACGCCATCATCGCAGTACTGGTTGGGTTGTACTACGGCAACTGGGACGACCACAAGGACAAAGGATGGGTCGCTGTGGCATTCCTGTTCCTGTACATGCTGGCCTTTGGCTGCACGTGGGGCCCAGTGCCCTGGGCAATGCCCTCGGAGATCTTCCCAAGTTTCCTTCGAGCGAAAGGCGTGGCTTGGAGTACATGCAGCAACTGGCTTAACAATTTCATCATCGGACTGATCACTCCGCCACTGGTGCAAAACACGCGGGGTTTTGGAGCATACACCTTCTTTGCAGTCTTCTGCGCGTTGAGTTTCCTATGGACATGGTTCTGTGTCCCAGAGACCCGGGGTCGAAGTCTCGAGGATATGGACCAGGTGTTTGGGGATAGGGCTGCCGTATCAGACAGGGTGCGGCGAAAGGAGATCCTGAAAGAATTAAGGCAGGAAGGTGGCCACTGGAGTCAGGAGAGGATGGAGAAGGCATAGTCGCAAGCCCAACGCTCTGGAAGTGTACCTCTCGGTTAATTAATGACAAGACACGAGAAAGTCTGTCGAGATAGCAGAAGCAGAAGCTCATCTGTCATGTGAGAACGGAAAGTGGCCGATAGAGATCGACTTCCCGGGAGAGAACGCCTGCCGAGATGTTCGTAGAAGTACTCGTAAGCGCGCCACTGCTGTTACGCATTGTCAGCGATGGCGAGGCCCATCGTACGGACTGTCCACGGCCCAAAGCAGTAAAATTAGATCTCGTATCAATGCGTGAGAGCCCCGCGCAGCCGACTCACCACCCTCCCACACCCCACACGCGAGCCTGGGGCGGCACGGGTAGAGGTCGAGATCGCCAACTGCCGGCTGAGGTATACTATCAAAACGGAAGAGCACAGCACGGGCCGAAAATATTTGATCCCTGGGATAAACCTTTCAAGACTACTACTTAACCGACCGCGTCAACCGAGTTTCTCGAGTTCAAAGAGTCGTCTGCCAGAGAAGCACGGCACAGCACAGAGATGACGATCCCATCAACGCATAAAGTAGCCATACTGGTGGTCAGTACAGAACCAAGCATTTTTGGAACGAGTCTTGCTCACACGCGGGTAGAGACATGAGGATGGAGCGTACCACTTCGAAGCCAAGACAGTCCCGATTCCCGAGATCGGCCCACGCGATTTACTAGTCCGGCTGTCAGTTACAGGAGTGTGTGGCTCAGATTTTCACCTTGCAGCAGGTCACCTAGGTCCGACATGCGACATTCTCGGTCACGAAGGTGTTGGACGAGTTGTGAAACTCGGCTCTGCCGTTGATCCGTCGTTCGTCAATGTCGGCACTCGGGTTGGTCTCGGCTGGGTACGCGATGTCTGCGAAGAATGCTACTGCTGCATGTCGCCCGGCGGAGAGGGACGCTGTATGGCGAAGCTGTGTTCGGGATTGAGGAGAGACGGCACTTTTGCAGAATACGCTGTAGTCCCTTCACGGTACATCATTCGAATCCCAGAAGACGTCCCCGATGACCTGGTTGCGCCAATTCTGTGCGGAGGGGTGACAGCTTACAAAGCGATCAAGGTCAGCGAAGCGGTTCCAGGACGGTGGATGTTGATCTCAGGTGCGGGCGGCGGCGTTGGAGCATTGGGCGTACAGTATGCAAAGTCGATGGGATACCGTGTCATCGCTATCGATCTGGGCGACGCCGATCGCAAACGGGAGTACTGTCTCAAGCTGGGCGCAGAAGCATATTTCGATGCAAGAGAAGTAGACGCCGCCAAGATCCAGTCGCTCACCGGAGATGGCGCTGCAGCAGTGTTGGTGATGGCCAATACGGGAAAAGCATACCAAGCAGCATTGGATTTCGTTGCGCCACTTGGGACTGTTGTATGTGTCGGGATTCCAGCATATGAAGACAAGGTGAGCTTCCATCCGACACTCGGCATCAACAAAGGCGTCCGTATCATCGGCTCCGCAGTTGGCACAAGAAAGGACATCTGGGAAGCTATCGAGTTCGTCCAGCGAGGCGCAGTCAAACCAGCAGTAGAGATGGCCAGCCTCGATGATCTATCTGAGATCGCTAAGAACTTTGGAAAGGTGAGCGAACTCGTAACTTCGGTGGCCATATCGCTAAGATCGACCCAGACTTCGGGCAAATATGTCATCAGACTAGGTGACGAGGCAACCGGACAACCTAATGGGGCTTGAAGAGCATAAGTTTCGTATGCGCTGCAAAGGGGCTGTCAACAGCGGGCTTACCAGAGAAGCACATGCCTACGACCAACAGGCGACCAACCATTTCGGTCCTAATTGTTCGTGTCTATTCGAAGGCCGGATATTTCGGAGACTTGCTGATTGGCCTTCCCTTGAACACCCGGGGGCTTGTAAAGTTTCCCCGCAAATATCCTGGCTGCTGAGATGCCACCAGATGCCGCTGCGCAAGTCTCGTTGGCCTCAGCCAGCAGCACGACACGAATTGACGGGCCAGGGTGCAGCTTTGAGTGTGTCTGATTAAGTAGGCGGGCTGAACCCCTCTTCTATCCTCCAAGGTCTCTTTGAAGTTCAGAAGCTCCCAACTTGTAAGTCGTAGGTCTGCTCCCTGTAAGCCATCTAACTCGGGTGTAAACGCCAATCTCAAGAATGGCAGCACGACCTCTCCTGCTTGGTGTAGCTTCAGCAGCTCGAGCTGGACTCCTGAGCCATTCGATTCGAACCGTACCCAGCCGCGCATTTCAAGTGTCTGCAAACACACTCAGACCTACCGTCGTGACGTCCACCCCTTCGCAATCGACCCCCTTTGCCAGTCAGGTACCACCCTCAGGCGCCGTGCTACCTCAAGCAGAGATCTTTGCGGATAGCCAGCACGCAGCCTTCCTCGGCGAAGCAGACAGTAATGACGGACACGATCTGAACCGAGAAATCCACGGGCCGCCGCTAGAAGCCCTGGACGCTGGGAATGCCGCATACTTGGGTGAGGCGGATTCAAACGATGGATTTGAAGCACGAAAGGCTGCCGAAGGCGACAACCACCCGTCAATGGACGCACAAAACGCTGCTTACCTCGGAGAAGCGGACAGTGACGACGGCTTTGAGGCAAGAAGAGCTGCGGAGGGAGACAAGCACGAAGCCATGGACGGCACGAATGCCGCCTTTCTTGGTGAAGCTGATAGCGACGATGCCCGTGAGGCGGACTTTGACATTAATCCTGAGAAGCACCGTCACCGAATCGAAGACACTACCTCCAGTGGATTGCATGGTCAGCAAGGAGAGCAAGATCAGTGAAAAGTGAAGCACAGAAGTTCCGCAGATTACCCCCTGTCCTTGATAGCAGTCCAATGGCACAGAGCCAGTATCCTTGTGCTGGTGAATCATCATTCTTTCTCAAAGTTATCGTAGTCCTCTTTTGACATCAGCGCATCCAGCTCGTTCAAATCGGTCACTTCGATCTTCGCCAGCCACCCTTCTGACTCAGGGCTCTTGTTTATTGTTCCTGGCTTTTCCTCCAATAGCTTGTTGTGATCTGAGATCTTGCCGGAGACTGGCGTCATGATATCTGAGGCGGACTTGACTGATTCAACTGCGCCGATAGTGTCGCCTTTCGCAACATCCATCCCAATCTCCGGAAGTTCGACGTAGACAACATCGCCGAGGGCTTTTGCCGCGTATGCCGTTATACCGATCGTACCTGGCCAACCATCAGTGAGGTGCCAGTGGTCGCAATCGAGATCACGTACCTGTCTTTCCATCGCTGTCAAGCTCGATCCATTCGTGATCTTCGGTATACTTCTTCACCAAGACTGCGACACTGGTAAGAGCCGGCACACAAACTGAGTTATTTCACACACGAGCTGATCTTGCGGAGAACGCTCTCCTAGGTTGCTGCCACTGGCAGGAATGTGGGTTGATCGATGACCGCAGACTGGCGACTTGCTTCACAGAATATCTGGAGAATGTCGGCACGAGCCGACCTAGAGCTGAGGAATTCATGACTGGCTCTGAGCAGTAGCAAACAGAGTGCCACTGTAGCTGGATTCAATGCCCATTTAAACCAACTCCGCAGCTCGAGGTCAAAGTGACGGAGACAAACCCGCATGCAAAGGGCGCCGACCCAAAGTGGAGCCCGACCACCCGCGTGCTGGGGGGAATTTCTGAATCGCATGCACCATCAGTTCGACATTCACTGTGTACACCATCGATTATGATCCCACGGATTCAATAAGAATGCTTTACGAGCTCATAGCGGTGGTAGGCAGCCCTTCAGCAGCAACTTCCCACACACTCGGTTCTAATTCGCGTATAGGTCCGACCGGGCAATCTCAACAATGTTAAAGAGTACTTCTCTCTGCTCCGTCTCCCCCAGAGTGCCAGCTAACCCCGTCTGTGCAGGATCGCGCGTGTCGCTGGCCAGCAAATCCTCGCCTCCAACGGCGTCATCCGTGGCATGAAGAATTGGGGACAGTTCGATCTCCCTCGCCCTACGACGAAACATCAGACCCAGCACCGCCAGGGACACTACTTCGTGATGCAATTCGACGCTTCTGTGAAGGCGCAGCAGGACGTTCGGCGCTTCCTGAGCCTCGATCCAAGAATGATACGATTCAGCATGGTCAAGATCGGCGACAAATTAGGCGGTGTGAACGGCGCGATTGAAGAGGTGGATGGCCAAATGCCATGGAATGAAGTGAAGAACGAATCTGTCTTTGCCAACCCAAGAGTAGGGGGCTTGCACGCTTTTCGATAGCGGGCCAGAATTCATGACGGCGCGTGGATACTACAGGTCGTCGTGAGTCTCGGCAAGGAGAGGCATGTCCATATATGATTCTAGTCAACCGGAGCGTGACCTGACTCCGCCCATGAACGCCCGCTGCAAATGGTGGTATCATTGTGTGTTGTATCATCAAAACAGACTCCATCGTCCCCTCTCCTTGGCCTGGACAGCTTTCGCCTGCTCCTTCTTCGCCCGGCCCTCCAATTGCCTCAGACTCTCGATCTTCTCCAAGACGAGCTCCAGCATCTCCTTGCGCTTGATCACATCCAGGTGTCTGCGGACCTTCGGATCTTCCCGAGCGAAGCGCTCTATCTCGCTCTGGTCCAGATGTCGACCGAGCCGCAAGTCCAGTTCGCGAGGGAAATTGTAATAGAACTCGGAGAGGAGTTCCACGTTGAGGAAGAGCACCGCCGTCGAAGTCAGCTTGTCCGCAACCACGTCGAGGAAGACTTCAGGGCAGTAATATTTGTTCTTCAAGTTGGCACACTGCTTGGACTTGACAGTCAGCAATCGCATCTTGATGATATCGGCTCTGTCGCGCAGGAAGACGGCTTCTCGGCCTTGTACAAGATTAGCATGAAATCAGACCATGGACAAGTTGGACCATACCTTTCTGTAGAAGAGCAGATGAGAAACCACCTGCGCCGCCTGTTCCGTCTCCCTCTAGAACAACGTCGCCTTTCCTGACACGGTCGATAAAGCCCATCACGTCTTTGAGCTTTCTTTTACCGATGCTGTCTTCAAGCTGTCTTTGAGCGGCCTCACAAGCCTTGAGCTCGTTCTTCAATACGCGGCCCACGTTCTCCCGTCCTTTGCTCCATTCGTTGGGTTCAACCTCAATCTCAAACTTGAACGGCTTGATGCAGTTCTCTACCTGATCACTTGTGCTGTAAAAGCGATCGTTCAAGATGCTCGATGAAGCATCCACGATCGAGCGCTGTGCGAAGGGATGTGAGGCGAAAGTCGAGGCCGCGATTAGCTTGTCAATATGGCTCTGAAGTTCTGCTGCCACCACAGTCGTCGCCAGTCTTCCGACTCCGAGCTTGGTCAACTCTGACGTGGAAGCATCCAATTTGCGTTGCCAGTACAGCGAGTTTGGGTCGGCCTTGGGGAGCTCAGATAAAGGGTCTGCTTCTGGCTGTATCGGTGACAGGTCTTCCACAGGCTTGTTCCAATACCGCTTCGCCAGCAGGTCCATCACTCTCTGGTCTAAGACCTCCTTTAGCAGAGCCCTCACCTGAGGTCTGCCAAACTGCTCGCTGAACTCTTTGAAGGAGTGCTTGAAGCTGTCCAAGCTCTCTGCCAAGTACGATTCGGCACTGAGTGGCCGATCATTATATTGTACTTTGAACTCGTACGTCGCTTCCTCAAGCTCCTGAACGATCGCGTCTCTAGTGCCCGCAAGACTTGCTGCCATAGTCTGTTCAAGGACATGCATCAGCTTGTGTCGTAGTGTCGTGGTCCCAACAGCAACCTCCGACTGAGGCCCGAACTGAAGGGGATGGGACGAGAAGTATGCATTTTCATTCTTGACGACGGCACTTGTAACGTTAGCGCCAGTCCGCCCAAACAGCCCTGACGTCTGGTGTGGAATTTTGCAGACCACGCCGACGTATCCCAGCCGTAAAGGGTATTTCCTATCTGAGAGTATCTCGACGCCTCGGATGGGGTCGACCAAGTCCATTTTTGTGATAACACCGATCGTCCTCTCGCCGCGAGGGTCAACTCTTCGACTAGCCCGCAGAGCAGTCGAGTTAGCCAAGTCTACATCGGCGGCAGAGATGGCAAGGATGACATTCGGGGGCTGGATGTACTTGTCGCACAGGTCGGCTATCTTCTGCTTTAATTCGACGGGTTGGTCTTTCCCAACTACTTGGATGTAGCCGGGCAAGTCAATCAGTGATAGATCTGGGATATTGGGAGAGTGGATGGTAAGCTGGATAGGATCGTCCGACACGCACTGCTCCGGTGGAACAGCGAGATTGAGGTCAGTCAAAGTCCTCTGCACTTGGGAGAAGTCCGTGATCTTTCCCAAGCCGAGCGCCGGAAATTCGCAGTATTCTGACTTTGCATCCGGCGTATTGACAAGCGTGAGTTCAATCGGGCGTCTGGTAACCATGTTTGAGCCTTTCGGGAGGAATTCGTGGCCGACTATGGCTTCGAGCACGGAACTCTTCCCTGATGACTGTGATCCGATGACGACGATCGATGGTAGAGTCAGCGCTCCTCCCTGTCCAATGGTATTCAAGATGCTTCGAATTTCAATCATCTTCCTCGTCAACAGCATCATCTGGTCATCTTTTGCAATGTGTGCCTCCGAACGGTCCTCGTCTTCGTCAGACTGCTCGACTCCGATCGCCAGGCCCGACGCAGCGGCAACTCCTGCAGCAGCATTCGTCGAGTTTGGCTGTTCCGGCCCAGAGCCTCCGTCTCCGGAGCCCTCACCATTCTCGAAGAACTGCTGCAGCCACGCTGGCAGATGCGCATCCTCTGTGGTCCGTTCCCAGCCCACGCCTATCTGGTTGGCGATGCCCTTCGCGCCTTCGAACATACTCGACGATGTTTCCGTCACAGCTTCTCCGGCCTTTCGTAGAATGTTCATGGTATAAGTGCCGGCTTGCTGCGCCTGATACTGGATGTACGCCAGTCCTGCAAGCACGCTGGCTCCAAACATCGCAGGAAGCCGAGCCATCCTGATCGCAAGCTTGGGAAGGATACGTGCAAAGGAAGCATGCCGAACAATTGGGACATTGTGTATAGAACTCGATCCAAGAGGCCATGTTCGAGGTGGGAGGCGTGCATTTGGCCTTAAAAGGCCGCCGGCTTTCGTCAGGACATGATGCTGCAGATTTCGTGCTGCAGCCGGAGTCCGCTGGCGCAGCAACGGCGCGACCCTCGCCGAGAGGAGTCTACCGCTCATCACAGGTCAAGTCCAGCATTGGGTAGATGAAGTGTGGTACGTGGAGGTGCTGTCGAGGATGGTACGACAACACGCTTTTTGGAGCGGGAGATGCGAGATGTGAGATGCGGAATGACGTCTGGTTGGCTCAGGCAGCCTCCCGCCACAAGTCGGCGCCACTGCACGCCACAGTCTTCGGGCCACTCACCCACTGCATCCTCCTGCAAGGCGGTGAAGTCGAGGCTGTTGTTTGCGTCAATTAGCACCCAACTTGCGTGTGTCACGATGGCCTCTTAGGCACCAATTTCAGTGTTTGATCTTCATCTCTTTCCTGTATTGAAGTTACCCAGGCGTTGACGGTGTTTGGGTCCTTCGATGCTTAGCTCTTGAACACATTGATCCCCCTTCATTTGTTGGCATCATTTCTCCGTTGTTGACCCAGAAACTGAGAGAATGCTCGTGGCCAGGTTTATGACTCAATCATACCAGACAAGCAACGGCCAGATAATTCTGTGGCATCACTGATTCATCTTCTAGCAAAAATATGTGCAGATTCATGGTATACTCGAACAACGGCTTCTTGGGGTTCGGGTGCTGACATTTAAAGGTCTACAAAGGCTCAAAGCCCATCATTCTCTCGAAACTCATCACTGAACCCTCTCATAGTATTCTCACTCAGTCTTACGACAGTCGTCTGCGTCTCGACAGCCGGCGCCCTGTCAATGGGGATGGTTTCGGTGTTGGCTGGTACACCGAGCCAGAGCTCGGCCCTGATCCGTGCATCTTTACTTCAACGCTGCCAGCATGGAACTGTATCAACCTCGAGAGGATCGCTCCAAAGACCGCGTCCAGGTTGGTCTTTGCCCATGTTCGTGCCACGACCGAGGGCTCACTGGCCGAAAATAATTGTCACCCGTTTCAGCATAATACTCTGATGTGGATGCACAACGGTAACATCGGGGCCTGGAAATATGTCAAGCGGCCGTTGGCCGACAGCCTCTCGGACAAATGGTTTCTTGGCGTGAAAGGCGGCACTGATTCCGAGTGGGCATTTGCTTTGTTCCTCGACACCTTGGAACGCGAAGGCGTAGATCCAAGTTCAGAGCCAGAGGAAGGTTTCGACACAAAGAGTCTTCGTCGCGCGATGAAGAAGACCATCGCCAAGATCAACGAATTCGTCAAGGCCGTCCCAGCTGAACACAAGCTGGCAGATGTAGAAATCAGAAGTCTCCTCAACTTCGCGGTCACGGATGGGCATTCTGTTATCGTGACTCGGTATGTCAGCAGCAAGACGGATGCCGCAGCAAGCTTGTACTACTCATCAGGCACAGCCTGGGTTGAAGGCAAGACGAAGGGCCAATTCAAGATGGAGCGGAGGGACAAAGCTTCCGACGTGGTTCTCGTGGCGAGTGAACCGTTGACTTTCGAGCGGCACAACTGGCTGTCGGTACCCACGAACACCATTGTAACCATTTGCAAACAGACGGTATACGTGCGGCCGATCAAAGATGAATATTACGACCCAGACCCGTCAACGGAACGCTCGACTGGCTTCGCTCGGTCGAAAGGTCTCGTGGCGAAGGCTCCAGGCGGTGGCACCCAGACACCAACACCTGCTGCTACTCCAGTGCCACGAAATGAGGTTGAGAAACCTAATGGAGAGTATGTGGTCAAGGAGGACCTGGAAAAACTCCACGAAGAAATGTCGAAGCTACAGGTGCACAGTGATCAAAGGATTAATGGCAGAGCAGGCGACCAGCTCGTGGTTTAGACCGTGGCATCAAATCTTCAACGTTTCTCGCACACCATGAGAAGTCTACGGGGAGGTTAACGACATTTTTTTTAGCAGGATTGGCCAAGCGCACAGAGCAACGGACAGCAAAGCCTCGGTGACTAGCTTTTAGTATGGGGGATAGCTGTTTGTCGCTGAACCATGGCACGCGACGGACAGAACGAAATCTGGGGGACACACGGAGTTTGTGGGATAGTTACTGCCGAGTCAGGGAGCGCTTTACTCTGTAATGTGTCCGGAGCATAAAATTGGATTTGGACGATGCGAGCGCATCACAAAGTCCTCATACTGGATTGGGGACAACGGCAACGGGAAAAACTGAATCGCGATGGAAATGGGAATAGAGCGAGGCGTTTCCTGTTGATATTCTCCATCGATACCCTTGTTCGGGACGTTGTTTTTGTCGACGCTAGACCCGTGCAACTCGAGATTTTGTCTCTTTAACCATCGTCTCCTCTGAAATCGGCGTGTCTGAAATACTTCATGCCCACCCACGCGACCACCACCCACACCCAGGCCATGATGCATGTCAAAACGAGTAGAGCTGGATAATACCCGACGATGGGCAATGTAGGATCATCTTCCAGCTCAGGCGGCGCATAGGGTGTTTCTCCCACATCCCAAGCCCATGACCACACACCGAAGCAAGAGCCCATACCCACCACAAACACTATCCACGTCACAATTAAGATCACGTAGCCCCAGAATGCGGTCTCGGAGTAATCCCATCCTTCCTCGTCTGATGGTGTACCTGCGGTCGACTGCGGCTGTGTGGCTAGAGGGGATCGTGTGCGAGAACCAAACATGCGCCGCACGGGATCTTGGATGGGGAAGTAAGAGTCGGTGCCGAAAGAGGAGGTGGAGACTGGCTTGCGCAAGCCTGGTATTCGCGGCAGGACTAAATCGTCGTCGTCTGTCTCCGCGTCTGTGGTGGGCAGAAGAGGACTTATGATCGAGGCAGCAGACGAAGCTGGATCTATTGAGGCAACGCTGCTGCGAATCGAGGGAATGGAGACCCGTGATAGTGTCCGAAACGGCCATGACGGAGGAGATTCAGGCGATACAGGGCTTGACAGATCTTGACTTGCTCGAGGTGTCGGTGGAGCTTCTTGTTCTTCATCCGTAGGCTGCACAAAAGGAGACTCTGCGCTCGAGAGAGGAGATTTCTTGACATCGCCTGTCTTCCTGTCTCGTCCTTTTCCCAGCACCGTTTTCCTCAGTGATCCTTTCCTCTTCCTCTTGCTCTGAGCCTGCGCTTCGGGCATGGCGGTTCGGCCAGGGGCTGAAATGTCTGAGCCATCTCGACTTGCGGCTTCTATCTTCTTCTCTTGGTCGCTGTTCGTTCGCAGGAATCGCGAGAGCAGATTGCCCGAGGCAGACCGCTTCTGACCAGCAGCACTGTCAGTGCGCTTTTTGAGCCTGTTAGTTTCCCGTAGCTCTCTTTCTTGCCCGCTGCCGCTCACTTCCTCGTCAATCTTAGGGAAGGGTGTGGTATTGTCGGTGGTCTCAGAGCGGCCATATGTTGACCCGTTCATGGCACGTTCGTGGCCGTGGGTTGCGCATGATTTGGCTTGGCTTTGAATCCCTCCAACAGGTCAAGTTTGGCTCAGCTGTACACGGTCAAGCTGTGCATGTAAATGTTGCGGGCGGGCGTCACTGGAGATCTGCTCCTAACGCCGAAGCGGTCGCAACGTGGTGGAAGTGGGCGGGTCCTCTTCATCAATATGGCAGCAAAAGCTTAGTCAATATTGGGTAGGTATGCCGAGCTAACGACCAGTCTCGCTCCCGCCCTTCGTGAACTTACTTTCTGCGAGACGCGCAGCCCCAACCAAGCACCAGGATGGAAGCTGAGCATCACGCCAACTGTTCCCTTTTCGACACCTGTTCGTCGTTTCGCTACTTGGTAACCTTTAGCGCCGCTCCCTCTATTGACGTGGAGCATATTCAGGCGTCTTTCTCACCAACATGGAGATCGCGGAGAAACCCTTGTTAGGGCACTGATGTCTCATACACTCTTTCTTACCAGTGACACGCCCGATCGTCATTTAAAACCATGGTAGTACCTCTCAACGAATTGGATATCCTGGGCGTTGTCGCTGTTACTATCGCCTGGTCTCACATACCCGTCGATACGAGGTAGATGTCGAGAAAACTCAGTGAAGCACAACAGCTTGTTGGATTTCCTGCACTCCTGACATTGAAATCCGATAGCTCTTCCTCACGGTTCTCCCCCACCGCATGACCACGACTAGCTCATTCCGTTCCAGAACGATGTGCACGGCCAGTCCGTCTCTGGTGTCAAGCAGTTCAGGATTCAAGGGGAACCATATCCTCGACCGGTCAAACTCGGTCAGGATCTCCAGCTCTGGAAGGAGGAAGCAAGCGAGATGTGCCTCAGGATGGGTGCCGAAGGTATCTCTGATCAAGTTGTGGAGGTGGAGCTGGAGAGCCTGTAATGCCTTGTGGTTAACTGGCCTCCTGATAACGGGACTAAGCTTGCCGTAGAGGTCCTTCCATCCATGTTCCCGGGCAATATCCAGCGGAGTGCTGTATTCACTGGAATCTTTTGTGTCACGCACAGTCCTGACGAGACCTAGTATATAGTCAACACTCATATCCGACTCACCCGTGTGTCACTCACGCCAAGCCCCTTCCTTTAAAAGATCCTCCACAGCCGATTGTCACCGTGCCACGCCGCTTGGTGTAAAGGCCTGAACCCACTGGTGACGCGGTCCGCCTCAGTAGCGTGATCTGGACAGACAGTCAACATGACGCCCGACCATACTGTGTGGGCTGACAGTACACAATGGAGTGCAGTTGGTCCAGTTCTGCTCGTAATCCTCGCGAGCGTGCTTGAGCAGCTTCATCACCTTGTTCCAGTTGCCAGCCCAAGCCAGATCAGCTAGCAGCCGTCGGTCCCGAAATTAGGGCATTGTGCAATCTTGACCCGGCTTGCAACGAGACTGCCCATACCAGGCAATCCCCTCGGCTTTGTAGGGCGAGTATATGCCGTTGTCATCAAACCGAGCCGTTTTAGGATCGTCTGAGTTCAGTTTCAATGCCATGGACATGACCAGTTCCAATATCTTCGAGACTTGCTCGGAACTTTGTGAGAGTTGTTGATGGTTTTGAAATAGGTACTCACTGTAAAACCATTAATTAGTAAGGCTCGCGCAATCCGGACTGAAGAGACCCTGTACTTTACTAGTCGTTTCGACACATTCTCTATCTCGTTCTCCAGTTTTCTCACCAGGTCTTCCACAACATCTTTCTTCCGGAGCCACCACCATCTATGAGCGAACTTCATCTTCTCTTCTCTTGCATCTCCATCCTTGGTGTCCGATCTCTCGCCAGACGTGAGGTCGTCTAGCTTTCTCAGAAGGTCAATACAATCCGCCGAACTCACTTGCCTGTCCAGGATCTCTTGCTGTTCCGGAGGGAGTGCCCTTTGGAAAATCAGCAGCCGGTCCAACAGCGCCCGAAGCCTCTCAGCCTCCTTGATGACCTGAGCCAGACTTTCTGGAGCATCGTGAATGGTCTGGCCAGCTTCGACTAGCCGTTTCACGACAACCCCCACGAGCTCGAGCACAGATAGAACAGTCCCGGGGTCAATCATTATGTCTGCAAGATTGGGAGCGCTCGAAAACGAAGGTAAGGTGCTATGCACCTTCAGCAAGGGTGTTTCAAACAGCTGAAAGGGTCCTGGTTCTCGATGTAGTGTCATTTGCGAGATAATATCGCTCTGACTGCGCCACGAGTTTCTTACTTAATACCATGCAAGCAATAACCTCATGGAGACGCGCACGGAGATTTGACTGGGCGACCAAGGTTTCTTCTGGGGCGCGGGGCGATTGCCCATTCACCCCGTAAGATATCGATTACACCGTTCGAACCGTCACGAAAACGTGGGCGAATCATCTGTTCAGACGTGGACGCGACGCGATGAAAGATGAAACCACTGTGGGAGCCTCAACGATCAGTCAACTGCTCGCCTAACGGAGCAACAAGGAAAGATCGACTGCACATGGAAGTCCCAGAGGCCAGATAAAACGTATTTGCCCCCAAGATCGATGAAAAAGATGTCTCCATCGTAAAGCGTCTTTCCACTCTCATCCCCGATAGATTGTATGAGGCCTCATTCCAACCTGACCGTGGTGTCGTATGTCCAGAAGTGAAGCCAGAAGCCTCCTGGTTGGAAGACACCATGTCCATCTCTCGTGCGACTACACAGTACAAGTACAGTAAGCGACCACTGCTTGCCTGAGAGGCTTTTGTGGGGAACGCTGATGGAGCTGCGCGGAGCTGGAGTCGTTCTTAGCCTGCCACCAGCCCAACCTGCTCCCCAATTCGCTCTCTTCTCGTTGCACTGCTCGTAAGGTGGCGCACGTGACGAGTGCCCTGGTTTACAGGCTAACAGCACGGCTTTTGCTCCTCCTTCAATCACCTCAATCCTCTCTTGTCAATAAAAATCCTCCCTCCCATACCCGTGTCATGCAAGCCCGGACTGACAGACGATACAAAAGCGCCATAGCCTGCAATTTCTGTCGATTGAAGAAAGTCAAATGCAAGTGCCACAGACTCCTGGTTGTCGGAGTTATTAACTCGCCAGCACATCAGGTAACGGCGGCAATCCGTGCCCGAACTGCATAGTAAGAGACGATCCTACCACGCAAGAGGGACATGTTGACCCCATGTCGTCGGCGGTGTAGGACCACCATCAGGTGTGCGTATATCCGCTTTCATCGCGCCGTGCCCGGCGAGTCTCGAGCATAGGATGCCCGATCCATGCGGGTTCGACTATCGCGCGTTGAGGCTCTTCTGCAAGACACAAGGGCAGGCGTCGGGGGGACTGGGGCTGGGGCGGTTGCCGATGCACGCGAAGAGGATGAATTGACAGAAGCGCCCCTGACCCCCTCTTTGACGATCGCTGCTAGTTCTGGAGACGATGATGGCGTTGGGATCCTGCCGCCAGAAGAAGAGGTAAGCTTGGACGAGGGCACCTGCTTTCTTCGCTTGGAGGATGCTGACCATGCGCATCCTAGCCAAGCTACGAGTATCATGGTATCATCTGGCCCTCGCAGCTCTCGCAGGTGATAGCTCACTCTTGAGGCAGGTCCAGGTTCTTTCATATCGTTCTGTTCCAAGTCATGTGTTGACTGGGTTTGTGCGAAGACCGAGGCGCCTGAGTTCGCGACAATGGCTCGGAAGCTCACGGACGATATCTCGCGACATCTGAAAATCAACCCAGGATCTTCTCGAAGAAGGGAACCTGAGCCCCCCGAGTTCTTGGCATGGCAATACGTGAATGCCTATTTCGACGAATCGAGGGATGTCGCTTTCGGGATCCTTTCTCGGCCAGGATTCGAGTCTCGCTTAAGAGCTCACTTCGAGAACAGCCCGACGACGCTTCTGGAGGAGGACGCTTCTTGGTATGCCCTAAGAAACGTTGTGTATGCTGCTGGGTGTCGACAAATCATGGCCAGAGAGCAATCTGGGCGTTTACTTCTGGGGCAGGGCTACGAATGGCAATACTTTCAAAATGCACTCTCCGTGCACACCGATTTACTATACACCAGGAGCAGTTTCATGGCAATCCAGGCGCTCGCAATAATGGTATGAGGTGGGAAAACTGCCGCTGGCAGGCCGACGATGATAACGTTCCCTTGGAGTTCGAAACTAATATGTCCGCTAGGCCTTCTTCGTGGAGAGCATAGGGGCGCCGGCGCTCGATTATATGCTTTCTTTGAACGCCATGAAACTCGCCGAATCCAAAGGTCTGCATCGCCAACCTACGGCCACGTGGAACTTGGGTGAGTCCGCGTTGCAAACACGAAGTTTCATCTGGTGGTCAGTCTACGGTCTAGAACGCTTCAACGCATTTCGATGGGGAAGGCCTTTGGTATGCATGACAGGGAAACCACTCCTGACCTATATCTTTGTCGAAGCTTACGTTCGACGTAGTCAATCGAGGATAAAGCAATCACCTGCGAATTACCTACCAAGTGGTGGACGGAAGCATGGTGAACCTCGGCCTGTTAGTTCCTGCCGTCAAACACGCTCAGATCTTGGCGGATATAACGGAGCAGTTCACCGCCTTGAAAGCCTCGACGCCGACGTTGAGTGACGTGATTCGCACGGTCGACCACCTCGAGCAAACGCTTCGGGGTTGGCACGATTCTTTGCCACTCAACTTGCGAACCGGAACAAATTACTCGGATACGCCGGAGAATATGGACCTCGTCCACGTCTTATACCACCACTACGTCTTCTGGGGGACTCTCATCACCATCCACTCGATCCTTGTGCACCCTTGGAACGTCCCCAAAATCCAGACCAAACCAATCGAGCTGCTGGACTTTCGCAGACACTCGCAGAACAGCACGAGGAAGGTCGTGGATGCATCCAGGGCGATGATTCGAACACTAAGCCATGTCAGCATTGACATTTGCTCTCCCAAATGGTGAGGCTCTTCCCGGATCCCCGAGGTTACTCCATATCCGACGATGTAATAACATGACAACGTTGCAGGCTTGTCTTCACATATCCTCTAACGGCGTTCATGAATCTGTTTATCTATATTCTCCGGTACCCTAAGCTGCCTACCGTCGAATCAGATCTGGACGCCATGTATCGGGTGTGCGGTCACTTCAACTACATGGAATACACCTTGCCCGAGATGGCGTTTGCATTTCCTCGCGAAGCAACCAATCTCGCGCGCTTTGCAGTCACCAAAGCCAACGCAAACGCAAACAGAAACTCTGGAAGCGGCAAGCCTTCTCAGGCAGAGTGGCAGACCACGTTGGCGATGTCGACACACGAGCTGGAGCTGCCAGACTTCGAAGTCCCGCCTTTGTACAACGTACGTATCTTCATTTCTTGCTGGCCAAGGGATCTTTCAATAATCATCGCGTTATATAGAAATCGGCGACAGACGCACTGGAGCTCGGCGTTGAAAACTGGGACAATTTCCTGTCGTGGCCGGAGTGACGATGATGCCGTCATGGGTTGTATCACTCCGCTCGTGCTCTTCAACGGCGAAGGACACACGGCCACATTTCGTAGCACATAGTAATCAGTGAATAGTACCTAGCTAGTCAGCTGTAGAGTGTACTGTTTGTGCCGGTCTGAGTGAGTGAGTGGGTGAGCGGGTGTTGTGTGTCTGCACCATCGTTCCGCCCTGTTTTCATGAATAATAATAGGTCGCACGGGAGCACACAGCAATAGTACTACGCTAGGTCTGAATTCCGCGATCCCCATATTCATCCATTGCACAGTATTCCGCAGCACGATGCCGCTGGCTGATACTGTTGCCTAGTACAACACTGTAAGGGAATCAGTACAGTTTCCGATCAGCACAAAACAAAGAGCAAATGCGGTCTTTACATCCCTTGGCATGTCTGACATGTCACGCACCTCCGGTTGACGACGGAGCCCAGGGGGCCCGGAGCCTCGGTGGGTCGGGGGTCAGCATCGACTAAACCAAATTTGCGCGGAAGTCGGTCCTCTGGCCTGCTCCGGGCCAATGAGACGACGTTCCGGAGGTGGCTCCAAGACGAATGTAAACAGTTTGCAGGACAGTGCGGAGTATACTCATCACCACTGACTCTAGCACTAGCCCTAACACTGACGCTGACACTGACACTGACACTAACGGACGGAAGCTCTGCGCCGTGCCATTGCTGCAGGTCCCTAGGTTTAATCGTAATATTCTTAAGATTTGGTGCAGAGCACGAGGTACGCCCTGTCAATGACTCCGGTGAGGCGGAAGGAAATTCATGTATCGGCACTGAGCAGGTCACAAGAGTACAAGCAGCAGCGTACAGTCCCTTTGAGGCTGTGACACGCAGGATTGATGCCGGCAGTGCTATCGACCTGTAATTGAGATTCATGTCGTTGCGTACAGTGGGTAGACACTACCGAAAGTTGTCTCAGTGGCTTATCGTGGCCTACCTAGAAGAGAACAGCTCTCGATGTATTTACGCCAGTTCTGGGCCTACGGTATGCCTTCCCCTTTCTCGGGGTCTTGTAACGGCAGACGCGCCACATGGTCCTCGGTATCAATTGAGAATCAACTTGAGGCGCTGGACTGAATTTAAGCGGTGGCGGGGTTTTCATCACTATTTATTCGCCGCGATGCCGCTTGCGAATGTGCACGTCCAGATCGAGGATTTTAACGGCAACGCCCGTCCAGGTCTTGAGCGGTCGGTCGGGATGTACGAGGCTCAGCTGTGGGCAGGTTAAATCGTCAGCTAGTTGGCCTAGAACAGCTCAGAGATTGGTATTTGCGTTGGATGACTTACGTCAAAATTGCCCACCAGGGTCGGGATGAGCTTGTAGATCTCCAAATATGCAATGTGCTTGCCTAGGCAGGCTCGTGGGCCATACCCGAACGTCAGAAAGACTCTTTGCATGTTGCGGACCCTTTCATCATGCGCAGCCTTGGACTCGGTCTCCCTGCGCAGCCAGCGCTCGGGCACGAATTTGTCCGCGTCATCGCCAAACACGCTTCTGTCGCGGTGCAGCGGCCACGGGTTCATGCCGACAATGGTGCCGGGAGGTAAACTCTGCCCGGTGGGCAGGACGAGCCCGGAAGCACCCACGGTTCGTTCCAAGTCAATGCCGATCGTGGAGAAGAAACGCAACGTCTCTTTGATGACAGCGTCGAGGTAGGGTAGTGACTGGGCCGCGGTGTAGCTGACTGGAAAGCTGACATTGTTTGCATCTATCTCTGTCTGAAGCTTGTCGTAGACGTCGCGGTGCTGGAGGATGCACATGATGATGGCTGTCAGAGCCGTGGATGTGGTGTCTGAGGCCGCCAGTATGTTGGCATTTGTGTAGGCCGCCAGTTGAATGTCTGTCACCACATCTGGGTGCTGCTTCTGAGCGTCCAGGAAGCGTGAAAGGAAGTCGTACCCACTGGTATCCCCCTTCTCTCGTCCCTCGAGACGGTGTCGGATTCTCTGGGCGGTAAAATCCACCAGATGATTCGGCGTTTTTATCAGTGTCAGGAGTAGAGGATTTTTCAGGAGCAGACGGTCAATCCAGGGCATGGACCCTACCGTACCAATATACAAGAACTGCAGGTCCAGAGTCCCAATCATGTTATTAATGTCCGAGCCTGCATCCATGAATCCAAAGTCCTTGCCGAACGTGGCCCGCCCGATGAAATCAAAGGTGAAAAAGTGCAGCCATTCATGGAGAGGGCACACTCGGCCATGGCTTTTGCCGTCCACGAACTCCTCTCTGAGCCGACGCATCAACTTGTTGCTACAGTCGTTGACAACATTTTCGAAGGACAGGAGTGTGCTCATGGAATAGGCACCGGCGATGGGCCGTTTGAGCCGGGCGTGAAGCTTCGAGTTTTTGGCCGAGATCAGCATAGGGAGGTATTCGCATTCATGCGCGTTGATCATGGGATTCACTGAATCGGTCTTGTCGAGGTTGGCCTTCAGTCCCAGAATGAGTTCGACCGCCGCCGGATCGGCCACGCTGACGAAGTTGGGGCCGATGCGCACCACTGGGCCATACTCACTATGAAGCTCAGGCATGGTCTGCTGGTGATTCCCCTTGCAGGCATCGATGAACCGCCAAAGATCGGAGAAGCGGGCTAGCACCGGCCCAGGGATCGACTGTAGTCCCGGCGCAAAGTAGTTGAGCAGAAGGCGCAGCGCCAGGAGAGAGAATAGAAAGAGAGCCGTGAGAAGTAAAAGCCCAGAAATCATCTTGTCACCGCCCACGAGGGCCCTTCACGTTCAGGAACTGATATGTTGCTTGATGTGGACGGCGTCGATATATGATACTAGCTTTCAGGACCCAGCTAAGTATACCGAGTCCTGTACATGGCGCGGAAGACTGCCGTCCTCGTGTGACAACCCGGCCCAGCAGCCCATATCGCCAGTTCCTCCTCGTATGCCCACCTTCGGCCTAGTACTGCCGAATCCCCAGAGGGGATTCCGGGGTATCCACAATGCTAACAGGCGGAAATCGACAGGGGGAGGGAGTTGCGGGGCGATCTCGGCCCCGAGCAATCCAGCCTCGCATCTGGGGATTCGGGAGGGAATGAGAGTAGGCCCCCAGTCTCTGTGCCGTCTCCGTGTAACCACTGACTTGGTGCGAGACCTATTCCCCACAAGAACCATGGTTAGTCTGAGACCATGGACGAACGGACGAGACTTGTAATATTTGTAATTAACAGGGCTCGTATTAGATTAGTTACCGGTCGCTGCAACTCAACTAGACGAGATCAGGCTTCTGGTGAACCAAGATCCATGGACTCCACCTAACCATGGGACGAAAGGCCACCAATGCTTGCGAGTCTCGTAAGCACACCCACCACTGCCTTGATCTTGCTCACCACATCTTCGACCTCCTGCTGAGCGAGTATACTTGTCAGGAACCATCGACCAGGCCAGTGGCTACGAGGTGCTGAACCGCTCATGTGTGAGCATCGATTCTGAAAAGATGAAACGCTTTTCTAAATTCTGGACTCGCCCAGCGGTCGACACTACCCGCCAGCTTCCAGAGCGACAAAAGGAGACAAACCCACAACGAAATCAAGAGGCCCTTCATTTGGTCGACAAGGTCTTTGAGCGTACAGTGGTTCTCATCACTGGAGCTGGCTCAGGTATGTGCGTTGGTCTGCAAAGAGAGCTTGATGACCGACTCTGGAGCAGGAATTGGACAGGAATGTGCTCAGCAATTTGCATTGCATGGATGTCGAAAGCTGTTTCTCGTTGATATCTCCCTCTCTGGCCTACAGCAGACGAGGGAGATGCTCGAAAAGGACCAACCACTCGCCCAAGTAGAGCTGTACCAAGGTAATGTCGCCGAGGAAAGCTCTGTGAAGCGAATGGTTTCACAGTGTGTCGAACTCTACGGCCGGCTCGACGTAGCGTGCAACAACGCTGGCATCAGTGGTGGGAGCGCGAGGACGAGCGATTTGGCCGTCGAGGATTTTGACCGGCTTTGCTCCGTCAACCAGCTAGGGGTGAGTTTATACCCACATCCCTATCACTATTCCGACTCTGCGAATATATGCCACCCTCTTACTCACCTAAGCCGCAGGTCTTTCTGTGCGAAAAATACGAGCTCCGTCAGATGCTGCAGCAAGATCGATCCGTCGGCGACCAACGGGGAGCAATCATCAACGTCTCCTCCATCGCCGGCAACTGTATCATACCTACCGCGCCTGCATATGCCGCCTCAAAGCACGCCGTGGTTGCCCTCAGTCGCTGTGACGCTCTCAAGTATGCCCAGGACGGGATCAGGGTCAACTGCGTGTCGCCAAGTGCAGTTTGGACCCCGATGGTCTCGGACGCCGGCCTTCCGCAGGAGTTCATTGACATGGGCGCCGCACAGTCACCGGTGAAGCGTTATCTGCAGCCTCTCGAAGTGGCGGAAGCAATCCTCTTCATAGCGAGTCCCAAAGCTACGGCCATTATAGGTGCCAACCTGCCAGTTGACTGTGGCACGCAGCTTCTACGAAGCTTCTACTGATGTACTTAGTTTTCGCTTCCACCGCAATGATCTCTACTCGGTATGATTGGTTGCATCGAAACCAAGGCTGGCTGGAGTGTGTCATTCGACTGGGAGGAGTCAATGATAATTGGCAGGCAATCGCGGGACAGACAGCTTTGTAGCTGAAAGATTACCCAATTTGATCGTCTCTAGATGCTCGTTCCAAAGTAATTCAGTAATTCATAGCCTGTGACGATCGCGACAACTTACACTGGGAGCCTCATTCCGTTCTCCACCGGCCTAAGGATTTGTGTCGAGTACCTGGTATGTAATACGCACGTATGTGACCTTGGCTGGTTCCGCAGCGGCACTCAGGTCGCTTAATTCGATACGTGCTACTCCCCAACTACCTACTAGGTACCTCAGGTTGATTGATGAAACCTCCCTCTGCGCATCTCCTGTTATTAGTCCGTTGATAGAAGCCGGTCCACTCGCGAATCAACGCCCACACTTCGACGTCTACACTGAGTAGTGCGCTGGGGCTGCCGGAGGCGCTCTTCAAACACACAACCACTTTCCACATAATAATGGACCTTTTTCGTCTCGGCACGGTGGTCATCACCGGTGCAGCAACTGGTTCGTCTCCTACGTACCCGAGTGGACAGTGTATTTGAGGGGATGAATCATTAACGTGTAGCATGTTCACAGACACCGGATCCGTCATTGCCTGCTTGTTCGCTCAATACGGGTGCAAACAAATATTCCTGGGGGACTCTCCGCTTCGAAATCTTGACGAGTGCCGGCGCAATATCTTGGCTGCCCATCCTTCAGTCCAGGTGTTGGTGAAGGAGTTTGACCGGGCGGATGAAGCAGACGTCGAGGCGTTCTTCACTGCCGTCGTGCAGTCATTCACCCGGATCGACTTTGCCGTCAACCTCATCTGCCAGGATCAGAACCCTCGAGCAACTGTCGACATCTCGGCAGAGGACTACGCCCGGAGCTATACGGTCTACCAGAGAGGGGTGCGTTTCAATTATCCTCTTGATGAGTTTGAGGACAATGAGGCCATGCTGCCGCTTGTCTCTGGTCAACTTCTTGCTTGCTTGCCTGCTTGCTACTACTTGTTCCCAATGCTAATCTGTCAAGTTGGGATCATAGGCATTTCTGATTCAACGGGCCCTTCTACGGCAGATGCTCAAGCAAGAAATGGCGCCTGGCTTCGGCAGTCGAAGCAGCATTGTCAATGCCGTCGAACTCGGTGCTACGGCGTCCCTGGCTGACCGCCCGCTTTCGGCTGCCGCCGCCAACGCGATAGTCGGGCTGAGCAAGACAGATGCCTTCGACTACGCATCGGACGCGATTCGGATCAACTGCGTTGCTGCAGACGAGGCGTTGAGGCCGCAGAAGGGGCTTGGAGTGGGTGAGAAAGGCCCGTTGCGCAGCATGGAAGGCCTGAGGAACGTTGCCAACGCCGTGGCGTGGCTTTCCTCGCCGGGATCGGGATGGCTGACCGGCTTGGTCGTCCCAGTCGACAAAGGCCGCAATCTCAACTGTGGTTGGTAGGGACAAGACAGGACAGGATGGGATAGAGTAGGACTAGGATACAAGGTAATAAATTCACCGATCTAAGGCCAATATTACCAAGCTCAATACCCAATGGTCAATGGAAGACATAACCTGCGCGTATGCTATTGCACCACACCAAGACTCCCTTGAGTGTTGGCTTTCACATTGATTCTGTCTCCAGGGTGCAATGATCATCGTCACATCTCTCTGCAACTCTAATTACTGACAAAGTAGTTCACAGCTATTGGGTGGCTCAGATTGACCTTCTTCTCCCAGTCCCCCAGCGCAAACCGCTTTCGAGCAAGGTTACTATATTCCTTCCCACCTGGAGGCGCATGCTTGGTGCCATCGAAACCCTCCGGCTGCTCGTAGAGTAGGAAGACATATCTGTGAGGCGAACTCCCTGGTGGGGGCCCCGGACCGACGTAGTTTGCGACAAATGGGTCACTCGAGGTCAAGACCTTTGACCCAGCGGATGGTTTGAAGCCCGGTTGAATCCAGTGCAAGATGGGCGAAAGGAAGTTTAAGCTCGGGTACGGACCGTCGAGATCGATGCAAATCACCATGTAAGTCGCCGCACGGGAAGGAACCGCAAAGGACAGCGTCGGAGGAAGTTTGGCATCTGTCAGGCTCATCAGTCATACGACTCCCCTCCCACACGCCTGAAGATGGTTGCAGGTGGTGTGTATGCATACCTGAACGAGCAATGTGTTGACCCGGCTGCAAGACCTTGCCGTCATAGCTCAGTTCGAGAATCTTGGATTTGTCGCTCGTGACGACGTCGAGGTACCGCTTGATCTTCTCGTCGGTGGCCATGATGAAGTGCCTGACCCAGGACCAACAGTTGACTCCGTGTGACGAGGCACTCGTGTAAAGCAAACCCGTTCGCCTTGAGCTCGGCTAGTCACGGCAATGTCTTGGTTGAACGACTTAACACCGATTCCATTGACCAACTCTGGTAGGTCTGGTAGTGTCGGACTTAACGGAGGTCGAGACCAGGTAAGGAAGGGGGTTGGCTTCTCAAAGTGCCGACATTTGTGGCAGGGCATACCGTGGGCAACCGAAAGACGATCCTTTGGGTACGAGGGCGCGGAGGAGAGAAGGTGCTCTGAGGGGAGATCCGCAAGCCCAAGAGTCTGCACAAGCAACATATTTGCGAAGCCCATCGCGAGGAGTGAATGTGGAATTCGATATAAGCGAGTGGCGCCTTGTCCCAGTCGGCCAGGGTATTAGCAAGGGGCACCAGAGACTGGGGGAAAGCGGCGGAGGTCGAAGCGGAATCCATTCCATGAGATCTTCTGCCGTCGGTCGTAATGGAGACTCTCGCAGCTCAATACGAGTACATTGATCGCGGGCCAAATCAGTATTACTCGGTAAGCTTCTGTGATTGCGGCCTGGCACTCCGCCCACCGAATACCATACCTTTCCTATTTCGGTAATGAGATGTCTGACGACTTTCAACCATGACGACTGTCACTAAAACATACAAAATACTGTAAAATAACCCGCCCCTTTCTTCCCCTCGACTCTTTTCAAAGTCTCAAACTACCAGGCTTGTTCGTTCCCACCCTTCCGTTTCCGTGCCAAATTGATTAATTGTTGATCTATTTTCACAGCCTCACCACGGCATCTGCGCGCTAGAACTCAATCGCCCCAACAGCGGCAAGCACAATGAAAGTGGTACACGGTTCTGAGATGAACTACAGCAGCAGCGGCTTGAAACACCGGCCCGGAGCTCCATTGTTCAAATTCTTGATCCTGGGCGAAGAGAACACGCCTGACAACTTTTTCCTGATGCTGGCCAGACAAGAAAGCTTCTACTCTCCGCGCCATCATCACAACTTCGAGCAGTTCCGTTATGCGTACAAGGGCGATATCACACTAGGTGAAGGCGAAGACTGGCTCTTGAGAGAGGGGGAAGTCGCGCATTTCCCGGAGGGGGCGTGGTACGGCCCTCAGAACGACGGGCACGCAGTGAAGGAAGTGCTTGTGCTGCAATTTGGCGGTCCGAGTGGACAAGGCTTTCTCAGCTTTGGCCAGCTGAAAGCGATCCAAGACGACATGGACGCCAAGGGCCTTGGGAAATTCGAGGGAGGAAAGTTCATCCCTGCCAGCGATGCTTCCAAAGCCATTGATGGGTACGAAGCACTGTGGGAGCACAAACACGGCCGGAAGCTGGAATATCCAGTCACGAGGTACAAGCATCCGTTGTTGATCGACTCCCAGGCTTTTCCATGGCGCAAGCTTGACCAACACACACAAGGAAACGTGTTGACCAAACCTCTTGGGGTCTTCTCTGATGGGAGCGTCTCGGCACGGTTTCTCCGAGTCGAAAATGGAACATTGGGATTGCCTGAAAAGGAGGCTATACAGTTGCTCTTCGTTCGTAGCGGCACGGCCAAGGTCGACGGACATGACGTCCGGGAGCAATCAGCGGTGCAATTAATGGTCGGAGAGCGTGCAGAAATAGCAGTGGACGACACAGCTGTGGAAATACTCCACCTTACTCTACCTTCGCGCTCGAATTGAGCAAAAAGGACCCAAAGACTCCGGTGTAGGGTGTAATGGATGAGATTATGTGCCAGTGTGCCAGTATGCCAGCCTTGTGGTGGTAAGAATGCCCAGAGATGTGCCTCTTGCCGGTTTCTGATCCATATCGATCGGGATTCGGGTGCCAACCTCCACAGCGGTCTATGTTTTATGGAACGCACGGGAAGTCTTCCGCATCGTGCCCCGTGCTCGGTGGTGGGGACAGCGTATCCAACCCCGTATGATGAGCTAGGTCCACAAGCGCCAAGCTATTAAGAGACTGGCCACTCTCCGGACATGGCCCATGCATATGTACAGGGTAATTATACATAGAGAGGCCCTCCTCCCACTTCTTCTCGGTCGAAGGACCTGCACGAAACAGTCACCCTTTTCCTTGGCGAGAAGCTCTTCTTCACATTGCCCAAGTCGTCACTCCTTTCCCCGTTCCACAAAGGTCAGTCGCTCCAGGGGTTGCGCAGAGTACTCCTCGTTCCCAACGTCGAACTGTAATTGTCCCAAGGCAGCGCCACTGATCGAGGGAGTAAGACCCCTCCCCGCGATGGCGTCGATCAGTGGACGACCGTGGGTGCCGATGAGATTCACACGGACTCGGGCTTTTGGCCGTGCAACGAGGATAACAGCCTCACGCAGAAGTGTCTTCCTGTAAGAGCGACCGTATCTGGACCTTGTCGGCATTCCGCTAACAACATCACTGCCAGGAAAAGAACGCTCACCACCATCACGGCGCGGCGTTATGCAGAGCCGGGCACGGCCACAGGAGCTTCTGCAAAGGCTGGAATCCAGACGCTAGGTGGTGACGGCAAGAAGCACCCTGTTGCCAACGAGGCATGCGACCTCCTTGTGGTAGGCTCCGGGGGAGCAGGCATGTCGGCCGCCCTGACTGCTCAGCACTTGGCCTCAAAGTCATGGTAGCAGAGAAGGAAGAGCAGTACGGCGGCGTCACCGCTCGCTCCGGTGGCTGGCTTTGGGTCCCTGGGAGCAGTATGGCCAAGGCTGCGGGCATCCGCGACAGCGTTGACCAGGCACTCACATATATTCGCCACGAGGCTGGACCGTACTTCGACGAGGCTCGTGCCAAAGCCTATGCTGAGACAGCACCGGAGATGCTTGACTTCGTCGTCAAGAACACCCCTGTCCGCCTCGGGCTATTCACCGGCATGCCTGACTACCACCCCAACTCACCGGGAGCAAGTCCAGGTTGCCGTTGTGTGTACACAAAGGCGTGGAGTTCTCGCCCCATGGGCGACGAGCTGAGTCGCCTCCGGCGACCCTTACAGTCCATGACTGCTTTCGGCATGCAGATTGGCAACGAGGACCTGGCGACCTTTGTGACAGCCGGCCGAAAATTCTCATCCTTCTTCCGTGTTATGAAATTACTCGCAGGAAACACGGCCGACCGACTCCGTGGAAGACCACCGTCACGCATCACCAGTAGGCGCGCGCTGATCGGCGGCTTTGCTCAGGCGGCGACCTCCAAAGGGACTCAAATATGGACGAACGCTCCTGTCCGTCGTCTCATGGTGGAGAACGGCCGCGTGACCGGTGCGCTCTTGGAACGAAACGGTCGAAACATCCAGCTGCGGGCCCCGCGAGGAGTCATTCTGGCCACGGGAGGATTCGCACACGATGTGCAGCTGCGAAATCAGCTGCTGGAAGGCTCGATGACAGACGTCGGCACCAACCAGGCGGCTTGGGGTTTGCTACCGTTCGGCGTCACGGGGGACGGAATCAGGATGGCTAAGGCTGCAGGTGGTCGATTCGATGACAAGGTAATGAAGCCGATTGCATACTCTCCAGTCACGAGGATCTTCAACGCTGAAGGTGACCTGTCGCTTTTCCCAGTCTTCGTAGGGCGCGCAAAGCCCGGCCAGATCTGCGTCACGCGCATCGGGAGGCGCTTCATCAGTGAGGGCTGCAACTATCACGCATGGGGAGAAGCGCTAGTCAAAGCAACAAAGGGCGAAGACGAAACTGCGGCCTGGTTTGTCTGCGACAAGCCCTCGCTCCAGCGATATGGAATGGCCGCAGTGCCACCCTGGCCGATCCCGTTCGGCCACCTAATCCACTCAGGATATCTGAAACAAGGGAACACCGTTCGCGAGCTTGCCGAGAAGGCAGGCATTGATCCAGACGGACTGGAAGACACGGTGGACCGATTCAACGCCCACGCGCGAGAAGGGAGAGATCCAGAGTTCGGCCGGGGTGAGAACGCGTACGACCTTGCGAACGGTGATCCGGACCACAGACCGAATCCTTGCTAGGGCCCTCTCGATCAAGGCCCCAAGTTCTTCGCAATCAAGGCTACCGCTGGATGCGGGAGCACCCATGCTGGACTTTCTACGGATGCGAATGCATGCGTACTTCGCTCTGATGGTTCGATTGTTGCCGGCCTATATGCCGTCGGTAATGATGCGGTGGCTATCACGGGGGGCAAAATTATCGCCGGTGGCATTACCATCGGTCCAGCCATGACTTTTGGCTATCTGGCTGCTCATCATGCCGCTCGGAGTACTGTACAGTAGTTGCGAAACTGACCGCGCAGCAAGCAGCAGCGGTGAAGGGATAGTTATATCGGGCGGACGGACAATAGGTTTGTCATTCGATCCTACCAGCTCCGCGAAATCGAGGTAGCGGCGTGAGGCCAGGGAATTCTCCAGGTCGAAGCAGAAGCAAAGATATAGCTGATTATATGGGCTCAGATAAGGCCCAGGGTCTTTCCTCAGAGAGTGGTCAGGGAGCGTTGAGTGATGCTCCAGTCGAAGCTCACTGCAAACTCAGCTGAAAATCAGTCTAAGCTCAATCTAAGCTCAGTTAAAGATCAGTCAAAGCTTAGACTCAAGTGGCCTTCGCACACCCCCCATCATCAAGTCGTGATCGGCAGCTAGGTTTTCCATTGTCGAGTGATCAGGATAGTCACAAGATCTTGCATTTGTCAACCATCAGCCTGTGCAGATTTCAACATGTAGCCTCCCTATTCCCTCGTCGAACAGATCTCCGCATCTCCGCATCTCCACAATCAAACGGTGCGACGCTATTCAGGCCGGTAGCCATGCGATGTTTATCCAGAGCGCGCGTCATGTCAGTCATGCCAGTTCTTTGTGAGACCTCGCATATGGCCTCCGAGAAACGTGTCGAGCCATGCAATCAGCCAAGGAACAGTTCTCGACTCAGGGGGCTTGGAATCTTGACTCAGCCCGAGTGACCGTACAGGCTCGCTTCACTGCATCACCGGAAGCTGCAGGAATACCTTCCAGACGTCATTCACCGTGTCACTCGGAATGCGGAGGCTCCCCGCATGTCGTCGAGGTTACTTCGACAATGCTTGTAGTGCTTGTACTACCATGCGTCGGGGTGCTGATCAACCGAACCATTGTCGCTGCGGATTGGACGGATGACCACGTCTGGCACCAGCTCCTTGCTCGAATCGGCAGGTGTCTCTGTCGAGGCTCTGTACTAGACGACAGGTTTGCATTGCCGTCTGCAGCGACGTCGGAGGTAAATGGAATTCATCTCCACAGTACTCACATATAAAGTCCCGGGAATGGGCCTGCGGGATGTATTCAGTCGTTTCCAGCACATCCTCGTGAGCACCGGCAATATGGCACTCCTCACTCTGTGGTCGGGTCTACTAGCCCTGACCGCTCAAAGTGTGGTGGCCCAAGACTATGGCACTTCTCCTCCAGTCTACCCCAGCCCTCCCACTGCTGGGATTGGCTGGGAAGCAGCATTTGCGCAAGCCGATGCATTTGTTTCCAATCTAACATTAGAAGAGAAAGCTCAGATGGTCACTGGAACCACCGGTCCCTGTGTTGGCAACATCGGCGGTATCCCGCGCGTCGGCTTTGAAGGGATCTGCATGCAGGATGGACCTCTGGCAATCCGACAGGCGACGTACGCATCGGTCTTCTCGGCGGGTCTGACAGCGGCGGCGTCCTGGGACAGAGGTCTCATCTTCGCACGCGGCCTGTACATGGCAGCGGAGTTCAAAGGCAAAGGCAGCCATGTTGCCCTCGGCCCCGTTGTCGGACCCCTGGGTCGCTCCGGCTACGGCGGACGTGGATGGGAAGGCTTCTCTCCTGACCCGTACCTGACGGGTGTGGCGGCAGAGCAGACAATCTGGGGAATGCAGCAAGCCGGGGTGCAGACATCTCTCAAGCATTATATCGGCAACGAGCAGGAGACGCAGCGGAACCCCGACAAGTCGAGCAGTGGCACCACCATAGAAGCGGTATCCTCCAACATTGATGACCGTACCATGCACGAGCTATATCTCTGGCCATTTGCAAATGGCGTACGGGCCGGGACTGCTTCAATCATGTGCTCCTACAATAGGCTTAACGGCTCTTATGGTTGCCAAAACTCTAAGACCCTCAATGGCCTGCTCAAGACGGAGCTGGGCTTCCAAGGTTACGTCGTGTCGGATTGGCAGGCCACTCACGCGGGCGTCGATGCCATCAATGCTGGTCTGGACATGGACATGCCAGGTAAGTCTACGCTTTCCAGTCAAAAGTACACAACATGCTGACTGGCCAGGACCCATAAGCGGTTTCCAGAACGTCTCATTCTTCGGGGGAAACGTCACGCAGGCAGTCAACAACGGGTCACTCAGTCAGGACCGAGTAGATGATATGGTAAGGCGGATCATGACTCCTTACTTCTATCTCAACCAGAATGAGTTCCCCCCGATCGACGGATACGAGCCCACTCTCAACTCAAGGTTTCCACCATACCAATATCCATTCACGTTGGGTGCCGCGAATGTCGACGTCCGAGATAACCACGCTCAGTCGATCCAGGAACTTGGCGCAGCAGGGACAGTGTTATTGAAGAACACCAACAATACACTGCCTCTGAAAGCCCCGAGCACGATTGGCGTGTTTGGGAATGATGCAGGCGACGTGGTTGATGGGTTGTACTTTTCAGGAGCTGCCTTCCAGCAGCCAGAGGGCTACGGTAAGAGGATCGCGTCGTTGCCCCGTCCCCGGCTGCCTTGCTAATCGCTTTTCACAAGAGTATGGCACCCTTCCTGCTGCCGGCGGTAGTGGGGCCGGGCGGTTCTCATATATTGTCACTCCGCTCGAAGCGATCAAAGCCCGGGCAGCTCAAGACCGCACTCTCGTCCAATACATTCTGAACAATACCCTGATCACTCAGCCAGGCGGACTGCGCACCATCGCCCCAGTACCGGAAGTCTGCCTCGTATTTCTCAAGTCCTGGGCGTCAGAGGGGTCAGATCGAACGTCGCTGGAGGCGAACTGGAACAGCACCGCCGTCGTCAACTCCGTCGCAGCAACCTGCAACAATACCATCGTCATCACCCACGCGGCGGGCCTGAACGTCATGCCGTGGGCAAATCACCCGAACGTGACGGCGATTCTCGCGGCACATCTTCCGGGTCAAGAATCGGGCAACTCCATCGTTGACGTCCTCTATGGCGCCGTCAACCCGAGCGGCAAACTTCCGTATACCATCGCACTCAATGAATCCGACTACCGCTTCGCCGACATCACCAACTCAACCGAGTTACAGGAGACCGAGGACCCGAACGCATGGCAGTCCAATTTCACCGAAGCACTCCTGATTGACTACCGCCACTTCGACTACTATAACCAATCCGTGCTGTACGAGTTCGGGTTCGGTCTGTCATACACCACGTTCGACATGTCCAACCTCGACATTGAGCCCACGGTTCCTAGCCTGGAGATCAGCCCAGTGCCGGACGCGGTGCCTATCGTGCCGGGAGGGAACCCGACGCTCTGGCAAGTGCTTTACACCGTCAACATCACGGTCACCAACACGGGCGACGTCGCCGGCGCGAGTGTCCCGCAAGTGTACGTTGCCCTGCCGCAAATCGACAACTCGGTCCCCACGCCGAAGAACGTATTGCGCGGCTTCGACAAGCTCAGTCTTCAGCCGGGCCAGTCGCAGACGGTCAACTTCCCATTGACGAGAAGGGATCTGAGCTATTGGGATGTCAACATGCAGGAGTGGGTGATTGCCAGTGGGACGATCGGGATCAACGTGGGCTTCAGTTCCAGAGACATCAGGCTGACGGACGAGATTGTGGTTGTCCAGGGATCTTGAAGAGGGAGCGCGTACGCATCTCCCAGCATCGGGAGTCTGTGAACTATCAGTGGCCCATGTAGAGTGCCGCGTGGGGTTCTACAGGAAACTCCGAGTGGTTGAGCGGAGCTAATTAACAAACAACGTCCAGCTTGATAGCGAATTTAATTTATCGATGATCATTTCTCCCATCCTACAGCGGAGGCAGCGCTTCCCTACAGACAGGGCACACAAGCCTGAGGTTCATCCAGCCCTCCAGACAGTCGGCATGGAAAATGTGCCTGCACGGTGTGACCATGTAGTTCCTCTGCTCCAGCCATGCTGTGCCCGTGCCTCGGCCAAGTGCATGATCTGCCTTGGATAAGACTGGTACGTCGATCTCGTTCATGCAGATGGCGCAGTCGAACACTTTTCGCGTCCTGTCGTCCTTATCTTTGGCTTCCGATGCCGAAGCCAACAGGCCAATGGACATGCCGGTGGCCTCGACGTCATCTTCGCGGAGGAGAGGATGGTAGTCGTAGGCGGGGGGGCACCAGGAGTCGCGGACCAGAAGACGCGGTCCAAGAAGGTGTTGGCTGAGAAGAATCGCGACTTGCAGCCATAGCCAGGCCAGCAGCACGAGCGCAGTAGTTGGACTGGTGTCGATGGAGAGGATGTTTCGGTCCTCAAAGTACCAGTAGAGGATGGGCACTGCGCGAAGGATGCTTGTCCCCACAACGTACTCCCAGCTCAGGGCCTTGCGGCAGTTGCGCATCGTGTTACGGTATATCTGCGGCCACCAGAAGGAGAAGTAGCAGAATACCAGAAGATTGGCATAGCCCGATCGCAGGCTCCGGGGCCATGACATCGCCCAGAGTGAGAAGAACATGAGCAGGACGAGCGAGAAGTAGAATCTGCTGTAGATGGCGGCGAAAGATGCACGTGGACTAGCGACCTCAGCAGGCACCGGACTGTCCTGATCGGATGGGAGGATGACCGGTGTCGCACCTCCAGGTCGCGAAGCTGTGACCGGAAGCGGTAGGCCGACAGTCCCATCAGTGCTCGTAGGAGCGCGTGTTGTCGCGGGGGCGGCTGTCGGCGCCGGCGTTGTACTTGGAGCTGTGCGCTGCTGCCGCGATTGCTCAGCACGTTGAGGGTCGCCGACCTGTACTGTCCATATATCGAAGACGAACTTCACCTCTAAGAAGGCGACATGAATACAGGACAGATATGCGGCGGCAGCGACCATCAGAAAAGCTGATGCATCTACCATGAGCAGAGCAATAAGAGCGAAAAGGAGGAGGCCGTCTCCTAGAGCAGCAATTACAATACTCTGATAAGCAATGCGACTTCGAGTTGAGGGGGTGGCGGCTTTCTCCATTTGTCGTTTAAGGAGCGCAATTTGCAGCCCAATCGACAGCACGAAGGCAAACAGCAAACGCTGAGCGAGGGTCCAATATGCCTCTATCTTGGGTCCAGAGATTGTCGGAGATAGCAAAATGTAGCCGCAGTCGGGCGAGAAAATGACGGCTGAGTAGGCGAGCAACGGAGGTTGACCTATTGGAGCGCCCTCCGGTCGAATGAGCTCTTCTTCCACTCGATGCATAAAGTCGGTTGCTTTGAGGTTGTCGGCATCCCGAAAGCGATAGGGAATCGGCTGCATCCAAATGATGAGTTCACATTGAGGCGCGAAGGCTAGGCCATCAGCTCCATCATCAAAGACCTTCTCCCAGTTACTGTGCACAGTCTCGTTCATGACAGGTACTGAGAGGTTGAATGAGGCAGCGTCCGGTGCGAAGTGAGGAAGAGCAGGTAAGGCGTCGAACTTGGAGCTGGTTGTAGACATGATGATCATGCCGGATGGGAAATGGACTCCGTGCAATTTTGCTTGCCAGCCATTTCCAGGAGACGAGTCTGTCGACAGGGCGAGTTCTGCTTTGATAGCAGCGGCTTCATGACTCAGTCGACCTTGAGAGTCATATAGGGATAGACTGACTTCGCCTTTCTTTTCGGTAACATTCCTCTCAAACCAGCCCGAGAGGTAGTCTTTCTTCGGATCTACGGCCGTCAGATTGAGCACCGGCGAGATGCCTGGGATGTCATTTCTAAGAAACTGGCCTCGAAGCTCGCCAGTGACTCGCTTGTAGATTGGTAAGTCTGCGGTAGGGTCGATTCCTTTCCAGTTGGTTTCGAATTGGCTCCGACTGAGCTGCTGAGCCAGGGCCAGAGACTCCCATTGATAGCCGTCGGCTTCCCGAAAGCCGGTGAGATTCAGCCAGCTATGGGTTTTGGGGTTGAGCTGGCCGTACGATGAGTTTGCCAGCACATCTGCTTCTGCCTGATGTTGTTCCTCTATGGAGTCGGCCTCGAACTGTCGGAATCGTCGCGCGGGTTGCTCGGGGGTCAGGAAGATGAAGAGCAATAATACAATAAGTAGCACAACTCGTGGACCCTCCATCCACTGAATTGCACCTTTCTGCGACTCATCGCAGAGAGTTCGATGATATGATAGGAGATTAAGTGGGAAAGGTGATGACTTACTGACATATCGCCTGCTTTGGTGACAACCGGAGAATCATTTTATCCGCAAACCGGCGCGTGGCCCTCCCCCTCCGCACCCCCTGTTTATGAAATGTCAAACAAACCTTTACGACATGTACTCCGTACTCGCAGGTTACGAGGACTTATTCAAGGCACAGACAGAGGGTCGCATTCCAGACCGAGCTCAGGCTGCCCCCGCTCTATAGGGCAGTCTGCCGCCATGGCCAACACAATGCCCATACCACTTCCTCCTCGGACGCCGACACCACCTGCTGATGAGCCGTCCTCGCCTCAGAAACTCCCAGCATTCGATCCGAGGGACGCGGTATTTGACCCAAACACCCTTTCTCCGCACCACTACGAGTCTGAGCATATGTCGTCGACCGGAGCCTCATACTTCTCGACCTCGACGCCAGAGAGGCATAGTACAGGTGGAAACAGCAATGGAGCGGGCCCCTTCAACTTCCAGCCTTCGGCGCTGGCAAAATCCCCTGTGATCAAATCTGTTCGTGGTTCTCCCAGGATACTGCGGGCTCTCCCGGTGCATCGTAAGATTGCTGACTTGTCTCCCGTGCGCAAGCAGAATATTGGTCAGAGACGAGGCCACAAGTACAAGCATAGCAGTGTCTCGCACCAAATCTTCCTCGAACCCCCTTCTCGACCGCCGCTCGCTCTTCCGAACTCTCTCCCAATTCCGACCTTTGCTGAATGTCGAGCGAGCATGACGAAGGATCAGAAAGTGCGATTCTACTGGAGCATATGCCACATGGCTGTTGCAGGGTACACGGCGTCGAACTCGTACGGCTCGTCGGCAATGGAAGCACTGTCACATCTGATCTTCTACGACTCCCTCGGCGCTCTATTGTGCGTTTTCGTCGAGGTGCTATCAAACTTTGAGGTATGGGGTCGATCTAGCGTACGGCATCCTTTCGGCCTGCAGCGCATGGAAGTCATTGCGGGTTTTGCTCTGTCGGTGCTATTGATTTTCTTTGGCTTCGACTTGATCTCGCACAATGCAAAACACGCGCTGGAAGGCATCGGACACGAACCTCATCACCCTCATACGCATGAGCAAGTCACATCTGGCACTGTGGATTTGACCGCCATCTTGGCGCTGGTCGCCACGTTAATATCTGCAGTGGGCCTGCAGAACCATGCGCGGATAGGCAAAGCGATGCGTTTTGCCGCCATGGAGAACCTCCCTTCGCTTCTCAGCAATCCATCTCACTTCCTGACCCTCTCCTGCTCGGCAACTGTAATTTTGCTCCCTCTCCTGGACCTACATACCTACGAGTGGGTCGATAAAATAGTCTCGTTGAGCATCGCCTTCTCGATGCTCTTCTTGGGCTTCCACCTGGGACGAAATGTCGGCTCCATGCTCCTCATGTCGTTACCTTCAAAATCCAACGCCGACCTATCAGATGTTGTGAAAGCAATCGAGTCGGATCCCTTGGTGCGAGCGGTCGAGCAAGCCAAGTTCTGGCAAGCCCATTACGGGATGGGCATGGCGAATCTGCGACTGCGGGTTGTCGGCAGCGAAGAGAGTCTCGTCAAGCTTAGGGAAAAGATTACGAGCATCGTGCGCAACAAGCTGAGTGGTGGATACGGCCTGGGAAGCAGTGGGCAGAAGTGGGAAGTGAGTGTACAATTCAAGGTCGAAGTCGAGACCGCAATGAGTGCCAGCCATAGCCATTTCATGAGTCCCTCCAGCTGGGTGGTGACGGCTTGATACCGAGTAGGCAGCCGGGCTCAGCAAAGCAAGGCAGGAACTGTATACATTTGTACAAATATTCGATGAATTAACGACTTTGGCTTCGTCCAGACACGATAGAGCCGTTTAGACCGTGTATTGGTGATCTGTCCCGGCCACCATCTCGTCCTGTGTCCCTGAGTCGACGGCGTTGTTTCGGATGCCACTTGTATTCTCTGGGCTGCGTTGAAAAGGACGCATGAAGTCCACGCTGGAGAATCCAACGTTCCGGAGCAGCCCTCCGTTCGGCGGTGCTGGATGACCGGGGTCACGTTTCAGGGCTGACGGGACCACATCTTTGCTAGGCGAGTAGTTCGACTATGACAAAGATATAGATGCGTCGCTCGAGCCAGATTTCGATAGGTCTTAGCGACACCATCTTCATGTCCCACGCATTTTGACTGTGAGGATAGCTTGCTTGAGAATGGCCCCCTCCATAGGCACTGTTTCAGCAGCGCCAACCTCGTCGATCTTCTCTCTGACTGCCTTCAGCAAAGCCTGTGCTTCTTCCTGCGAGGCTTTTCTCTGGCGTCGTTTGTTTGCCAGCAAAAGCTCCACCTTTTTGCCCTTCTTGAGGAACTCCTGCATTTGCTTCATCTTCAGCTGCAGATCGTTGGCACTAATGGCCCAGTTCAGTTCCAGCTGTTTCGGCCTCTTGTCCTTCTCCAGGCGCTGCTGGTTGCGCTTCTGGTCTTCTTGACGGTTGATCTTCTGAATCAGCTCCATGCGCGAAACGACCTGCACGATCGGTATCTGACCATCATCTGGTTTGTTCATTTGTAGGACATATTGATTGGAACGGTCGATCGAGTCCAGCAGCTGATCAAGCCACTGGGGCTCCGACAGCGGCGCACCTGGAGTTTTGACCCTGACTTTAAGTGCTGCGATCTTCTCGTTGAGCGGGAACTCGGCGATCTTGTCGTCGATTGTCTTGATTTGGATCTTGCCTGCGACCCGTCGCTGATCGATCACAAGTCCAGGTGTCGTGGTAAAGCATCGTCTAGACGCAGCTGGCGCCGCAGTCCGCACCAGCGGCCGGCCGATGCAAAGCACGAGAGACTGCCGCATCCAAGAGGGTCGATAGGATTGGAGGAAGGTGAGTCGCGGGACGAAAGCTCGCGCGGCTTTTGACGATAGCGAGTGACTACGAGTACGGAGTAGCTAGTACGGGGGCTCACGTACCCCAACTTTTTTAGTGCTCAAATCTATGGACTACCTGTGCTTCGCACTTGTGCCTTAACCAGCGCCGATTTAAGCTGACGCCGCCTTATTCTCACCTCGCTCGCACGGCATTTCCGCTGGATCTCCTGCATCGCATAACCACCTCGTCAAAAGTCTTTGACGACTGCTTAGGTCCTGCGTGTTGCGGCGCAGTCAACGAAGTGTAGGATGGAGTGCGACTTTATATGAGAGAGCACGAAGGTGATGGTGGTGAGAGGGTCAATTATTTTAAAGCGGCGTGCTCTGAACAGGCGCATCAGGTTCCGCCAGCAAATGAACAACATTTCAGTTTCTCCGCAGTTTCTACTGTCGTTTCTCCTGGACGCCGCATGCGAGGATTCAGCACGTTCCCAAATTCCACTGTAATGTGTTACCTCCGTTATACTTCGCTCGCTTTTTCCGCTTCCCGAGTCCATGTCCTCTTCACCCAAACCGCTTGACCGAGCTGGCATCTGGTCGTACGTTCCTTTTACCTCTACACCTCGCCGTCGTTCAATCGGCAGCGGACTCCCGCGTACCACGACCAATAGCGCCAACGGTCGGCCGTGGGATCCCTCCGCCGCGAAGTCAAATACACACTTTCTTCCCTCTGGCAGGAGCCAGCCTAACATCCTGGAGTCCGTACAGAACGCCTGGATGACTCAAAGTCGCCAGGCCAAGTACATCAGGACCGGCGGCATCCTCGCTCTCATCGCCCTGTTGTATTGGTTCTTGTCAGCAGGGAGCACGCCGGTCCAAAATGTTTATACGTCTACGACATCTCCCACGTCGCGGTGTACAAAACCGCACGACCCTACAAAGCCCCTGGTGCAATACGCAATTATGATAGACGCGGGGAGTACCGGGAGCAGAATACACGTCTACAAATTCAACAACTGCGGGCCTACGCCTGAGCTGGAGAATGAGGACTTTAAGATGACCGAACCTAAACCAGGCGGCTCGGGTTTGAGTTCTTTCAAGACGGACGCCGAGGGCGCAGCCAAAAGTCTTGATCCTTTGATGGAGGTCGCAATGAAAGCGGTCCCGGATGAGTACAAGTCATGTACGCCCATCGCAGTGAAGGCCACTGCAGGCCTCCGGCTGTTGGGCGAAGACATGAGTCTTAAGATCTTGGAGGCTGTCAGGACCAGACTAGAGACGCAATACCCTTTCGCCGTGGTCTCTCGGGAGAAGAATGGGGTAGAAATCATGAAGGGGGAAGATGAAGGGGTGTTTGCCTGGATCACAACTAACTACCTTCTGGGCAAAATCGGAGGTCCTGATGAGAGTCCCACTGCAGCCGTATTCGACCTAGGCGGCGGCTCAACCCAGATCGTCTTCCAGCCGACTTTTAAGAAGAGTCCCCACGGAGGCATGCCCCAAACAATGGAAGAAGGCGATCACAAGTACAAGCTGAAGTTCGGAGGCCGGGAGTTCGAGCTCTACCAACATTCTCACTTGGGATACGGCCTGATGTCTGCCCGAAAGGCTTTGCACCAACTCGTCCTGGACCGGATGCACAAGCAAAATCCCGACTCACGAGCGTGGCTCTCCAAACCGATACCCAACAGTTGTATCACGCCTGGAACACAGAAGAAGATCACCGTCGAAATGCCTGCGGACCATGAACTCGCAGGTGAACACGAAGTTGTCATGGAGGGCCCTGCCGACGCGATCCCAGCTCAATGTCGCGCCCTTGCAGAAGCAATTCTGTACAAGGACAAAGCATGCAACTTGGCACCCTGCTCCTTCAACGGCGTCCACCAGCCGCCGCTCGAGAAAACCTTTGCCAAAGAAGACGTTTACATCTTTTCGTACTTCTATGACCGTACACACGAGCTCGGCATGCCCGAGTCGTTTACCCTGCGCGAACTACAGGATCTCACGGCCAAAGCCTGCGGTGGCGAGAAGACTTGGGACGCCTTTGCTGGAATAGAGGGCGCCATCGAGGGCCTCCAGGAGCGACCCGAGACTTGCTTGGACTTGAACTTTATGTCTGCGCTATTGCATACGGGATACGAAATGCCCATCGACCGCGAAGTCAAAATCGCCAAGAAAATAAAGGGCAATGAGCTGGGTTGGTGCTTGGGTGCCAGTTTACCTCTGCTGGAGAAGGAGAGTGGCTGGGAGTGCCGTATCAGAGAAGTTTCATAGTACGTCATCATGTATGTGCTGCGAGGTGACATGTTTGGGTGCCAAACGCACATGGCGTCGGCAGGTCGAATGCGGATAACGGTCGTATTGATACCCTTCACAGAAACTGTGGGCAGGATTGATGCGCAATTTTCAGGGGCCCTGGAACGGAGACGGGATAGGAAGATGAAACTGCGGCGGGCACGAAATCTAATGCATCAACATGGGTTCGGGCAGAACATCAGTTCCGATCGCGACAGCGTCGGCATGCTATCTTTATGCCTGTCCACTCATCAATAGAGATTCGGGAACCGTCGCGGTTAATGCGGAGCACTCTGGTTGTAATGACATCTCTTTACCGTCGTACCCGTTGTAACGCCTTCGCCAATGCTGCCCGGTGTAATAGTCTATTGCAGACGGCTTGAATCTGTTCAAAGCAAAGTCAAAAACCTCCCTTGCCCAATAACCCCTCGCCCACCTCCTTGACCAACGGCTCGGCTTTGAGATTCGCGCTCTTCCCCAGGTGTGCCAGGGTATCCCTGAGGTCCATAGCCCGGCACAGATCCCAGAGCATATCCTCCGCCGGGGCAGCGTATAGAAGCATACCCAGTGCCAGGAGCAGAGCATGCAGAGTATCTTTCAGATTCCCCGCGGATGAGGATGTCGGTGGAGGAAGCGACGGCAAGGACGTGATGCTCTCAACCAGAGCGGCTGCAAGGTCATCGCTCACGTCCGTCTCACCCTCAGATTCCTGGCCGCTTGGATTCGTCTGAGCATGCATTCGTGCGTTGTGTCTATAACTCGCTAGATTGTACACCAGCGCCGCAGCCATGGCTCTAGCATTCAGATGCTGGCTGAGAAGACACTGCGCCGCAAGCAATTCAATCTTCTCCTTCAGAGCCGGGGTCGCGTGGGAAGACGCAGCGGGATCGAGGCACCGGAAAATCTGTTCCTGGAAGACATTCGAGGAGAACAGGTTACATGCGAGTTGCAGACTGACAGACTGGATATTGTACGGCGCGTTCGTGAAGTCGCCGTCCTGGATGGATCCCAGTAGCGTCGAGAGCGTCGAGCACTCTTGCTCCGTGACGAGGGAACTGGCAACACGCGAGTCGCTGGCAGCGATGCGCACGAGATCAACGAGCGCAAAGTGCGACCCCGGCGGCAGGTCGCCAAACTTGGATTTGACGTGGACGCTGAAATCATGTAGATTGGGGAGTGCGGCGTCGGTCGCACCCTTTGCATCGCGCCTCTTGATGAACTCCACAAGAGCTTGCACAGACTTGTCCTGCGAGAAGGACGTGCCAAGCTTGGCGAGCAACTTCTCCAAGGGCGGCGTCCTGGTGTAGAGTGTTGGCCTCTCGATGGTCCGCTGGAAAGTCGGCAATCTCAACTTTGCGTGCTGGTGTTGTGGCGGCTTCGCCATTTGTAACAACAGGCGGACATTTCCCCTCAACCGAGTTGGATCCGCCCCGGCCCATTCGTCTTGCTTCTGTCCCTTGAGGAAAGTGATGAACGTAGGTGTTGCGCGGACGCCGTACCCCTGAGCCACGGCATGAGCGGATGGCGATGCTGATATGTCTACTTTGATCAACCTTGCGCCGGAAGAAGTGCCTGCTTCGGTGGCCAACTCGTCGTATGTCGGGTAGCAAATTTTGCACGGTGGACAGGTCGCGGAGGTGAAGAAGATGACTGCGCAGGACTGAGAGGCAGACGACAGAAGTTTGTCGAGTTCCGAGAGACTCGTAACGTTGTGGACATGACCTGGCGCGTCTGGTGGCGGTTGGGCATTGATGATCGCGACAGGGAAGATGACTTTTTGCGCGTCGTCCCCATTGGCAATTGAGGGAGCATTGTTCCCGTTCCGAATCCCTTGAGATGCCGGCTTCGAGATCGAGCTCCTTCTGGTGGCATTCTCGCCGGACACTGCATCAGGGGCTTGAGTCATCGTCCGCATGGACTGATCGAGCTGGCCGCGGAGCATTTGGCCCATTGGCGTCCTCAAGAACGTTTCGGGCAGATTCTTGATCTCGTCGGGAATGCTTTTGCCCACAAGGAACATGGCGAGGTCTTGGGTAAAGTTGTTGCAATTGTGCAGGAATAGGTCGTACGACTCGGCCGTGTATATCTCTTCGAGAGACTCGATGTATTCCTCTATGACGTCCACGGGTAGGTCTGTCTTACCCATGTTTACAATCTTCATAGGTTGCCCATGATGTGTTGAACCCGGGATTTTCCTGTGGATTCCTTGGCCGAAGAAGTACTCGACATTATTCAAGACAATTGCCGTGTGATAGATTGCGTCGATTTGGACCCCGGTGATCATCTTGGAGTACTGCCGGGCCATTCCTCGTGAAAGGTCATAGACGTAGAGTTGGACCTCCATCGCTATCGTGCAGTCGAAGCTGCTTCTGCTCTGGCAACCTCGTCAAGGAACAGGAGTCGGAGTTGTCAGTGAGCATGTTGGGACAAGCGGACGTTTGAAGATCCAGGCAGCCAAAACACGTCAGCCACAACTCAAAAAATGTGGCGTCACTTCACCTTCATCTGCCGACTCGCCTTTGGAGTCTACAAATTGCGTTTTATTTCCTCGAAGCCAACCTCAATCCATGTCTGCGTCACGATGATACTTGTCATGCTCTGTGATTTCACCGTGGCTTAACCTTGGGCTCGAGATGCCGCCGCGCAAGCCGCCAGTCAAGGGCAAAGCCCCGGCCACGAAGACAGCCACAACTTCAAAACCGCGACGGTCAAAACTAGCCAAGGACAACAACATCACGGCAGAAGAAGAGTCGGCAGAGATCAAGGAAGCATGGAATCTGTTTCGGCTGGAGGATGTCGAGGGTTACGAAGGCGAAAAGGAAGGCGTTCTTCGGACGAGCAATGTGCAGCATGTCCTGCGGTAGGTCACGTTTAGCATCGGAGGATCGGATCTGCCATCCAGCTATGATGACGGCCCGTCTAATCCTTCTTGTGTAGAGCACAAGGCCTCGCTCCCAAGAACGAGGCAGATATGCAGGAGTTCATCGAGACGCTTGACCCAGAGTCTGAAGGCTACGTAACATACCCGCACCTCCTCGCGCTTTGCGCAATACAACTAAAATCCAAGACCGACGAGACCAAGGTGGAAGAGTTCGAGACCGCATTCAACCTCTTCCACCCCAGCCAAGGTACCGGTGGTGAGGAACAAGTGATACGGCTGCAGGATCTGCGAGCGGTGGCAAAAGTACTGAAGGAAGATGTCAGTGACGACGTGCTTAGAGCAATGATCCTGGAGGCGAACGGAGGGAAAGGTGTTGGCTCTGGCGTCAACATAGAAGATTTCCGAGCTGTGATGACCCGAGCGAGGGTGTTCCAATAGTTCTCGCATAGGCGCTTCTCAGTCATGAAGAGGTCTTCAATCGCCCAATGAGACGTGCAAAGAAGAAAGACGAAGACTACTGTCTCCACGGAAATCAGACCACGACCCGGTTTCGAGTCATGTCAGTAGAGACCCGTGGAAGTCCCGCGACCAAATTTGTATCTGGCTGAGATCGAGACCGAGTACTATTCTAGCTTCCCTGTCCACACTGGCTCGTTGTGGGTGCAAGACGAAACGGCCAGCTCTAGCATAGATAGAAGCGGTGCAACGGATTGAACCGAGCATAGAGTTTTCATGAAACCTTCCTCAACATTCGCAAAATTTGCGGTGTGACCTGAGCCTGGTTTTAAACGGCCGATTGAGGATATAAGAACTCTGGCAGTATTGAGACGCCTGAAATCTGCGGTAGAAAAGAATGGCACAAAAGAGGGCGTAGTGAGCTCCGAAATTTTACTACACAAATTAGGCGCATTTCGCTCGTCGAACTGTGCGGGCCTTCCTTGGACTAGCTTGATCCGAAAGAGCTCTATTCGAGCGGCGCACTTCGGCCTAACCAATCATGATCTTTACCCCGCGTCGAATGAGAAGAGTCGGAAGCGACAAGCACAGAATGGGCCTCATCTCAGACACAAAATTGCATCCCTTCTGTCCTAGAAGCTATATCTCCATTTGACGAGCAAACGGTATTTTCGACCATCTCCACCATGTACACTCGTAAGCCTCGACCCCAGTTCAAGGCATGGTCCTCGGGCCTCTATTGTCACGCTACTTTACCATTTGACGTGGCCAACTTTGCGTGCCCAGGGATGCTGCTGTCCGCGTCGTATGAATTGGGTAATGCTTGAATCAAATTTTTAGCATATCTTCGGGGCTGCCATCATTGCGGGCTGAGTCCCGTCTTTTTCCTATGCTCGAAAAGGTTTGTCTTTGATTTGAGGGCCCGGACCTGGAAACTGCGATCATAGGGCGGGCCAGACCTCGTACTTAGACGGTGTTCAGAGAGCATCAGCCGTGCTAACAGCTCAATGCAGGGTTGGCCATCCCCCACCACGGGGAATGGCGATGACCGGCCAAGGACGACGATCGTACCTCAGAAACGTCTCCTTGATATGAAGGTGACTTCACCGAACGCCGTACGGCGTACCCAGCAGCAATTACCTTAACGTCGTCAGAAGGATAATGACCCTCGGGGACCACTTTTCGGGCTACTAGGAAAGCGTCACGCACAGGCACCAGTCAGCTGCCGCTGGCGCAGCCGATAAGCGAGGCCTTATGTTCGTAAGGCCGCCCGTCCCTCGCGTCTTGGCAGTGTTGGCGCTCTGCAGACTACGAGGTACCATTACGAGTACTGGGGTATATTGGCTAGTCGAAGGCAGCTGCCGAACGAGGGCTAGCCGGTGCCGCATCGGACCAGCGGTGCTCCGCCCAGGGCTTCCCGCAGAAGTTGTCTCAACCTGTGGGCTGTGTATCCCCTCGACTTCGCGCCGTTGGCCAATTTCTCTGTCACCCGCCTGTATCTTCTGCAGGACTGAAGCGCAGTCCGCCAATGAAAATGCAGATACCGGGATTGGGATCGGAAGCATACAGCGCGCCTGGCCTAGTAATGTCCCAAATGGCTCAGGCGATCTGGCAAGATGTGAAACAACGAAGCCTCAATGCGACAGCGTGCACAGCTATCAACTTCTTTCTCGACCGGATGATGCCCTTCATGCGCGCTACACCACTTGTTCTCGCACGTTTGCCCGCGTTTCCTGCATCGAAGCCGCGTCGTCGACAAAATGTCGGACGATGACCGACGAGCTCTGGATCAAGCGCCAGTGCCAGAAAGCTCGCAGAGCTTCTTGATATCACGAAACGCTGTAGCGGTGTCAGACTCAAATCTACGTTCCCCACCGACTTCAATTGCCATGTTGCGCTTGCAACGGACGACCACCTCGTCCCAGACTTCTCAGGCACAACCAGACGAGGAAGCGTTGAACAAGCCGCCTCTACAACACAAGCCATGGGGATCGCGGTCGTTACAAAGACGAACACTACTGGCTTTTGCTGGTATTTTCATCGGTCTTTTGGCCGCAGTCGAAGCTATCATCCAGGTAGCCCACAACAACCAAGGCATAGCAAACGCTGATGAGGATGCCTACTACCTTTGGACATATGGGCCTGTTGCTAGTAGGGACATCTGTGTACCATACCAGAACATGTATTGATCTAAGCTCATAGTTCTGACGGTGACGCTCGCGTTCTGGTCTCGGATCGAATACAGATCAAAGCAGCTCGCCCCGTATATTCTGCTGCATAGCGACCCTGCCTCCACAGATCAGGCTATCCATCTCGACTACATCTCTCCTATTGCACCTACGACAATTTACCAAGCCATACGAAACCGCAACGTCTTGGTCGCCTTAGCTTCGATATCCTCACTTCTGGTTACCCTACTCATCGTCGTCTCAACCAGTCTTCTCGGCTTGGTATCCTTCCAGCTGGACCAAACGGGCATTACGATGGCGGTCTCTGATTCATTCGTGGACAACGCCTCGTCCTTACTTACTAGCCCTGTTGCTCAAATGCCCTTCTATGTCTATGATGCCATTCACAACTCAAGTCTGAAGTATCCCGCCGGGACTACAGCGTCATTCGCATACCAAAACTTTACTTCAGCCGATCCCTCAGCGGCCGACGCACTAACTGCAGAAGTTGACGGATTCTCCGCGACGCTCACCTGTGAACCCGCTATGCTCCATTTCGGGGGTCTTTCGTTGAATGTACCTACCGGTGGACAGCCGTATAACACCTACGAGCCTACTGATGATGTTTCCAATGTTACAATCTCTTTCAACGGCTGCGAGGCAAATTTGACACCGCCATTATATCTGACGGAAGTCGGAGTGAAACAAACCATTGGACAGTTTGTCAAAGTAGCGTGTGCAGGCGGTGGAGATGAAGAAGACTCGCAGCGCGTCTTGATTTACACAATGGAGCTGATGATCAACTCCTCAGCATACGCAGATCAATACCACCTTACCTACTACTACAGTATTACCCGTTCAACTCAACTCCTATGCAGACCGTCATACAGCCTGCCCCGTCTCAGCGTCACAGTTGACCGAGCCAGCGGTACAAACACTGCAGCTACTTTGGTAAATCCTTCCCCGACCACCGATGGTCGAAGGATCAGTGGTCTGAGTGCTTGGAACTTGACAGAGTTGATCTTGGATTCGGTGTCGGGGATTTCGACTTACAACAGTGACAGCCATTGGGGTCCGGTGATCAAGCTCGCTCGACAGTCTCGTATCAACGTCACCGATGAGGAGATGTTCGACGTATCGACTTTGCAAGCCCTACTCCCACCGTTCTTCACTTCAGTTTCCGCCCAGATTGCCAGGGAATCGCTCATGAGACCTTCGCAGGCTGTCGTCGTTGGATCCTCAACCACTAAACGTACGCGGTTGACAGTTCGCTCGCTTTCAGCCCGCATTATGGAGGCCACTCTCGCCGTCCTCGCTGTGGCTGCAGTCATTATGGCCATATTTTGCCCTCGAACAGTCTCAGTTCCATGCGATCCAGGATCCATCGTTGGAACAGCAACGGTCTTCTCATTGAATAGAGCCCTTTTGGAGCATTTGAAGAACGACGCTCCTTCAGAGAATACCAGACTGGCACAACCGTCCTGGCGGCCTCTGGTGCTAAAGCCTTCTGTCCGCAGTCTCGGTTTGTTTACCATCGCGGCCGTTATTGTTGTACTCGAGAGTCTCTTGCAAGTCTCGCGGAAGCACAATGGCATCGCCAATGTCGACCTGAAACAGTATATTCACTATACATGGTCGTATATCCCCGCGCTATTGATGATCATCATTAAACTGTTCGCTCTGTCAGTTGACTTCAATACGCGGCTCCTGGCTCCATTTTCACGACTGAGGCGAGGCGGAACCTACAAAGACGCCTTGAACGTCAGTTATTTGAAGCAACTTGCCCCCGCTGCCATCATCTCCTCGGTCCGAACAAGACAGTTTGCCGTCACCGCAACGACGCTCATGGCGCTGATCGGCGGGCTCCTTACAATCGTTGTGAGCGGCGTATACGACGTAGCACAAATACCAACTCAGTCCCTCGTTCAAATACAGCGTCAAGACTCGTTCCGATCGGTCGAGGACATTGACCTGGACATTACTAGCGACGACAAAGGAGGGATGCTTGGGGCTCTAATTCTTGAGCAAAATCTGTCATACCCAAAGTGGACGTACGACGAGTTTGTTTTCCCCAAGCTGGAGATGGTACGTGACACCAGCAACCTGGAGCTGGGCGATTTTATTGATACCACTGTTCCTGCCTTGCACGCCAAACTCCACTGTAGATACTTATCAGGCCCCGAGGTAAATGCTTCAGTGAACTGGACAAACGGCGGAGAGATGAATATCGTGAAACCCCCAGCTCTTGCAACCTACCTCAACACACAATCAGACATCTACCTGGGAGGTATCGACCCAGTCGTGGAGGGGGGAGTTTTTGGCTATTCGGATTGGGCAGGAGATGGTAACGGAATTGGCGATCCGCCGGAGTACGCATACATCTGGGGATCCTTGAGCGGCCGAGAGATCGACCACATCGTCATCCTCATGTGCGACGAAGACCTCCACACCATCGACGTCTCTGCAAGGTTCTCGCTACCAAACTTCTCAATCGGCGCAGACTTCCCGCCTGTGCCAATCGAAGCCACGTCGAAGTGGTTCACGGATCTTTTCCTCCTCGAACCTTATTCGGACCAACTGCCCAGGCAGCCCGACGGTCCGTTTCCCTGGGATGAGTTCTTCACCCTTTTGGTAGAGGGTAGTGGCGGCATCGAAATGTCGGATCTTAGGGATCCCTCGAAGGTCGACAAGATTGTGGACACAATCAAGCACTTCCACGGCATCTTGCGGGCTCAGCAATACAACATCGTTTTGCGGCAAACTCCGGCTCAAAATGAAACACTTGCGAGCCTTCGGTACCCGAGCACGATGACCAGCAACAGGCGGAGCAGACTTATCCAGCATGCAGTGTCGACACGCATCTTGGAAGGCATGCTTTTCGCGATGCTTGTTTTTGGGACGGCGGCTACATTCATGATGAAGACGAGAGACGTATTGCTCGAAAACCCCTGTACGATTGCCGCCATGGCACGCTTGCTAGCTGAGTCAAGCATTCTCGTCCACAAACGACCGTCCATATCCATACCAGACTTCTTGGACAGCGAGTCTCCCACGGATCCCGAATCATCCCAGAGCGACGTATTCAGGCTCGATTGGTTTGTACGGAGAGAGCACAGCCAGGAGAAAACGAGAATTTTCACAATCCGGGCTGTGGATGCTGTCGAACTCCGGACGAGACCTTCTGCGCAGCCGCCGGAGGAGGTGAACGCGGCGACGGCGACGGCGACTGTGGGAGATTATGCTCCGATACCAGCGGACGATACTCACCCCAGCCTCGACTTGGCGGATCTGGACCGAGAGAGAAACGAGGAGCGTGGGGACAGCGCGCTCCTTGCCGTCACAAGTGTACAAGATGGCAACCACAGAGAGGAAACGGATTCTTTGGTTCGGTCAAGAGACCAAGACCAGACTAGCGAAAGTGAGCAGACCCCGAACCATCAAAGGTCCCCATGAGCCTCTGGAGCTTGAAGCCATCAGAGACGGCGCGCAAAACGCCTCGATACTGCAACCCCAGGTCCATCGAACCCACCGACTTTACGGATAGCTCTACACTAGAATGGAAGGGGGTCCAAGGTGAACACCCTGGCATGTCTGTGGTCGCGCAACTCCTATCGACCGACAAGAAACAAAGCCATTATCAAACAAATTGCCGGCTACAATGACCAACTTCGAGCACCACTCGAACCTGCACAGAAGGAAGTCATCACTCCGGCGGAGTTCAGGACCATGTCCTGATCACGAGTGGGATATAGGAGAGTCCTTGGCCCTTTTACCGGCCATAGGGAATTCCATCCTTTCCTTGCTCCGTGGGGACCTCTTCTTAGAGAACGGACGGGGCGCCCGATCTTTCGGCCAAGCCGTCATGCAGGTTCATGCTCGCCGGTATCGAAACCTGTTTCTCTCACGCCGACAGTGCCGCTTGCAATCCCATCGCGCGCCGTCGGAGGACCGTCGCCGTTAGTCATTGACTGGCAATTTGCGTGCTGGTATCCGGAATGCTGGAAATCTACCAAGACTCATTATACCGTTCCCCTTCCCCCATGCTTGACTGGTACAGTATGTTGGATGCCGAGCACGCTGATAGAAGCGCAATCGCCCGACGTGAATCGTAACCAGAAACCCGGTTGGCACTGCGGAAGGCCTACTAGAAACAGAAATGTCATCTAATTCCCACATTGATTGCAGAGGGCGGCCGCGCCCTAAACGAGAAGAGCGCGACTCGATCAACCCGATCGATTCTGTCTACCTTGTTTTCTCGAGTGTATGGAGTCCCGAAGGTGGTCAACAAACACAGCACAGCCCGTCGCGAGCAACTCCAACCGAAGACGCCTCTAGTTAATGATGGGACCGACTACGGACGAAATTTGCGAGTGCTTACACACGACGAGAATACACCACACGGTCTTTGACACGTGGACTTTGAACAAATGTGCATCCCGTTTGCGGCTCAAATGGCACGGGTGTCGGCTCGAAGTGGAGATACGCAAATCAATGCACCACAGTTCAGACAATATCCAGCGAGTCCATCCTCCAGATCTCGACATGTTGGACATCCTTCTCTTCAATCCGTTTCAATCGCCGCCTGTACACGGTGTCGGCCTTATTTTGGCTCTCCGTACCATCCTCTATATACCCGTCGTCAGTCTGGCCAGTTCTCCCAATATGTTCTTCCAGGACCGGTCCGATCTCCCAGACCTTCCAGCCTACGCCAACATACTTTAGCTTTGCGAAGTCCGTGCTCTGTGAGCTCGGACCACCGCCTCTTTCTATGAGGCAGCTGGAGATTTTCTCCTCGTGAAGGTCATCTGGTAGACTGACGAAGTTCTCGTACGCTTCTACATTTTTCCTGCCTTCCTCACCACATGCTTCCTGGCCCAGCGGAGCAAGTACACGAAGGGCCCACAATTCACGGAGAAACGGTATGAGGAGCCTCAAGGCCTCGAACTTGGAATCTTCAACGCAGTCCAGAGCTGCGGCGAGCTGTGTCAAATTCGGACAAGTCCGAATGAGCCGGGCTGTGATTGCGGTGGGAAGCGGCCAGCGGGCAGGGAGTATGAGGTGCCTAAGGGTCGGGCCGCATACATTGCAGATGTTGTCCAGATACAGGTCGCGAAGGGAGATTGAAGCCGCCGCCGCGGCCGATATGGCTCGAACAGGTGTGTTTCTCGAGGAGCGGACGTCATCGGTCGCTGCTTTGTAGTATGGGGATGAGTCGGCCGAGTTCGAGGAGCTCTCGTCGGGGTTGTTCATAGGGGCCCCGTTTGGTCGGTGGTGCTTGTACCGTGCGTTGATGAGATACAGCTTCTCCAAACCCCCAAAATTGCCCAAGTCTTGTGCGTGCCTCCTGTGCAGTTGGTCGATCCTCAAGCTTTTCGGGCTGGGAGCATGCTCCTCGGCCTTCACTATCATATGCCACGTCCGATCAATGAAATGCGTAGCATTGACGGGACCGGAACGATCGCCCACCACCGGGGCGTCCTCGTCCGGGCCAAAGGTGTTCACAGAGGTGACATGCTCTATTCCGGTGGTGTCCACTGCGTGGAGACACTCGGTTGGGTCGACACTGTTCAGTAGATTGTATACGCCCATACTCTTCAGGCGGAGTCTCCTCTTGGCCGCGATGATCTTGCGAAAAAAGTGTGTGAGGATGACAGAGGGTTCGCCTTGTTCACGCATGCGCGGAGAAAAATGCATGACGAGGTTCTCAAGCTTCGTGCCATGGAGCAGAAGGGTGGATACGTCGTCGGGATAACACAAAGGATCGTAGTGCGTGAACGTCAACGACCTCAGGTTCGGTAAAGGAGGGAGCTCATACGACGGTTGAGGAGACCTGTTGGAAGGGAAACGAATCCACAGTGACTCTAGCCGCTCGAGCTTCGCTAGCCCGGCGTAGACATTCGGTTGTGTGCGTATATTCAGGTCCCAGCGGAAATTCTCGAGGTGAGTGCACTGATCAAGGACCGCACGGACAGCAATGTTCAAGATCATGGTGCTCTCCGATACCCGGCCAACTCTTGCATGTTCGCTCACGTCTGCAGAGCTGAATTCTCCCTCCAGGCTCAGCGACCGTACCAGACTCGAGACGTTCCGTGTGACCAGCGCATTCAATCCCATGGCGAAGGGGCTCGCGCTGCCGAACCCTTCCGGCACATCCTCCCTGTAGCGAATGGCGCTGTATGATTTCAACGTGACATTTTTCCACAAGTGCGGCAGTGTCATGTACCAGAGAACGCGGGATGTGCGACATAGTCGAGCCAGCGAGGCGACGTCATCGTCAAGGAAGGAAATGATATGTGCGACGACCGTCAAAGGGATCGAGTTGACGCCAAAGGCGCCCTCAACTTCCGGACCATTGCGGTAAAGATGACTGGCACGGAAGGTCATCATGCGGCCTCATCGAGCAGTCGAGGCAGGGGTGCGCACTGTCGCTTACGCCTTCGCACGCATAGCCGAGGCCTCGCTGGAGCTCAGGCGAAAAGTACCACTCGGATAGCATTGATAAACACAGGACAAGTGGCATGTAGGTCGACGAAAGTTATGCAGCACATGCTCACATGCTCAGGCAGAACAATTCACATACGTAGTCCGTAAGCTGCATATATGCGCGAAGTGGTCCACAGTAGGTCTACTCCGCATCATAGCGACAGGAGGTACAGCTACCCCTTCAGGAGCATGAGGAGGCAGGTACGCCGAGCGCAGGTACAGGACTGAACACTGGCCGCCTCCAGATCGACCTTCCGATCCCAGGGAATGAGCTTGTACCAGAGAATGTAGAGGATGAGAGGGTTACGAAGGAGACTCGTAGCAGTAGGTCCTGGCGTCGTACTGTCACGGGGGTCTTGGTTTGGCGCATGGCAAGTGATCTGGAAGACGCATGCTATCTATTGAATGAAGCTACTATTTCGAGGTTGATCCTGTGCCCCCTGTGTCTCTTCCATCGCTCTCCGTGGCTTCGGCGTTCGTCAGATTTTGGGATGAGTCACAAGGAGCCTGTGCCGCTTGAACAGACCGTGAAGATGAATGACGAATATTTCCAGAAACAGGGGGTTCTCTTTCAGCATCTCCGCTCGACGGGGCTGGAGCCGGAGCAGCCGGGCTTGTCACTGCTACCTGGGTTGGGATCTCACTGCCAGCCTCGTTCGATGCATCCTCCGCGATCGGTGCAACCGCTGGAGGGCGCGCATAGGTCGCGGACCTCGGCGAAGTCGGGTGAGAAGCATCAATCACTCGGCTCGGTCTGGGGTCACTCTCGGAGATGATCAGCGAACCTCTAGGCGTATATATCTGTTGAGGAGAGTGAGTCTGGCCAAAGGTTGAGGCCGGGTGGCGCAAGGCCACAGCATCGGGCCGCACAGGTACTGGGGTTGACGGAACGTCTAGATGTGCGTCATCGGGAGACCAGGTTCGGCCGTTTGTGGGTGCTGGAATGAAGACCACCTGGCCCGGAACCTGCTCTCTTCCATAGAATGCCTGCCCGGGCAATGCTGGGTCCGTATTCGCCATTCGAACAGAGCCTTCCTCAATCGGAATACCTTGGACATCATCAGGAGACCAAGTCCGTTCATTGGTTCTCGGCGCCGGTATGACCGTGATAGGCAGGGAAGCGGCGGCAGTATTGCCGCGGGCACCAAATCGCTCTCTTTGCGTAGACGCAAACGCTCCCAATCGGTCCCGCAGATTTAGCGTGCGATCAATGGGGGACCGTCGTACGCCACTAGCATTTTGGGCATCAGCCACCTCTGCTGGCGGTTCAGACCTGCGTCTTTTGAATGGATTTTGGACAGCTTGCCAAAGATTACGGCCTTGCGACGCCGCCAATGTGCGGGCCACAGTTTGCAGTGCCAATTCTTTGTCTGCACCAGCTGGAGAAGAGCTGGAGTCGTCTGAATCTTTCGGGGCGTCACCATTGGTGTGGCCGCCTCCTTCACGACGCAGCTCTGGTTGTGGATTCGGCGGTGGACTTGCGGGATTGTGGTATCGTACAGCATAGACGGTGCTGGTAGCACTTCCGGTATCGCTTCGATTGGGGGGCGTCGTTGTTTGCTGAGGTATCACAAATTGCGACCCGGGGATGGCGTGGCCGGCTGCGCCCATAGCATCCGCGCCGGTAGTAATGCCGTCTGATGGCACTCGTTTTCTCCGTTTGCGTAGTGGAAGCCGACCACGAACCCGCCGATACTGAGACGCCATTCTTTCACCCATACCCTTGCCCCCACCACCGCCATGGTCTGGTCCCAGGTCTCCACGCCAGCTGGCATCCTCTGATGGAGTCATGTCCAACATTTCGTCGCCATCAAAGATTTCACGTCCCAGAATACCGTCCTTTCTTTCATCCCGTTCCAGAGACTCGATTCTCTCCACCCATTCCCAAACGACGACACTTGCAGCTGCGGCGCCAACCCATCGGATATACTCGCCCCACCCCGCCAGATCGGGCTGCGATATATCGAGAATGAAGAACACCACAGGAATTACCACGGAAATGAGGGATAGCAGGGCGACCAAACATATATTCTTCATTTTCGGATGCCAGAACGCGAACCGCCTTTTCGACAGGCAATAGTAAACCACACAGGACGCATAGATTAGAGAGATGGCCAATTCAAACAGGTAGTTGAGGGCAGGAATGGCGTCCGAGAAACTCCTGGGCCGTGTCCTGGGGCTGCCGCTGACAAAAGAGTCTAAGATGCTGAATATGGTGTCAAAGCTGACCATGGCAAAACCAAGCCACTTAATGGTAACCTTCTCCTTATGCCGAGGAAATAATCGTATCAAGGTCTGTACCTGAGCGAGCCACAAGAAAGTGTCGGATATGACCCGAATGATCCGGATCTCCAGGCTATCAACGACGTTGTCAACCAGCTGACTCGAGTCGATGTAGCCTTGATTATATTGCCTTTCGGCGACATTGAAAGTGTCGGCCGTCGCAATTGTGAGGGATATGGCCACAGTGACCGTCGCGATCTTTTGGAGGAGAGGCCTTCGTCCCACACCCACCACAGATGATGAGCCATAAGATCCTGTTATTATGCCGCGTCGACCTAGAAATCGCGTGCCTCCTCCTGGCCCTCCGAGATAGAACGTCCTCGGCGTGATGAAGATGAGAATGACGAGAATGTAGCTGATGACGGTCGCGGTGGCAAGAGCAAATATCTGGGGAGATATGGAAGCATAGAAGGGATTGGAGAAGCCGACGACCGAGGAGTTACCAGTGGTATCAGGGCTTATGATTGGATTCGGGTTCTCGCAAGGCAACTTGAAGGTGACCCTGGCGTGGAGGGTGGTTGTGGAGTCATCCTCGAAGATGAATATGCCTGTCTGCCCTTAGCATGTTTCCTTCCCCAACGACATCTTGCGCAAACCTCCACTTGGCAGAATCAAAGGCGTGCACCATGCCTCCGGAACCGTGTGGCTCGCAGCCGGTGTGCTCAATTGTCCCCATAGTTGGCGAACAGTGATTGAAGCATCGTTGGACATGCCGCGGCTACCGTTGAGGTTGTACAGCTCCAGCAAGCGGCTCCGGGTACCACATTGTCAATGCGCCGAGACTCGAGAGAGTCGTCGAAGACTGCGGACGCGCGGCGGACTTCGTCATACGACACACATGGAATAGGTCGGCTACTCTTCAACTCTTGTCTGTGGACAGTGTAAGGATTTGCAACAGGTACTCGATCACGCAGGCAGCAGCCGAAGGGATAGAGGGGGAAGAAGAGTGCTCGAGTGAATCAGAGCGGGTGTTGATGGCATTGAGTTGAGTGCAGCAGTAAGTTAGTTAGTTGGTGGAGCAAGTGGAGCGGGTGCTGCACGTGCCTCGCCAAACAGACGAAGAGATTGCGGGGCTGGGTCGGAGAATTATTTATCCGTGATACCATGCAACTGAGGCACCTAAAGCGTCTGTTCGGCTAATTATGCAGTGCTCCAGACGTGGCACCGCCAGCTGCTGTAACAGGGTGGCATGTTTGTGGGATGTTCGAATACTGGATAGAGACCCGACTGTGCATGGCAAGTCCAGCATCACCATCCCAGGTATCCCAAGCGCTCATCCTGTCACCGGTGTTACGGCCGCGATGTTAATTCGTCATTCCACGGCCTGTCAATGATCCCAACGCCTCAGATCGTAAATCGCGAGGCTACTAGTGCCGTGAGGCAAGGATCCGATCACCCATCAAATGACCCAACAGCAGGTGGCAAAACGAAACAAGAGGCTTCTCCTCCTCGGTTGTTTTGTCTACTTCACATATTGCCAAAACCAAATGTCTGACTGCCGTTCCACTGCATCTGGCTGTAGTTGCGGTTAGTGATGGCCTCCAGCAGATCCCTCCCTCCTAAGGTCGGACCAATGCCCCCAAATCCTTGGTCAACCGTGGCTTCATCACCTCCCCACAGGTTGTCAAGCGGGAGGGCGAGCCAGTCACCTCCCGCAAGGTCTATTCCCGAGCCCATGTTCACATCGTCTGGCAATGGAAAATCCATGTCATGATCTCCAAAATTTGGTGGCGGCACGAAAGTTTGCGAATCGAGGTCGGCCATGGACTTTGCCTGAATGCCAGCCAGCGGATCAGGCCCAGTTCCGTAAAATTCAAGCTTTGGTTGCACGGAACTGGTGGCCACAATCTGTTGGGGTGGTTGATTATTGACGCCGTCATGGCCGTGGGGAGAGGGCGGTCCTGATTGTTCTCGACTTGGGCCAGCTGAACCTGTGCCAGGGATTTGGACTCGAATCAAGGTCTGTTTCACGTTGCCTAGTATGTTCTGCACTAACCGGGAGGTGGACGAAGCCAGGTGGACGTCGTCAACAACTTGCTCAGACATGAGATCTGTGATCTTTTCGAGTCTCTGCAGGCATTTACGCACTAGTTCTTCGTGGATCCCCAGGCTGAATCGCTGTAAGACATTGGATTAGTCGCCAAAAGAGTTCTGGAGTAGGGCAAGGGCTCCACGTACCTTTAGCGTGAACATCATCCCGGACAAGCTGCGGAGATATGTGCGGACAGGAGCGTTCCTGAGAAAGCCCTGGGCGGCAAGGCCGTCAATGACAAGATCCAATATGTTGAGGGCAGCCTCCGTCACTTCGTCGATGAAAGGCTTGTTCTCTTCGGAGATCCTGGCAAGCGTCGCTCTCCGCATGGTCGCACCTCCCTCTACCCAAGATTCGACGACCTTCTGCAAACCCAAGGAATTGATGTACAGCCGGGCGTACTCATACTCCATGAGCAAAATGCATTGCATGACGGGATGAATGTGGACCTTCCATCTCTCCATCTCATTCTTCCAACTGTGCAGCAAGGGCGTGAAGGTGGCAATAGATTCCTTGTATCTACCACTCGCTGTGAGCTCCCTGGTGAAGTGGTGAGACGAGAAGATTTCCCGATTCGCTTGATTCATGATCCTAGCAATATTTACCCAGCAGCCTTGCATGAGGTCGATTGGGTGATCTTGCTTTCGGCTTGTCTTGTCCCAGACCGTGTCAGATTCCCACTGATCAACGTTGAGCGATGATTGAACGCCCATGCGACCGCTAGTCTGAGCAACATAGACAAGAACTAGATGTCGGACCCGTCTTTTTCGTGCACACTCGGAGTCGGGCCCATGATCATGGCGACAGTTGAAGTGGTTCGTGTCGAAGACACCAAGCTCAAAGGCAAGACTCTGAGCGAGCCCAAGGATCATCCATGACATCTTGTCGGACCTCCAGGCCGGTTCAAGCCAGCTAGCGTAGGGGAGATTGTCGTAGTCTCTGGTACCGAGCCGCTCCTCCGATTGCCCACCTAATTTGGAGTCAACATCGATCGGCATGAGCAAACTGCGGTCGAGAAGACCATTCTCTTCATCCCCCGGTGGGAAGTGCAGAGCGCGTGGCTGCCAATCGGTGAGCAGCAGGAGGGCTTCAATAGTGCCCAGAGTTCGTAGGCTGCCTTGCCAGGTGAGTTGGCCAGTATTGGTTTCCTGAATTTTGGCGGTACTCCCGCCTCCACAGAATCCTCCGCCGAATTGTTCTTGGCCCCAGAGAAGTCGTTCCACCTGCCGGCGGAGGTGAGTCCACAGCTTGTCGTGTATTTGGTAAGACCGAGACACCGCCGCATTGCCGGACAGTGGCATGTGACGTGAAGAGATAGCCAGGATTGCGAGGGCAAGAATGGGCTCATCAGCGAGCAGCGCGTGATGTTTGACGGGTGACCTGAAATCAGGGAAGACGACCGGAGTCATAGGGGCCAAGTTGGCGTAGAAGTACTCGACGTATTGCATGGCTTCCCAAGCAGTGAACCAGCCATTGCGAACAAAGCGCATCTGCGACCATGTCTTCATACCAGCTTCTTGCTCAGCTTGCTCTGCCGGAGATAGGCCAACAGCGCTGGGCTCCTCGGGGCCGCCATGTCCCAGACTTGATATTGTCTTCTTGCGCACGCCACGGTCAGACAATGGGCTCTCCTTGTCACCTGGAGCGGCGCTTTCAAAGACATGAGCCGCATCAACCAAAGCCATGAGACTATCTTGCGAAGTTGACACTTGAGCACCTAGTGTTGCGGCGGCGGCCTGACTTTGCAGGTGAATATCGGCGCTGGGCTTGTTGCTTGCTGGGCTAGGATACATAGAAGAGGCCTGCACGCGGTGAGGTTCGTTTCGGGGTTGTGAAGTAATTGACGCCCGGGGATTGTTAGACACGTGAGGCGACCAAGACCGTCGAGGAAACCCATTCGTCGCAGGGAGCGCCGCAGGTTGTTGTGAGTCTTTGGAAAGACCGTAGTGGGATGCTCCATTATTCACCGACGCCTGGGCGCTGCCAGACGGGGTGGACACATCTCTTGCTGTGCCGTCCAGCCGCTTCTGCTTCTTCCGGGTCGGTGCAAATTCACATTGGAGGCGCTCGCGCATGCATCGTCGGCAAGGAGGTTCAGCTGGCGCATCGACACCTGCAACATCTGTCGTTAGTGACAATACGGAAGATTGACGCTTGTGTCACCTACTGCCTAAATCGCATTTCACTTTACGTGACCTGCAGTTTTGACATGCTTGATAGCCTCGCCGATGCGGCTTGCCGTGCGCATTATGGCCATCTCCAGGTTCCGGAGAGGAGCTCGCCTTGTAAGCATGAACATTGCTCAGATCGTTGACAGGCAGTTGTTGGTGAGCATTGTAAGCCATCGCGGGCCAGGAACCGGGCGGGGAATTGGGAGTAGGTTGGAATGCTGGTGGGTTTGTGACGCCGAGATAACCGTTCGCAGCTGAGAATCCAAGCGGAGAGGTCTCTGGGGGTGGCTGTGGCTGTGGCTGTGGCTGGGACCATTCCTGGAAGGGCCCGAGTCCCGCTGCTGGACAGCCACTAGCCAACTTTGGTTGTGGCGGTGCAAATACACGGTTTAGCTGGTTGAAGGCCCCAACGTCAACTGCCATCGGCGGGCTGAAGTCGAAGTCGGCGCAGAGCTTGAACAATGACGATATTGAACTCGCATAGTCCTTTCCACTCGACTATAGGTTGCCTCTGTCACCCGGCGACTTGGGCGAGTCCTGAAATGCTCTGGGGGCCATGGCGTCAGCCCTACTACATGACATCGAGGAGAGCTTGGCCTAGGTTCACAGTAACACATTCTTGTATGTCTCGCGACACCTGTTACCTTAATTCACGAATCGAGACGCGAATCTATGGTGAATAAAGTGACAGAGGGGATGCCACGCCGCCATTAGCCGCACTTATGCGGTGGCTTTCTACGATAACAGGAGTTTGCGAGGTGCAAGGACATGACCTCTTAAAAATTGAGGACGAAGCAGGGACCCCTAAGATGATATGCTCTTCATTGCCAGCTGAGTATTTCATTTGGCCATAGTCACTTGTGCCGCACCGGGGAGAAGCGCTGTCTGTATGACAGTCCTCTTGCCAGTGATGTTGTTACAAAAGGATCAGTCTCTTTCTCTTTGTTGTCAATAACATTGCCGTTTGTCTTCGTGCCGGTGATATCCCCCGACAGGCTCCGAACACTGTCTTCGCTGGTACGGCGCAAGATGTCTGGGGTCAAGCGACCACCCAACAAACCCCTGACGCCGCCAGCTTTCCGTGCCGGCATTTCTCCAGTACCAGCGGTCAACACATAAAGCAAATACTTCAGGTTGGGAAGCGTATGTCGAATGTCAAGCACTCGCAGACCTTGCCGATTCATAAGAAACTCAATGTCTTTGTTCAACAAAAAGACGGCATACTCGAACTTATAAGGAACGGTCGTTGGATGCAGTGGGTATTTGCGCTGACTCAGTCCAATCGATATCGGATCAAATATGAAGGATGTCGAAGCAGAAGGCTCCAGCATGTAGGGCAGGGAGACGGAAAGGTAAAGGGCCAGTTGATGCACCAATTGAGCGACGAATCCAAGGGCTGCGGCGATTTCGTCTCGGTTGGTGTCGTTGTATACCGAGTTGGGGAGATGGATGCCGCGGATGGTGAATTGGAGCGTTCGGTTCTTGAGTGGTTCGATGGGAAATATCGTCATGAGAGACTCACAAATCCGCCTCACTTGGCCACTAGAATCTGCTTCGATTTGCTTTAGTCGACTCTCCAGTTCTTGAGACTCCCTGTTTCCGGCTTCAGTCAGCGCTAGTGCCTTTTCTTGGGCTTCGCGTCCTCTGGAGAGTGCCTGCTTGCGCTGCTCCAGGGACTGCTGCAAGTCTTCCCTCTTCTTCTTGAGTTGTCGCAATTGCTTCTGCTCCGCAACCAATGCAGCCTTGACCTGAGGACTGTCATCATCAACTTGAGGTTCTGCGGTGTCATCAACAGTAAGGACACGAGCTTCGGCAAGGATTCTGTTGATGTCCTGCTCAAGTTGTGACCGCACTTTAACAGCATCCTGTATACACTCATCCAGATTCGCAAGCTGCATGAGAGCGTCGAAAGTCGAGCCAGGCTTACTAGTGCCAGCCCTGTGATCAACAGCATGCTCAGCAGTTGGATGAGGTTCGGCGGGCAGATCCGTGAAACTGGTATAGATCCCATCCGACAGATGCAAAAGGACACAATTCTGAGGCAATGGATGATGGAAGTTCTCCAAGCTTCGTCCGACGAATTGTAGAGACCGCAAATTCAATTCCAGCTCGACGAGGAGGCAGTAACTTTCAGTTTTTGAAGGACGTGCCCAGACGCGGACGGCACACTCGTCAGACCTCGAGATCTGAGCACCGGTATTGTCCAAATCGAAGAACGCAAAGCTCGGGTTCATTGATTTCTCTATCACCTCACTGATGTAGACTGGCTCAGAAATGCCAGCACAATGGATAGAGATCCAGGTATCAGCCAATCGATCAACGACAATGTCTTCTAGTTTCGACTGTCGCACGCGCGGACTTGTTGTGGCCCAATGTAGAGTGCTTCTTCTGCGCATCTTGACCCCACCAGGCCTGCTCTGTTGCTTTTCGATTCTCTCGAAAGAGGTGGCTGCTCTCTGCGGGCCGCCGGGGACTGCACCCTCATCGATCGCGGTGGGGAGGTTTGTGAAGGAGCGGGAGTGCGTCAGCGGGCTGGCGTCCCCTTGCAATGCACGCCTGGCTGGAGAAACAAGGTTGTATGGAGCATCATCATCCGTTGTCGTCTTGCCCTTCCCTCTGGAACTCGTTTGCGTTACATGGAGGTTGCGCAGGGAGATTCCGTGCAGATGCCGCAGCCGGCGATTCTAACACTGTATTAGCGGGAGTGAGTACATCCCGACCGACAGAGCAGTCCTCACCCAGGAATAGAGGAACGGCCGCTCATGAACCTTCGCATGAACAGCGGGATCATCTCCATGTTCGGCCATTGCTTGCAGTTCTGAGTCGGTACATTGCGGTGGCACAACACTAAGATCTGCTGCGCTAGTCTGTCGGCAAGAACGCGTGTGTGTAAGAGCCTCTGAAGGTATTAACAAGACGCGTGGAAGTTGGCCTCTACATCTGCTGTCGCAAGAGTCTCGTCGCCAACTATTATCCAGTGATGTTCCAGCGATGTTTGCCTCTAGCCAATGAAGGAGATAGTTGGCGGATCGCGGAGAATTGCAGCATCATATTGATTGTCCGATGTTCTGCCGGATAATAAAAGTCACATGACTAGTTTGTCTCCTGCTTCATCTTGTCATCGGACTCCTGCTCAGGTTGGGCGAGTCCACTCAACAATGGTGTAAACAGAGAGCCACTGCCTTGCCCACTCGACGGAGGTATCCACAACCGTAAGAAGCGTGTGAGCTGTACCAAAGCTATGTGGCAATGGGTCCCTCCACTCTCAGTCACAACTGAAACCTCACATACCTGTTTCACAGCACAGATGGGTACCCCGTTACCGGTTGCTACTAACAATGCAAAAATTCGGGCTCGTTTCTGTTGACTTCAGCTGATGCTGGAGACGAGGTAGGTACACCTTTTGCCATTCCAATGTCCAGGCCTGGCAGCCTTGTCAACACCTCCTGGACGGAGGTCACACAACCCCGCTAGATTCCACACTCACCAGTCCAGGATCTCCCATTAATGCCTGTATCACACTGGCAGCTGGCTTGGACCCTTGCTCCGACGGTCGCTCAGGTCCGAATCAAGCCATAAGTTGTACCAAACAGCAAGCCTCGGTCCACACCCAGACGGCTGGGAACCCCTACCCCTTTCCCGGTTGATCTCCTCTTGTAACTTTCTGGTATGGGAAGATTTCCCTTGCCCAATGAGAAATATCTCATGCACACCTCTTCGGGACGGTTTTGTCATTGATTCGGGACCTGTTCTCTTCTCGAACAAAGCATTGTCTCCTGGACGACGTGTTCCTTTCTTACATACTCGAGTTCTCGATGCATTCCGCCCTCTACATTGCGGTCGAAGTCTTGGACAGTTGCTATGACAGCAGTCTACCGCACGTCTAATTTCGTCGGATTTGCCAAACGGAAAAGAGTCAATACACTTGTCGAACATGGCGGCTCTCATCATGCCCAAGGTCGCCGTCCCAGGTCCGATGAGAAGAATATATAAACGGCGTGGACGCCGCATTCACCTCAAGCAACTAAGGCCTCACTTTCTGTTTCTTCGAGGTATCTAGGAAGCTCACCTAAGTCACTTTCTCCTTTCTTTCTCGTGGATTCATTTTCTGTATTTCTATTATCCCACGCTTCTCCAGCCACCGACTACCCTTCTTAAGCATGAAATTCTCGTCGACAACTTTCATTTTGCTGGCCGCCAGCGGGCAGGCACTCGGCTCGTGGAATCACTGGCTGAGAAACGTTACTGTGACAGAGACCGTGACAAGGGCTATTCAGTCCTGTCCTTGCAATGGTGAGGAGCAAAATGTCACTCCCCTTCCTCGGAGCGAAGGCGTACAACACTTTCGAAAGCCCGGGCCGCCTTTCGCGCCATTCGGACCGCCTTTCTCCCAGAGACCCGGAAAGCCTCTCTCCAACACTGGTCCTAACAACGAGCCATGGGCCAACTGGTTTGGCCCGCCCACCACGAAGTCGCCTAATCCGTTGAGCACTTCAGCCTCTTCGCGACTTCTCAGCTCATCGTCAAGCGCTGGACCCTTTGGGGGCTCGGCCAGCTCTAGGCCGAACGGCTACCCCGCCGCTCCAAACTCGAGCACTTCGCTGTCATCTTCCATATCAACGACGAGTAGTCGCGAGGGCGGCAGTACAATCGGAGGCTCCACTTCATCCTCCCCCACCATCTCGACCTCAACAAGCAGCAGCTTCGGCAGCAGCCCTGCCACGACAGTATCTCCCACCAGTATAAGCAATAGCCTTGGACCAGTTGGAGGCACAAGCGCAACGTCTACCTCAACTACCTTGGCTGCTTCGACTACCCCGGGCAGCAGTAGCGCCAGCTCAGTGGGAGGTAATACCACGAGCTCCTCGAGTCCGAGCAGAGTCTCGACGAGCTTTATCACGACTTCCTCCTCTACGCCTTCTACCAGCAGTTCGACAGATTCCAGCCCGGCCTCCACAAGTAGTTCCCTTCGAAACTCTTCCACCATCGAGGGACCCGCTTCTACTACCACTCTTTTGACGACCACGAGCGGCGCCACCGCTGTGACTACGTCCTCCTCCATCTCCACTACCACCACCGCTTCGCCTGTCGCTGTCGTGACGGCTGATGTGAGCTCATTTAGCACCACCGACGCCATTCTGGAAGCACACAACATTCATCGAGTGAACCACACAGCTGCTAACTTGACTTGGTCTGAGAACTTGGCCAGTATCGCCGCGGATATTGCTGTCACTTGTATCTACGCTCACAATACGTAGGTGACTCCTCTCTCACATTTGCACAGTCTCCGTCGAGTAAACGCTAATCTTTTGTTTTCAACCAGCACCGCTGGCGGAGGAGGTTATGGGCAGAATATTGGTGCCGGGTATACGCCCAATCGAGTACCGGCAATGATTGGCAACAGCATGTACAAAACGGAGATGCCAAACTACCCGCTGCCCTACGGACAGGACAACGTCGACGTGTCCAACTTCAACAACTGGGGTCACTTCTCACAGATTGTGTGGAAAGACACGCGTGAGGTTGGCTGTGCGACCCAGTATTGTCCGAACGGATTGGCGAATACTGGGTCTGGCACCAGCCCGTATTTTACAGTTTGCAACTATAGCCCAGCTGGTATGACCTCTTTCCACCTCATTTGCTAGTGCGTACTGATCTGCGTATCAGGCAATATCCAAGGCCAGTACAGCCAAGTTGGCGCTCCTCAGGGCCAGCCCATCACAGAAATACTGCCCAATTAAATGAATCTATACGATCGTGTACGATAGGTCCTGCGTCTCGGCGCACATCGTGACATCAGATTCCGTCGCAGAGCGAAGGGGAGAGGCTAAGGAGTGGTACTTGCAACAGGTTGCTGAAGTTCCGTCGATGGACACGTTCCTCGAAGTCTATCCCCGTCAGCGGTTGCGGACTATCTGGTTATAGTATTCTTGAAAGATTGTGCTTTTTGGTGCCAGGTACATCTTCAACTTCAATTCTATGCCGTCCTTTTTTGGATAGCCAAATTTGCAAACAGGATTCAATCATCCCACGTGCAATCGACAAGGTCGTGCTCAAAACGTGTCAAAATCGCTCACGTGAAGGAAAGCTTTTCTGCCCAAGAAAAGTATCCAGCATCAACGGCAGCAAATCATGCGTCTACCACAACTCCAGGCGCCGTGCTTGATGCGATGCTAATTCGTCCCGCATGATTCCTGCTAGTCACTACTTTCGTAAACTGTCAAGGCGGGCTTGCAAGTCGTCGTCTTCGCCTCCACCGCCTATAGCCTGGGCGACCCGGCCTTCCGGTACAGCTGCTTTCTGGATTCCTGTCGGAGTCTCACCGAGCTAGCAACCTCATTAGCAGCAAAAATGAAGGAGCAGCGCAATGACTTACAGCATTGTTCAAATCGACGCCAATCTCGTCGAGGACTTGATTCACCACTTCCTCGCCTTCCTCTTCATCTTCCAGCCCTGTGACATCGTCGATGGCATCATCCATCATCTCCTGGCGCTGGTCCATGATGTCGTTCTCGCGCTCGAACTCCATGGCGATGCGCTGAAGTGCCGGCAAGTTCATCTGGCGATTCATGCTGCCTAGAAGCATCGTAGCCCCTTTCATGGACTGCATCATCTGCTCATTGCTCCGGACAGTCTGCAGAGGACTCGGTCAGCCGCAGACGGCCACGGTATAGACGGGAGAACAGCATACTTGTATCCTCAGGCTGATGGCCTGCAACTGGGTCCTCATCTGGTAGAACTTCTGGATATACCGCCGTGTCCGAACCAGATCCTTCGCCTGGATCTTGCAGGCACCAATCTGACCGTTCTTTGCGCTCTTCTTGATATCTGCCACGAGTTTCTTCTCCTGGTTCTCTAGCTTGACCCGCTCACGGTCCAGTTCTCTTTGCGTTTTCTCGAGCGCACGTTGGTGTTTGCGCAGACGTTCTGCCGGCGTCATTCGCTTGCCGAAGGCCCATTCTATGATCTGGTGGTAGTGGTGGTTAGTGACGGGGGAATTGCGCGGCTGGAGGGATGCAGATGGCTCACATTCATGGCGAAGAAATTGATGGGACCCAAAGAGACCCTGGTGGAGTTTCAACCGCTGTCAATATTCGATTTATCGCGACTTGGAGTCAGAGTTCCTGCTGTTGTCTTGCTGCAATCAGAGGGCATCGACTGTTGCTTGGAGCCTCCAGGGCCGCCAATGACGTTGCGGGTCGGAACAATGTCGGGGCAGCCGGTGGCCCGATTGGGTTAGTCTGACCACGTGCCAGGCTCGTTCGGTCACTCACTGCACCAGCACCTGCAATTCTTGTGGCAGGGACTGACGTGACAACGTCTGCAATTTATTCTTCGCCGATCCTCTACGAACATCACTATGGACATGAATGTCTCCGTTGACCCGCTGAAAGCTACCGTTCCCAGCTGCACATAATCGCGCCCGCCTCAACAATGAGCCACACCAGCAATGCTGCAGGCGAAGGGTCCTCGCGCCCAAACCAGGATCCTGTACCCGACAAATACTTCGAGCACGACGACGTGGCGTCGCCTGCACCCTCCTACCGGCCCCAATACATGACTGTTGGCAACGGCTCGCAGTCATCTCATGCTGCTGCGTTGATGGAACAATTGGAACGAGACTCGGGCTATGGGAGCATGCCGGGCGACGTGCAGCAATCCGGTGGCGAGATGCGCGCATGGGAGGACGAGTTACTACGGGACAGACCGACACCCGCACATACCCCTCAGGTCGCTGGACAACCCGCAACCATATCTGAGACGGAGAAACGAGCGCTCGCAAGCCATGTGCATCAACTCTATTATAACCAGAATCGCGTGGCCCTTGCGAAGGCCATTTCCCAAACCGTCGAACTCCTTAAGCAGCTACAGGAGATGAACGCGCAATGGCCTGCGCATTACCCTGCCGTTCAGAGACCCGAAAGCGGAACGGAACCTTCCAGACCCGGTATGCCACATGCCCAGTCTACACGAGATGCTACCGACATGTCGCGGCAGATGTTTCTCAAGAAGACAGCACATGATCGGCCGGCGGCCCTGAGAAGAGCAGGGACTTCAATAGGAGAGGACACCACGGGGGAATCAAGTTCGCAGGTCCAGGCCCGGAAAACACCTGAGCCCCGACTTATCACGCCACAGATCGCCCAGGAGTTCTCCATCCTCAAACTTGATCTGAAAGTCGGTGCATTGTCCCAGACGGAATTGGTGCATTCGCTGGAAAAGAAGTCAATAGCATCACTCTTGGACGGGAAGATCAGTCAGAGCGTACGCCATCTGCTGGCCCTCCGAGATCGGATTGAGGATACGTCGAGCAAGGTGTTAGTGACGGGCGATTTGAATGCCGGCAAGTCGACGTTTTGCAATGCCCTTCTGCGGCGGAAGGTCCTACCCGAGGATCAACAACCCTGTACGAGTATATTTTGCGAAGTGTTGGATGCTAGGGACAATGGCGGGATTGAGGAGGTGCATGCAGTGCACAAGGATACCACCTACGACCGCAATGACGAAAGCACCTACGACTCGTACTCTTTATCCGAACTCGACAAGATCGTGATCGACAACGATCGCTACATGCAGTGCAAAGTCTACATCAAGGATGTCAGATCCATCGATCAATCACTGTTGAACAACGGTGTGGTTGATATTGCGCTCATCGACGCACCGGGCCTGAACTCAGACTCGGTCAAGACAACAGCAGTGTTCGCGCGACAGGAAGAAATTGACGTGGTGGTGTTCGTGGTATCGGCCGCCAACCATTTTACACTCTCTGCCAAGGAATTCATCTGGCAGGCTGCCCATGAGAAAGCCTATATCTTCATGGTGGTAAATGGTTTCGACAACATCCGTGACAAGGAAAGATGTCAGAAGATGATTCTTGAGCAACTGCAAAAGCTCAGCCCACAAACTTTCAAAGAGGCGCAAGAGCTGGTACACTTCGTTTCCAGTAATGCTGTCCCCATGGTGCCTTCTTTAATGCCACCTGGAGGGGATGGCGGCGGCGGTGGTGGTTCCGGCCCGTCACCACCCGATGGCGATGATGACGGAGACAAAGGCAAAGGCAAGGACAAGGAAAAAATCCGAGACTTCGAAGTCTTGGAAAGTGCTCTGCGAAGATTCGTACTTGAGAAGAGAGCAAGGTCGAAGCTGGCGCCCGCGAAGACGTACTTGATGAACTGCCTGGGCGATATGAACGTTCTTGCCACAGTGAACCGCGACGTGGCGCAGTCCGAACTCGAGCGAGTGTCCAAAGAGCTTTCCGAGATCGTCCCAGAATTTGAAGAGAAGCAGAAGCAGCGAGTCGCAGTGTCGGAGCAGGTTGAAAAGGAGATCGACTCGACCTCAACAGAGGTGTACAACCACACACGTTCAACACTAACTACTACCATTGCCAATGTAGGGAAGCAAGACCACGGTGTCGAGTACCCTGGCCTGTTCTCGGCATTCCAGTATGCAGAGGACCTCCGGGTTGCCATGCTTGACCAGATCTCCGCTGCCGTCGCCAGCTGTGAGAACTACGGACGAGCTAGAACAATTCAGGGAGTAAGCATGATCAAGTCCCTCGGACTGTTACATGTCGGCGACAGCTACGAGAACCTCAACTTTGCTGCGGACAAAATGTTCCAACGGAGGAAGGATGCTCTGGTCAGGTCTGTCGATACAGATGTGGAGATCTGGGATTTCTTCGACGTAGCCGGTGTGTGGGAGCGGCAAGAGAAGACGGTCGGTACAGGTCTGGCCCTCACTGTTGCCGGAACATTGGGAACCAGGGCCGTGGGAGGTGTTGGCTGGGTCGATGGGGCCTTTGGCGCGGCCAAGATCATTGGGAGTCGGAATTTGAGAAGACTGGTCCTGCCCGGCATGGTCGCGGCTGGTAAGTTGTGCCCGTCTCCCCAATTACTAGCAAGATTGTGGCTGACAGACATTCTTAGCTATCTTGACAGTAGCGTACATTCTCTCTACCATTCCACAAACACTCCCTCCTCGACTTGCACAAAAGCTTTCGGTCACCCTTGCCCAGATGGACTACACTCATAGCAATGCGCATCGAATCGCCTCGGAAGTGCGACGCGTCCTGCGCTATCCGGCTCAAAATCTCACAGCCGACCTCGCGAATACTGTTGAGGAACTGAGGCAGAAGAAGGAAGACGTCACCAAGACGAAGAGGGAAAGTGAAGTCGCACGAAAGTACTTCACCAACCTTGTTCGAGACTCAGACGAAGCGAGAAGAAGAATATCGGCGATCGACTTGGAAGGAGGGCCACCGGGCGCGGTGGGAGCGTATGCTCCGGGCCGACTCTGAGCCTTGCAAGGACGCAAAAGCGCAAGAGGCAACAATTGGACAGAGCAATACTTAATGTGGTGCTGGCATTGACGACTTGATGGACATGAGCGCGCGATTTCCTCCACTTGGCCATTCATTCGGACTTCTTGTACAAACTCAACTTCTGCTCGGAGACAGCGGGAAAAATAATTCAGTCCAACAATCTATCCTTCGACACCGGGTGCATATCAGAATCGCCATTATCTTGTCGGTGATACTCGATCGTGACCGCTAATAAAGTGTATGACTAGGCGATCCAAAATTAAGCTTATGGTGCTTGGATTGCTTATCCGCAACGATCACTGGCTTATGAGGGAATATATCCAACGGTCGTCTAGGCCTTTCATAGCCTGGTGCCTGCGTAGCCATCAACATCACTCCTCACAGAGATCCGCGTGTGCGTACGAGGGACGCCAGAAATTTGTGGAAGCAAGGAACAAGCGACACCAGCCTCGACATCGACGTCATTGACGACGCGTTCACCACTCACCACTCACTCACCACTCACTCACCACTCACTCACCACTCACTCACCATGTCTGTCGTCGCAAGTCAAGGCTAATACCTACAGGGATCCCAAGTATCCAATCAGTGATATTGGTGTTGAAGAGCGTTATTTGCCACTACTATATCACTAGCAATTTCACCTCAATGAGCAAATCGCTCTTAATTATAACCATCCAAGTTGAAGCACTTCTAACACTACCAGCTCAACTTACTTCAAGAAGCGACTCATTCTTATAACAGTCTCGGTGGAAGCTCTCTCAACGGCAACATCTCAATTCAACCTCTACTCGCAATGGCCAACCCTTACCAGAATCCCAACCCCAACCTTCCAGCCGAACTTCCAGCCGAACTCCCAGCTGAAATTCCAGCGCAGAGTGGACCACAAAACCTCAGCACAAATCCCCCTACCGAGCAGCCACTGAACATACATACCGGGTATGGCACCGGATATCAACCGCAGGAACAGTATCCGCCACCTCCGCCGCAACCGCTTCGACCACAACACCTCAGCACCGCTCCCGCTACAGAGCAGCCATTGAACATGAATTCGGGGTATAACACCCAATATCGATCGCAGGAACAATACCCTCCACCTCCACCGCAACCGCCTCGACCACAACAGATGGTAGTGCCTGTCCCGAGCTTTGAGCCTCCTCCTCCTCCATCTCTACCGCAAAGACCGGCTCATGAAGGATTCAACGTCGAGGCTCAAGCTCCCACTCATCTGCAACCTCCAGCCTACAATCCAGCGGACTACGCTCATGGCCAACAGTATCAAGGGCATCAACAATTCCAGCCTCCCCCACAGCGGATCAAGCAGACCTTTCCAGAGGACGACAACCCTTCCAATCCCATCCATTACATTCGTGATCCTCACAAACTGATCGGATATCTGGTTCCCTTCCCGCGGCCAGTCCTGCCAAAGGTTGACGCCGAGACCATCCCCAAGCGCTTCATGATCTACACCCCTCCGCCACCTCCACTCAGCAAACCCGCCGAAGGTGAAAAGGAAGCCAAGCTACACAAGGTGCAGCGGAAGTGGCAGGAAGAAGTGCGGTCGGCAAAGACCAGCACCGCCAAGACAGCCAGCTGGAAGGGCGTCAAATCGAAAGCGACGCGCGGCATCGACTGGGCGATCCACAAGACCACGTCCTCGAATCTGGACTTCCTGGGCCGGGTGTCCCCCGGACCTCAATCCGACACGGAGAAGGACCACAGCGACAACGAGGGCCCCGACACGCACAAGACCGTGGACGTGGAGGAGATGGTCCTGATCTACCCGCCAGCCATGCAGCTCACGAACGAGCAGATGCGCGAGGAGTTTGTGAACACGATGCTGCGCACGAAGTCCAAGGCGCAGAGGGACACGGTCATCGCCACGGGACTGATGCCCGTGGCATATGGGATCGACATTCTCGCGACCTTCATCTGGCCGTTCGGCGGGCTCGGCGAGATCGACACCGTCTGGGCGTATTCGAGTTTCCGTGGGGCCAAGACCGCGCGCAGTGTCACCAAGCGGCTCACGAGCTCGACGCACGCCGGCAGCCCCAACCACGAAGACGAGGCCAACAAGCTGAGGCTCACGTTCACGCACTCGCAGCGCATCGAGGTCCTGCGCAAATATCTCGACGCAGAATGCCACAAGGTGGATCCGAAACTGTTCCCGCGTTACGAGCACTCGCCGACCGAGAGCGACGTGTTGGAAGCCATCGGGTGGGCGCCCAGCCGGGATACAGAGAAGACGAACTGGGAGGACGAGCACTGGGAGATGCAGGAGGTCAAGGAGGACCTGAAACGCGTGTTCAACAAGGCCGCGAGCGAGTGGAGGAAGTGGTGCAAGTTGTTGGCCGAGAAGCCGGAGAAGGCGATGAAGAAGTAGGCCTGTCCCTGAAGCGACGCAGTGCAGCACTGTATGCCGAAGCATGGATAGATTTCCTGCATGTGCCAAGTCGGCGAGAATGAAGCATTTTCCAAAAAAGCTTACTTCTCGCCTCGTCTCACGAACTACGCACTCGACTTCATGTGGTCTTTACCTGCATCGTTCTTATTTCTTCGTCTACGAGTACTTTCGTCTGCATGTTTTGGTGCAGTGGGCATGGGTCCTAGGTGGATCGATCAAATCTTTTGCTTCTTTTTTTCTTACACGGGGCCATCATTGGAGGTGAAAAAGGAAACGAATGCTCATGCTTGACTTCATGTTAGGACCTGATCCCGGCCCCGTGTCGCGCGGCTCTCAGACCCGACGGGGTTCGATTATATCCCAAGCAGAACCCCGGTATCGTCGATTGAAAATATTGTTTACCCTCAAGAGAACTAAATGTCATCACAGGGTATGGTCCACGTTTACAGGTGATACACCACGATTGCATGACGAGAACAGCAGAAACGCATTTCCAAATCCACGTGGTAGAGTGTCCTCTTCCCTGACAGACAATGTTACACCGTGATCCATTGGCTGACAGCTCGTTGCAAAGCAGAAACCGGAGCAGAAAAGACCCACGATCATTCTGCCGACAAGTCTATGCCGAGAGTCCAAGATTGACCAAGTAAAGAGCTAAAGAGCCATGAGTAGTCCTGAAATCCGGGCTTGAACCCAAAGTCCCCTGTAGTCTTGTCGCCATCCATTGAATGAGAAACTGGCCTCTCTACGCCTTCTACACACTGGTACGGAAGCCAATGGGAATGCCGCAACCCGTGGCAGTCAGTGCTTGGCCGCAGGCCACGACAGTCATGGTGAGGCTGAAAACATCGTCTCCGGCATTGTCCACTCAAGCTGTCGCGGTCGCCGATGCGGCGTTGAGGGCGGAATTCTGAGACTGAACGATTGATATGAGGGCATCGGTTTGCTCGTTCCCCGTGGAACATGCCTCGCAGTTCTTGGAGTCGCCTTGGAGCTGAGCGCCAACCCAGACGGAGACTAATCCGGCTGCTCCGCCTGTTACTCTTCGTCGGGGTTCACTCTGCGATGATATTTCGGAGGAAGAATAACTCACCAGCAGTGAGCCGAGCAATAAAAGGATTGTTGTTCAGGAATTCGTTTACTGAAAGTCCGGCCGACAGGGCCGCTTGTCCGGCGCTTGCAAAGTAAGGACCGCCGAGGGAGACGTCGGCGAACTTGAAAATCTCCTCACAGCGGTATCCGAACATGAAAAGTCCAAAGGCGACAAGAAGCTCAGTTTACAGTACGAACATCGACTGGGATGCCTCCAGTCTCGACGTGGGAACTTCCAAAAGGCCGGAAAAACTCTGAAGGCTGCCTATGAGGATGCGAAAGGTCTACGAATGGACACGAGGAGCAACGTACTCACCATCCAAATTGGATTTGACTACGCAGAAGCCATTCGGTCTCAGCCCGGCCGAGAGACCGATGCTACTGCGACGCGTTCAAGGATGTATTGGAGGCACTTTCGCTCTGCCCGGAAGCAGCAAGACTTGGCTCGGTCGATGGCCAACACTGCTGCAATCCTGATAACCGCGCGTCCCTACGCTGAATTACTGATGGAGGCGGCAGAGTCATGCCGAGACCAGAAGGTGCAGAAGGTCGCCTACCGGGTCGCGAGAAAGGTGCCGTCGGAAGCGTGGACCACTGGGAAGCCTCACGTGAGGAAGCTCGTAGAAGAGTGGAACTGGACTACGCTTACGGATCTGCTCTGGGTGGGCGACTCATACGGACAGTGCCTCACATACCTCAGGGCTCCGTCAACGGCAGTTGGGATGCTCGAAGAGGTGTTCCAGATTAGGAAGACGTGGAAGCCCGATGCCGACGAGACTGCGACGACACTCGCGCTTTAAAGGAGGCGCGAGAGACCAAGCATGTCCAGGACAATTTGAAGGCTGCTGAGAAGAAAACGGCCGGTGACCAGCAGGCGGTGGTGACAAGAAACCAGGCGAGGAGAAGAAACCAGGAGAGGAGAAGAAACCAGGCGAGGAGAAGAAATCAGGCGAGGAAAAGAAACCAGCGCAGCCCAAGCCCAAGCCCCCGAAGCCCCGGAAGGAGTCGCGTAGGATCGGCTTGTTGAAGTACTTTGCTGGATATTTGCATTGATGTGCATGCTCCTGAACCTAGCTCATGTGCCAGCAGAGCGATCAATTGGATCCTGTTGGGTATCGTAGCAGGAGTATACAAGCTCCCTCACCACGTGCCGGCGTGGCTGAATGTGCAGCAACGGTGAGCTGCAAAATGCTCTTCGGGGCATTGTTGGCCAGAATCACCACAATCATTGAAACTGATGCTCTTCTTGACGAAGTTTTTAGGTCGCAGATTGAGCGATCTCGCCAAATGCCCAAGTATTCGTTGATGTTATTCTTGCGAGCTAAGTTCTACCGGCAGTGCTTGGTTGTGATTTTCGAGTGGAAGAGACGCCGGGGGAGGGGGGGTCTGGGGAGAGAGGGAGGGTGATGGAAAAGTGATCTTGTAGTCTTTTAAAGCGGCGGCGGGCCCAACCTCGACCATGCCCAAAGCGGTAGGCCGCCTAGACCAAAGACGGATTTCCGAGCAACAACTTTACCACACACCCACAGTCCGAGGTACAACAAGGGTATTTTTTGATCCAATACCTTTCGTTTGTCATGTTAATGATCGGAGGAACACTTAGAGGGTTGCCGTCACATTCACGGTTAGAAATGTCCCTTGCTCTAACCCAGCTTCAAGTGAGACAAAGTCGCAATGTGTCCACAAAAGGGAGGGCGGGTTCGGGAGTGATAGTATCTGAAAAGTGCTATGACTCAGAAGATGAACAGTCGAGCATTTTGTTCATTCATCATTGCACTATCTGAGAAGTGCTATGGTTCTAGTAGCCTGCCTGGAGTGCCAGTAACCCTCTGACTCGATCCAAGCATTGCACCAATGTTCCAAGCAGGTACAGTATTCCGTCTTTCCAATGCCGAAAACACAATTTTGTTACACTCTCGAGGTCGTCCGATGGATCCTCGGACAGACCGATGACTTTCGAGGCCTCACATCAGAGACGATGTTGATATGCCCGCATTTGCTAGCGACGTTTGACCGCATCAATGCTCCTCGTGGCCTGAATGAACGCGGTATGCCATTCCAGTAAACGTATGGGCCCGTGCAACGACGGTCTCTCCGTGCGTGAGCCCTTTCCCGACAACGCATTCACATCCTTCCCGCTTTTTGGAAGTCATCTCCTCGACTTGAGCGGCTGCTTTGCGCATGAGATCGTCTCCAATGCCTTTGTAACCCTCCTTGCGAAACGGCAGGATGTTCAACTTGGACTTGCCCTTCCCAGCCACCAGGGTACTCAGAATAAACAGCACAACCAATGGGAGGCCTCTCTCCTGTCTTGGGGCTGTTCCGTAGAGGTCTTGCATCTGCGTTGCCACTGCATCTCGCACAGAGAGGAGGAGCCGGGTGCATATGCGGTGCATCGTCATATAGTCGAGCGAGAGCTCCAGCGACTCCGCCTCCAGCGATTGGCGCAGCTTGCGAAGAACGCCTACGGGGCTGATGTCTGGAGTAACAGCGCGGCGAGCCTTTTTCGACGCTTTCGGCTCCCGTGATGGAGCCTTGGGGATCACAATGTCACACATGAGCGCCTCCTCGCCCTCCGAAGCTTCCACCATGACTTTCCGCTTGTTCGTGCCCAGGATGTCCAGTAATTCTTGTGCACTGAGATTCTTCCGGTCTTGTTGGAAGCAGTACCGGTGAAAGAACGCGTCGGAAATGGGAGTCCGCTTTTCCAAGACTCTATGTCCGTTCGCTTTGAGCGCAATGTTATGTGGCTTCCTCCGGTTCCGCGCGAAATTGGTGATGGAGAAACCGAGGACGGCCAAGCAAAAGCGCTTGTGGCAATCGTCAGGGGTTTGGGGAGCTGCACCGGCGTACAGATTCGATTCATCCTGGGCCTTGTAGACAAAGTCCATGTCTCGCCACCGACCTTGCATATAGCCTTCCTGGATCAAGGCATTGTTCAGATGAGCACAAGAGAGGATGGCGTCGGAGCGGCAGTTGACAAATTCCAGAGCCAGGTGGCGGTACAGGGCTTTGATGGCGTAGAGCTTGATCCCACATGAGATTGGATTCATCTTCAGGAACCGGAACGATTCAATTTGCTGCCCGTCAAACAGATTTGTCACATCGCGAGCCCTCTGCAGGAGATCCTCCTCGCAGATATCGCGGATCATTCGACTCAAGTAGTCAAATGCCTCAGCAAACGGATGGAATGGTCCGTCGGATCCATTGTGATGATGCTTGGCCTGGTCTTCCATGGAGAGTACTATCATTTTACCGACCATCTGAAGTAGCTCGAAGCCTTTGCCAATCTGCTTGTGCAGCATGTGGTGGATGTCAAGGAAGACTTGCGTGGCGAAAGCGAGCCACAAAGGTACCCTGGCCGACCAAAACATGTCGAGAAAGCCCCGGGTCAATTCGTCAATGTGTGAGTCGCCGTGGACGTCCTGGCCTCCCATATATACCATGATGTCGGAAAATACCTGGCTAAGGAAGCGGCGGTCTTCCAGGAACGCCTGTTGTTCCAGCGTCCTTGAGCAACCAGACTCGGGTCTGTAGGTGTCTGCCGATGGGCTAACCACAGTCTTCATACATCCGAGGTCCAGGAAATATCTCAAATGCTTGTAGGCCGACCACAAGAAGGCTTCTGGTGCGGCGTTGTGCGTCGCAAACTCGAAGTCATCCTCGCTCAGGTCAGTGTACTCTGGCAAATCTCTCATGCGTTGACAGAGTATGGCATGCTGGCTTTTCAGAAGCGATTCGACGTTACCATCTCCAGTAAGGTCTTCCAAGTCTCCTTCCAAGCGCCATGCCAGCTCAAAAGCTGTATTCGAGGTCAAGGCAGCTGTGGTCAGATCGAGGGTACCTCTTTGATAACCCCTCCAGCAGTCTGAAATCACTTCACGCATTTGTTGCATGTCACTCAGCAGACACACAAATGCCACGGATGCCTCAAGAGAGTCTTTGGGTCGTTCAGCCTTGCAGCACAGGTCTGGCATGACACGTGGTATTTCCTTGTGAAGATGTTGGCCCGGCTTGTCACCGTCGTTGTCTTGCTCGGTCGTTGACAAATCATCTGTTGACAGGCAATCGAACATATTGGTGAAGTTGAAGCCAGACCTGTCATCAGACTTGGCAGCTTCTTGTGGTCTAGGGCCACTCTGCCCCTTCTCAGCGACAAGATGGCCTAATTTCTGTTGCACGTTGACCAGGATGTCCACAAAGTGAGCGTGACGCGAATCCGATTCCAGGTTGGTGGAGGACCGCGAGGACCCTGAATATTGCGGGTCTGCCATAGCCTTGCTCACCTTTCTGCGCAGGGATATGGCTCGTTCAATCACTCTCATGAAGTGTTCCGGAACCTTGACAGGGGGTTTGCTGAATGAGGATATCTGCTGAGCCATGGGAAGGAAGTCTTGAATGGCTATGGTATAGGAAGCGCTCGAGGCCCCATCTTCTTGCTTTTTTGCGTTTTCTGCGTCACGCCTTGCGAGGGTCCTGGCTCTTCCTTTCAGCTTGTTTGGCGTCTTGAGTGGCGTTTCGCGAGGATCGTGGTGCGTGACATAACCGCATTGTTTGGCAGTAGTGGCGAGCCAATGGGCGATATAGTCCGTGTCCGCTTTATAACGCTTGTAGCTTGTGAAGAGGCAGTCGTGCAACATGTTTTCGTACGTTTCGTTGCCACGAGCTGGTCCCAATAACGCCGGAGTGTCATGCGACGAGAAGAGGAGAGATGCTAGAGAACGAGAGATGTAGGTATCGATGGGTTAGAAACACGGTCCCTGGATCCTGGAGCTCAGAGATGTGGTGGTAGAATCAAATCCTGGACGGCATTGCCTGCGTGAGTTCGAAGAAAGCTGAAAGCACGACGCAGTATCATTGGCGCCTCAAGGTGGCTGTCAGCCAGGGTACGGTACAAACAACTGCTTCGTGAATATTGCATTGCACGTGATTTTGGGTGAAGGAGACTTGCCATAACAACTTGCAAAGGTTCAGACAGCTCCATAGAGCAGTGACCCAGCGGAATGAAAACCTGTCGACGTAACAGGAGTCGAAATCCCCCAACCCCGAGGCCGGTACCGGTAAAAGTGTTGAGACTGATTACCTACCAGGATAAATCATATACAAGATCCACGAGCATGAGCACACAACACCGTCAACTCCAGGGAAGTGCCAAGGAGTGGACAAATCGTCAGAATCAGGACCGGGTTCTGTGCTTGAAAGAGTTTGAGGACGTCAACGATTCTGAAAGACATCACAGAGAAAGGTCGATGAACGAGGTGATTTCGCCTCTTGTCTAATCTCAATGTGGTTATGGGTCGGTCTCTCATAAACTTGAGGCGGTGCTGAAAGACACAGGAGGCAGAGATTATGTTCGACTCGGCCAGAGATCTGTCGAAGTGATGTCTTTGAGTTTGACCTTTGAAGCAGTTGCGCTGTCCTCATGGTAAGCAGTCCCGTCCAATCCACAGTTGCGACGGTCATGGTTTGGCAACATTCTGAGCATGGAAGTCTTCCCGAAGACACTGCAGCCAACTTGTCACAGTAGATATATCCCGACAATTTCGGACCGTGGCCTTGATCCCTAGTGTCGAGGGTGGGAGACGCGGAGACATGCGACCTCCTCATTGACGGCACAAGCTGGACTCTCTTGGGGGTTGCGCGCATTTGAAAGATGCGTCCCACACATCTTCGAAGAATGAGGCATCAAACCGACAGTCCTATCCATCTCAACCTCTTTGAGCTCAGCATGTGCCGACGAGTGGATAGATGACTGTTTTGCTGAAGTGGTGAACAACCATGAGGGGGGTTGTCATCCTTGGTATGATGAGAGATTCTCTCTGACACCAACTGCTTTGTTGCGCGGACGTGCAGTCGGCCAGCCTTCGAGCTTGTCGCAAGAGCATGAAGCCATGCAGGAGAACTGTGGGCTCTTTGGCAACATGATATTGCTGACCACCAAAGCAACGCAGTTGAACAGGAAGCCGAGGAGACACACGTGAAGCGACATAAGCAGACGCCGAAGAGTGGCCATCCCAGGAGTCTCATACACCACGTCGCATAAGATATGCATGCCGCCGGAGATGGATTCTGGGGAAGATGTGCAGTTAGCAAGACGGAGAAATAGTCGCCGCCCGCTGCGGGAACTTGTGCTGTACTCCACGCGGCGTTAGCTACGTCGACGGCGTTAACCAGAAGGCGTGTCTCCAGTGTCAGTGTCTCCAAAGGCCCTCGCTAGACTCATTCCAGCCCTGGGATCCATCAACGACAGAGCTGCTATGCTTTATTTGGCTGCTGAGAGATCACCACTAGATGTTGCAAGTTTGATGCTGGAAGCAAACTATTCGGCCGAATCGATGGCGATGAACCCAAACACCAGACTAGCCAGAAAGAGCGAGGGTTTCTCTTCAAGCTCTCGCTTCTCGGCGATGAGGGTGCTCCGTGGGGAGGGAGAGGGGAGGACGAGGGGAGGACGGAGAGCTGCATTCCTTCGCTCTTGTGTACTGCGTACTCCGAGCCCCAAGGTCGCTGCACACAAGCGGGTAATGAGGGACAAGTACTCCGTACGTGGTGCTGCCTTGCGTACGTGGCTTCCAGGCAGCCGCTACGAGTACGGGCATGAGGATGTACTGAGCAGTAACTGAGTTAATGACTCTCTCCGTACTCGTTATGTAAATCTAGACTGACTGACGTCGACGTGCCACCATCGGTGCCGCGTCCCTGCTGCTGCTGCCCTTGCCGAGTCTCTTGCTGGCGCTCACCTTCCCCTCCCCCACAGCTTCACTGTCTCGCCCATCTCCCATCGCCCATCGCCCATTTCCCATCGCCCATCGCCCATCCTTATCCTTATTCAGACAGGCGGAGAAGAACAACGAGAGGAGCCCAAAGCACTGCCACATTCATCACCACCTCGGCCAGATGCGCCCTCACAACTGACCTCATATCCCACTCTGCCACTCGGCCGTTGCTCTGCTTCTGCCACTGGCCAGCCAGCTCAAACACTCGTGATCGGCCTTTCGCACAGAACAATCTAGTCTTGGGCGACCTTTGCTTGCGCACATCCTTAAATTGAGACGCCTATTTCTCTTCCCGGCCACGACTAATCCCCTGCGGCGTTGCTGTCACTGTTCTGTTGCCACTGCTCGACGTTGCACTGCAACTCCCTGCGCCCCATCCTCTGCCTCGTTTAGAGCGACTCCTTCGCGCCCGCCAACCGTACCCTCAGCGACCCTTCAGGAGCTTGCGCCGTCTTCAAGCTGGCGGGCACCACCGATCGGAGATCCTCCTCTGGGGGGTTTCTCAATCGCGTCTTTGGAGGCAAGAAAGAGAAGGATGCAGACACGGACAACGCGCCCCCTCGGATCAGCGCTGACAGCAACCACACTACCCCCACCTCTCCTGGTGGCAGCATTACAGTCAACACGAATGACCTGAGTCCCAAAGGCGAGAGCAGGAAACCAGCAGAAGACCCCGCCCCATCACCTACGGCCGACGCGAAGAAGCGCCGGAGTAGTAGCGCCAAAGCCAAAGAGATATTCACCCAGGCCAAAAACTCGCTGATCCATGGCGACAGGGACGGCCCTCAGACGCCCATGCAGAAACTCTCCAAGACAGATCCCGCCCTCAGTGTGCCCCAGGGCTCCCTGAATAACTCGGCCGGCGAGTCGCAGCCTACTCCCAACTCCTCTTTCCTGGTAGGTGTGACGGAAGACAAAAACAAAAAATGCCGTCGCACTATGGAAGACACTCATGCATATCTCTACAACTTCCTCGGCACCCCAGCCCCTGTGCTGGCCTCGGCCGATAGTTCACTCTCCAAAAAGAGCTCGCGGGAAGACAAGAATAGCTTGACGACGATCCCCTCAGACTCTGGGCAGCATGTCGTCGAGACGGATAATGGATATTTCGCCATCTTTGACGGCCACGCGGGCACTTTTGCTGCAGAATGGTGTGGGAAGAAGCTGCATGTCCTTCTGGAAGATCTGATGCGCAAATACCCGAATACGCCGGTCCCGGAACTGCTTGATCAAACATACACCTCTGCTGACAACCAGTTGGAGAAATTGCCGCTCAAGAACAGTGGATGCACTGCCATTACTGCGGTCCTGAGGTGGGAAGACCGCGTGCCTACCAACCACTCCGCGACAGGGTCGCAGGCCATTGCAAGTCTGGCAGCAGCGGCCGCCAAGGAAGCAGAAAAGAACGAGAAGAATAGCGAAGCGTCGAAGGATGCCAAAGACTCGACTCCCCGATCGAACTCCACTGCTGAGGCGGCAGCCGCAGCGATCCAAGAAGCCAAGCAGAAAGCCACCCGACAACGAGTGCTCTATACCGCTAATGTTGGCGACGCTCGCATCGTGCTATGTCGGAATGGAAAAGCCCTCCGTTTGTCTTATGACCACAAAGGTATGGATGAAAATGAGGGACGAAGGATATCAAAAGCTGGTGGCTTGATTCTGAACAATCGAGTGAATGGGGTATTGGCTGTGACACGAGCATTGGGCGACTCGTATCTAAAAGACCTGGTCACCGGGCACCCGTATACGACTGAGACAGTGATTCAACCTGATCAAGACGAGTTCTTGATCCTGGCCTGTGATGGGGTAAGTCTAACTGTCCACCTTGTCTTGACTTATACTGATTAAAGTAGCTATGGGATGTTTGCTCAGATCAAGAGGCGGTCGATCTCGTTCGCAATATCCAAGATCCGCAAGCTGCCTCCAAGATCCTCGTAGATCACGCCTTGGCGCGTTTCTCCACCGACAACCTGTCAGTAATGGTTGTTCGCTTCGACCCGCAGAAGCTGCAAACAAACACGAAGATGGACATTGGAGTCGAAACAGATGCCAACAAAGACAAGTTGGCCATCAGTGAAGTGGAAATGATTGTTGGCGAAGCCCGACGACATTCTGGCGTTGCCCCGGAAGGCGCCGTTTCGGATCAGGACTCGGAAGAGCTGATGCAGACCGTGATCAAAGAGCAGGAAAATGAAGACCAAGAGGCGGGACCCGAATATACGCCAGAGGGCAGGCCCGAAGCAGAGAGGATATTGTCCGAAAAGAAGTCGGAGCAAGTACAGAATGGAAGTTGAGTTTGGTCGACAGTTGGATTCCTCTGAGGGTTTGTGTTGTATGAGGCGAGGCTCAGTCTTGAACCACATGAGAAAGACGACACTTAGCTGGTCGGGAAAAATGTCCAGATGAGTGGTCTGGGATTCGCACCAGGCAGGTCTTGGTCCATTGGTCTCCAGTGGGCCTCGAGCATGCCGGCTCTTGGATAGAGCGCATCTCCTCAGACCAAGTTGGAATCATGTCTGAAAGATCAGCGACATTGGAATGGTACGAGCAGGACGCTCAGACGGTTCGAGGGATCAGTTCGTAAATGGATGGTGATATGATCCAAGGCATCAGCGGGTTACAGCGGCTCGTCCAAATTCGGCCTCATTCCAGGATTGTGTTGTACAAGTGATTCATACAAATCCCTGATGTTTGTCAAGCAAGAACCATTCCTAGGCTGAAAAACAAGACCCATTCACTTACAGACGACTCGATCTGGGGGGGCTCGTGCGAGAGCGAGGCTTCCCAAGCGAGCGGTTGCTGACATAAGGATACATACTGATGATACTGGTGATACGGGCCCCGATTTCTTGGGGCTGAAGTCTGAAGTGATCCGGGATCCCTTGGAATCTTCAGCCATGAGCTTCGGAGGCCGTCGCCGTCATTTTCAGCCGTTCAGTCCGTGAACAAGCATACTGTGACAGGCCTACAGACGATCGCGTGTGAAGCTGAAGTACGAGGTACTGTGTTGGGGGGTGTAGAAGCTGCGAAGGGATGATACGTACCACGTGCATCTTAGAGAACCCAACGCCCCTTATTGGCTCTATCTTCTGCTTATCAGCTTCCCTGCCCTCTGAGTGGCCGGATCAGAGCTAACAGCGGCCCACCTTCCCGAGCTGCTGCAAAGTTACGTATCCTGCAATGTATTTTGCAGCGGCAAAATTACCTACTGACCCTAATCTTCCTCAACACCATCCTTTTTTCCTCACTCAATCCTCTGCTTGTGCCCTCTCCCCTCCTCTCCTAGCTCTTTCCTTCGTGATGGTCTCGACAGAGTCACCTTGAGCCCCTGACTCTGACAAAGTCGACCGACATGGCGGGCAAACTACCGTTGCGCATGATGCCAGGCGTCCCTATGGTGTCATACAGGCCGCTGTCAATGCGAGCTCTCTCAACCTGTCGCAGGTCGAACTTCTCAGTCGCAAGTGCTTTGAAGCCGTCTTCATTACTCCCTCGACCTCTGGTTTCACAGTCGTTCCGCCGATCCTACGCCGATGCTCCTAAAGTCGAGCTGTCTCCAGAACCCAAACCCCGGCGACGGTTCAGGTTCCTTCGCTGGACGTGGCGATTGACCTACCTCTCTGTTCTCGCTAGTCTGGGATACATCGGCTATCAGGTCTATGACCTCCATCATCCTCCAGATCAATCCGACCCCGATCCGAGCAAGAAAACTCTTGTCATCCTTGGTCTGCCGCTATCTTTGATAAGTGCCCTTCCGAGCTAACGCGGTGCAGGTACCGGTTGGGGCACCGTATCTCTACTGAAGAAGCTGGACACGGAAAACTACAATGTCGTTGTGGTATCGCCGCGCAACTACTTCCTCTTCACCCCCCTGCTTCCCTCCTGCACAGTTGGCACCATCGAGCACCGGTCTATCATGGAGCCCATCCGCAACATCCTGCGACACAAAAAGGCAAATGTCAAGTACTATGAAGCGGAAGCCACCAAGATCGACTATGAGAAGAGAGTTGTGTACGCCAAAGACGAATCAGAGATCAAGGGTGACGTGATGGAGACCGAGATACCCTTCGATATGCTGGTGATCGGCGTCGGCGCTGAAAATGCTACCTTTGGAATCCCCGGTGTCCGCGAACATGCTTGCTTCCTGAAAGAGGTCAACGATGCTCAGAAGATCCGCAAGCAGATCATGGACTGCGTCGAAACTGCGTCGTTCAAGGATCAGTCTCCAGAGGAGATCAGGCGCCTTTTGCACATGGTCGTTGTTGGAGGTGGTCCCACGGGTGTCGAATTTGCCGGCGAACTCCAAGATTTCTTCATGGAAGATCTGCAGAAATGGGTGCCGTCGATCAAAGACAGTTTCCACGTCACTTTGGTCGAGGCTCTCCCCAACGTTCTTCCCATGTTCAGCAAGCAGTTGATCGAGTACACTGAGTCATCGTTCAAGGAAGAACACATTGAGATCCGGACGAAGACGATGGTCAAGAACGTTACCGACAAGTACATCGAAGCAGAAGTCCAGAAGCCCGACGGTAGCAAAGAAATCGAGAAGATACCATATGGATTGCTTGTTTGGGCGACCGGCAACGCGGTGCGCCCCGTGGTCAAAGACCTCATGTCTCAAATCCCGGCTCAAGCCAAGGCCCGTCGCGGGCTCGAGGTCAACGAATACCTGGTCGTGAATGGCGCGGAGAATATCTGGGCTGTCGGTGACTGTGCGGTCGCCAACTATGCACCTACCGCTCAGGTTGCCGCGCAGGAGGGCGCTTTCCTCGCCCGTCTTTTCAACACCATGGCCAAGACGGACGCGATTGAGGCTGAGATGCGCGAACTGTCCGCTAAGCAAGCCAACGCCAAGTCGGATGAACGCAAGATCATTCTGGAGGAGATCAACGAGCGACAACGGCAATTGCGTCGCGTTAAGCAGATTGGTGCCTTTAGCTATTCGCATCAAGGATCATTGGCGTACATTGGAGCGGAGAAGGCTGTGGCCGACGTCAGCTGGTTCAGCGGTAACATTGCCTCCGGAGGCACCATGACCTACCTATTCTGGAAGAGCGCATACCTGAGCATGTGCTTTAGCAGTAAGTTCCTCCCTTGGTTTCGTCTCCGACCATGGGTGTACATCTAGCTGACATTTTTTTACGTAGCACGCAACCGTATCCTCGTCTGCTTCGACTGGGTCAAGGCCAAGTTCTTTGGCAGAGATGTGTCTCGAGAGTAGCGAAGGGAGAGACACGGGGAACAAATGCGGAAGACATCTGTCTGCGTGTGGTCGTATAACAAGGGATGTTTCAGGGATGTTTCAAAGGGCAATTGCCTGAAGCGCAATCAGCTGCTTTGCAGCCTTCATTGGGATTGTATTACTGGCGGCTTCGATACGGAAAAATGACGATTGGTGCCTGTTTTTGGCATAGACTGCACGCGTGCTTGGGAGATCTGCCTGCGCTATGCGAAATGCTGTACCTCGAAACGTGCCTCGAGCAATACGCCTTTCCAGAGCCTCAGTGGTACGAAGTGCATCTTCACATCGAGCTGATGGAAAGAAAAGTGTATCATCATGCTCTGTTGGGCTATCTAGGTGCTATGCTATACAATGTCGAATGTTCAGTACACCATAATGCTGAGTCCTTCCCTCAAGCCCCTCTGGTCCATTAGTGGATGTATATATCGTCACACTCTCAGGGAGGAACGACCGATAGATAGCATTGCGGTCGAGTGCCGGAACGACCACCGCGCACGAAATAGCTTTGTGGTTCTCTATACATCCGAGGGGAGAACCCTTTACCAGTATGTGGTGTTAGGGCAGACACTCCTCACGGAGAGGAGCATAGAGTAGCACCCATGCTCTTCCCATTCACCAGCGCTCATGTTTAGACGCAGCTGGCTTTACCACAATTTGTCGCCTTCGTTCCTCTTGGCGGCTCTGCCGCCCCTGGCACTCTCCCTCTTCAGAGCCTTCAACTGCTCCTCGCTGAGAGGCTCTTTAAAGTACAGACTTGCCATCTCTCCCTCCTTGACGGTGTGGCTCAGATATCCCCGGTGCTTTGCGTCGCGATAGTATTCCAGATCCTTTCTAGAGCTCGGATCCGGCAGTCTGTAGCGAAATCCCATGGCCTTGACACGGTTCTCGATGGCCTCTGCGCCCTCGACGGCCAGGTGCGGGTTGTTCAGCGCCACGGCGTCCCAGCGCATCGAGACGAATGGATGCGTGGAGCCGGCCTTGATGCGCCGGATCGCCTGCGCGGTATAGAAGCGCGTGGTGACCGTGCCGCCCAGTGCCTCGACCGCAGCAATTGCCGACTGCGACGCCCTGGACACGACGATGTGGATCGGGGTTTTCAGATCGGAGGCGCCATTGCCCAGTAATTTGACGCCGTCTTTGATCTGGCCCAGCAGACGCGATGCACTCAGCTCTTTCAGCGTAATTGGTCGGGAGGCGTCGAGGCGGCCCTGGTCAATCCAGGACTGGATCTTGTCCAAGTTGACGGGCGACATGTCGTTCGCAAATCTGGAGGCGATTCTCTGTCAGTCACCGGGTCCAGCTGCCATTTCGTCATGTACGTTATTAGTCTCGGGAGTTGGACTGACTGATTGATGAAACCATATTTGCCGTGCACGATGTGCTCGGGCGTTTGGCCTCCATTGAACCCCTCTGGCACTTTGCCGTGTTGTTTCTGTCCGTCTGAGCCCCTGCCGGATTTACCTCCTTTGCCTGACGCGGGACCTCGCCCTCTTCGTATTTTTCGATTGTACGCCCCAGGCCGGTCGGACAAGGAGGTTAGGACGGAGGCATGCCGTCGTTGAGGGGATTGAGGTTGATGGTGAAGAAAGGGAAGGAGAAAGGCTGGGATCGCCGAGACCGACGGTGCCGCTCCAACTGATGCAGAGGCAGATGGGAGAGGGTCGCATGATAGGGCTTTCAGCCGCAGTGGTAGACGAGGAGGCATAGCGACTGGAAATGTGTGTAATGAGTGTCACCAGCAGGGTAGTTCTCAATGTCGATTCCGAAAAGTTGAAGCTCCGACTGCGCGTGGCGCGTGGCTCAATGGCTGACCGTACTGCCAAGGCGCTAGCGGCCGACGCAGTCGTGGATTCCAACTGCCACCCAGTCCTTTCCCACCCCTGCTTCCTCGTGTCACTGTCATTCTGATTTCAGTAAAGAACTCTGTGGCCCTTTTGTTACATATACGGAGCGAGATCCCGCTTACGTCGAGCATAGTGAAGGCGTTACTCCAAGGTGAAGGGGAGCCGGTCTTGGCATGTGACACGCCATCAGACTTCTGATGATGCTCGCCTTTTGTGGACTTGCTGGGTACATTCGAAGAAACAAACCCGGATTAAATTTAAGCTTCATTTGAAGAAGAGATCTCCGCTATCACGACCTTCAGGAGCATGGAAATATGAGCGAGTGGCACCATGAAGACCCAAGAGATGCGGGCTATGAGGACGAGTTTGGGTGACACGGCGAGCAGACTACATTGAAGGAGAAGTTTTTGCTCAGGACATCATCACTGTCCTCGACTATTTACATCGTAGCAACGAGAATTGGGACTTACGAATCCCATGGCTTGGTTACTGCGCGTCGTGGTCTTAGGCAGGGCATTTGGTGGAACTGAGTTGGGACCTATGGTTAAACTGGCAGTTGGTCACGGTAATTGATTTCAGTGACTTGCTTCAAGCCATAATATCATAAGATACAAACGCTAGTCCAATGGGCGACTTGTGCCGGGGAGGTGCCAGAATATATTGATGAGGACAGGCGCAGAAGAAGCAACATGTATATGACTTGACACCCAGTCAAGGGAACCAACATCACGGATATGATGAAGTCCAGATTGAAATCCTCTTCTCGGGAAATAGATGGCATAGTTACTCCGTACGTCCTTAATCCTCTTGCTCTTGTTATCCCCGTTGTTGAACGGAACATGTGAGCCTGGTACCGTAAAAGTGCTTCACACTAACTCCACCCAAGCTCCACAATGCTCAGGGCACTCATAGCGCCGGTCAACAAGGTTTCGGCTTGTTGGCCCCCGTCGTCCAAAGTGCCAGTCAAGACAGCCAGCCCCTAGTGCCCCTGTCCGGTTCAGCCTTGCCTGCTAACTACCCCAGTACTGTACATCTCGAGGCGCGCAGCAACATTACCAACTTTAAGTGGTGGCAAGAGCTAGATTATCATCTTACGACCGACTTTTCGCATGAGGCTGAGCATCGAAGTCGAAGGAGTCGATCCTCGCTCCAATTGAACCCAGCTTGAATCGCTTCGAAGCTGGCAGCCGCCGAGTCTGGGTCTCCGCGATTACAAGCCTCGCGGGTCAAGGTGCATGGGCATTGCGCCAGTGCATGAAGGTCGTCTTCCGGGGATCAAAGCGCTTCCCGAGGATCTTGACACTGTTGCCTACTACTGGCCCAGCGTCGTGCTCTTCCTTGCGTCAGTCACATCATGTCGACAATGACCCGTGTCTTGTCCGTCTGTCTATAAGCACCGAGTGGCTCGCTCATCAGGTGGCGACCACTCGATTGGTGCCACGTTGAAACTCCAGAGGGCAGGGGTGGCATGGCTTCATGCACCCTGGGCCCAAGGAGAACATCAGGGAGAAGTCAAAGGAGAGGGGCCATACGAAGCGGTCGTTTCCTCAACTGCCGCTATCTCTCATGAACCTCGCCGGATCGTTTGAATTCCAGCCTCACTTGTTCTCAACAGGCATTGTTAATCTTTTCAATTCAGTGTTGCCGATCTACCCAGGGCTCTCAGTAGGTCTTCGCATCTGGGTGAGAAACCTTCGAGAGACATCCTTGAAATCCAGTAGCAACAATGCCTATTGAGACTCTATCAATCACCACGGCTTGCGTCAGCCTAACTGAAAATGTGGACGCATTGACCGCCCGCATACAATCGTTCGTTTCTCGTACGTGTGATTCGTACCGCGGCCTGGACGCTGTGTCGGAAGAGCTCTTCTCGCTTGGTCTTTGCCTCGAATATCTGAAGAGCCATTCAGGCAAGTACAACTGGTATTCCAGAATGCCCGCCTCTCTAGTGCAGACGTCTGACACCGTGACAACTTCGATACAGTGGTCATTTCTCAGCAAGTACCTTGGCCACTCGAGCGCAGGGTCCAACCCATCCTAGCTAGTACCGGCGAAGTTGTCGCAGCTGTGGGCGAAACTTTGATCAAGTTGGATTCTTCCGATAAATCTGGTGGCACAATAACCTGGGCTGAAAATGGCGCCAATGATTTGAACAAATTGAGCCTCCGGCTGCAATCTCACAAAGCTTCGCTAGAGATCGCTCTCACACTGTTGACCTTGTAAGTAACATCCTCCAAGCAGCATGGGTGTCGTTATGGCCAGGTTTAAGGAAGGCCAGACTTCGCAACGCCGTCGTCGACGACGACACATCGAGCATTCGCGGCGATGTCATAGCCGCGGCTTTCACTGTTGACGAAATAACCGCCGCTTTGTCGGCAACCCCGGACAATTTTGCATTGCAGTCGCGAGTACGATCTACTTTGCATCAGAAGAGCCAGGCGGCGGGGGCGCCAGAAGAGCTCATTCAGATCAACACGGCCCAGATATTCGAATTTAGAAACAACGACGGGCATCCTGGCAGCACTGATACTTCAGGTACAACACCGGACTTTGAAACCTTACATGGGGTGGTACTTCCCGACTTCAGGAGCAAGACGGCCCCGGAAGACCCCGGCTACAGGCTCCCTCAAGGAAGCATGAGTGAGCTTTCACGTGGAGACATCCATCAGCTCCCTCAAGACGACGCTGGCCCCCCAAATACTGTTGCCATAGAAATGAACAGTCCGAGGGAAAGTGAAGAACATGTCGAATCCGATTTTGAGGATTCAGAGGACAGTCTCCCCGAAGTTTTTGGACTGATTGCCGCCGAGCAGGAGGTGAGCGAAGGACACGGCCTTGGCTGCTTTTGCCCGTCGACATCCCGGAACACCGGTCAGAATATCAGCGCCTGGGTTGATTTCATGAAACTCGGGTTTGAAATGGGCGTCGGCAGAGCTCCAAGGGACAGCAGCTCCCTAGGGGAAAGGGATATTGGGTGGAGCAACGGCACCTACGAGCGTGAGGCGAAGCATCAACAAGATACTCCCCCAAGCAGTCCGACAAGGCCAAAGATTCCACCACTTGCTCCTGCGCTAGACGTGGTGACACCTTCTCGGGCACGACCTGGACCGTTGGCGGAAGGGAGAGCACATACTGAGAGCGTCTTTTCAAAGCAGGTTGGGCCCTTCTTCAGGGCTCCAAACCCGCAGTTGTCACCTCCTCCCTCCCCAAGTTCTGAAAGGCACGCGTCAATCAAGACAAGCGCCATCACCGGAAGCGAAGGGCCTAGATCGCACGTCATGAGAGCGGTCGAGGAGATTGAGCAGAGGAAGAGGTAAGAGACGTCAAAACTCTGGGCACTACAGTAGCCACAGACATACATGTCGTGTCAGTCCGGTGAAAGGATTGTTGTTCATCCTGTCGATGCTACGCTCAGAGGCTCTATGTTGCGAGCTTAGCTGACAGATGGACGCCCATCACCCGACAGGCCTGAGTTTTAGGGTGGCTCTAGGATAGTTTTTGGATTTGCCAGGCAGTTTGATCGACTGGCACGCGAGTGATTGGTTGAGATCAAGAGATTTTTTAATGACCATAACGCCGCTATGATCACACGTTGTCGCCAGTATACATCCCCCTCTTTCTGGATACCTGCTTTTCAAGGCATGATCTTTGAGTTTGGCTTCGCAATGCTGCCGTGCCTGCCACATAGGCTCCGGGCTCAGCGCTTTCTGATGAGACTATTCTGTACCTCATCTGGCGATGGCGCGGGTGGGTATCGAATCTCGCCTAAGTGACAAATCCAAGCTGAACTGGAGAAATCTCATCGATTTATGGAATGAGTCCCACTCCGTGTTTGTCAATCCTCGCTTCCCCGCACTCTGGGGATTGAGGCTGACTGTGGCTGGTGGTGAGGCTGAGCTAGGCCGGATTTTGATTCGCCCTCAGCCACTCCGTGCCACTCCAGATTGGCAGCGGCTGCACCTCCTGAAGCCAAATCCTGAAATTTCTTGGTTAGAGAGAACTCCTCCCCTTTAGAACGTCTTTCAACCATGGGTCGGTAAGGCTGGGGAGCAGGGTGGGATATTATTTGCATTCTCTCAATTGCATCGCTAATGCTGTCAATCGTGAGGTGGATGACTATGTAACAAGAGCCCTCTGTCCGATGGTCCTATGAACAGCAACACATGATGGGTCCCATTGAATTCAACAAGAAGCGGATTCTCCTGCTCATCGCGGGTGTCCTTGCGTTCTATATTGTCTTCCATGGTCTCTCCTTCTCGAGTACCGACTTCAGCGATATCGCCTCACAACTACCAATCCCGAACCACCTAACCCCGACCGAACACAAACTGCCGCCTTCAGCGCCAGATCCAGATGAGATATGGGATCTGACCCCTACACCATCACTGGTGCCGGCACCCGAGGATGCCGCTGAATCCGATGCGCCCGTGTCGGTGCCACCAGTACAACGCTTCGACTTGCACCCGATCGCGCAGCTGATGCAAACAGCCGATGCGCAATGGCGAACCTACGAGACCGCGGTCTCGACGACTTTCAGGCAGACGGTGGAGAAATACCGAAGCAAATATGGCAGACATCCTCCGCCAGGCTTCGCCGAATGGTACAAGTTTGCGCGCAAGAGGAACGTGTTCAATATCGACGACTTTGAGCAGATAATGGATGACCTGCGGCCGTTCTGGGCGGTCAACGCTTCCGAGATCCGTATTCGTGCAGCTCATATGTGGGAGAATTTCGACTTTGGGGTCTCGGTTGTGCATATCCGCGATCACAAAGTCGTCAAAGTGGAGAATCCTAGCTGGCGGTCCGAAACAATGGAGAAGGTGATTGAAAAGTTCATCAACCATCTGCCGGATATGGACATTCCCATGAATCGGCTGGATCAGCCACGAATGGTCGTGCCGTGGGAAGATATGCAGCAACATCTACGAGTCGAGTACGACACTCGGGTGATGCCACCCGAGGTCATGGACAGCTTCACGAAGGACCAGCTTGACTTACGCGACATGAGCATTCTCGACAAGGCTGATGATCATTCGACGCGGCTGGATGATGAGTGGTTCTTTGCGCCGGGCAAGCAATACATGGAGATTGCCGCAAAGGGTTGCCCTCCAGAATCTCCCGCGCGATCCAACATGTCCACTGCGGAGGCGGACCGTCTGTACAAGGAGCCCCTTGCAGGTTTTGTTACCAACTTCAACCTGTCAAGTGACCTATGCACCATCGGGCCCGCAATCCAGGACATGCATGGCATGTTGTACTCGGCCAGCAGTATCATTGCCTCTCACAAGCTTGTTCCCATCTTCGGTGAATGTAAAGTCAACGTCAACAATGATATTCTCTTCCCCGCGAACATGTACTATCAGCATGATGATCGATATGATTACAACGACAAAGAAGATCTGGATTGGCGCGAGAAGCAGGACACCATCATTTGGCGTGGCGTTACCTCTGGCGGTGTTCAATTAGCTGATAACTGGGACCGAATGCATCGCCAGCGTCTCGTCCGGCTTCTCAATGGAACCTATATGGGTATGGCAGCCGAAGAGGTCAAAGTCCTCATGGAGAAGGATACTGGACCAGAGAAGGTCAACACCACCTACGAGCCATTTGAGAGATTCCGGCCGTCCGAATTCATCAAACAGCACAGCGACGTTGGATTCACCGAGCCCATGTCCTGTATCCCCAATTGCTCGTTCTACAACGATCACTTCACCTGGGTACCGCCCGTATCGCTCACCTCACAATTCAAATCGAAGTACCTGATCGATGTGGACGGGCATTCCTTCTCAGGCAGGTGGCACGCTTTCTTACAGAGCAAGAGTCTCGGACTGAAGGCCACCATTTTCCGAGAATGGCATGATAGTCGGCTTCTGGCATGGCGACATTTTGTTCCAGTGGATAATCGATACGACGACCTCTACGCATTGTTGACGTACTTCATCGGCTATGGCAAGCCTTACAAACAGCACGCCGACGAGGGCGCAGACCTCAACTCGCAGGTCTTCATCGCTCCGCACGATCAAGAGGCCCAGAAGATTGCGAGACAGGGTCGTGAATGGGCGAACAAAGTACTGAGGCGAGAAGATATAGAGGTATATATGTTCCGACTCCTATTGGAATATGGCCGCTTGATCGATGATAACCGAGATTATATTGGATATTCGGGCGACGGCAGTGAGTTGGATAAGTTCGATGCCGGTGAGGAGAATGATGGGCGATGGGGCATAGGAGGATGGAGGTGAAGGCGATGGATAGCTCCACCACAGTTCATGCAGACTCCTGGACATCGGAGACGATCAACACGGCTCACAATCAGCGATAGCTCAAGCAGGTCCCAGCTACATTTTCAGAGGGACCCGGAACCCGTCGATAGCATCTCTCCGAGCTCCCGTCCTGGATACTATGTCAACACGAAGAGCACTTAAGTGACACGCCACAATCCTCCACAATCCGACGTATTTGTCACTCGGTCCATATGCCGCGGAACGTGGAAAGAGACAAGCCTTCGGAGTATCGTCGCGGGTTCTGTAGATGCACTGCGCTCGCATCAGGGAGCAAGCAAATGTGAAGCAGTTCTTATTCTAAACGCCGCCCTCCAGACGCCTACCCCGTCGGTTCGCACGCCCACGAAGAAACGCAGCATCGGCTCCGCGAGGAGTACAAGACGGCGCGGAAGGTTGCATATCAACGAGATGCGGCGAGCATTGGGGTCTTGGACACAGCAACAGGGAATATGCGGCGGAAGGTGCTTTACTAGGCACAGGGAGCGAGGTTATACTGTCGCACAGGCAGACCTCCTCCAAGCATACTAGCACCACTTCTTGAGCACCTTGTCACCGCTCACTTCTTCAGCTTCTTCTTCAATCGTTTTTCAGCCCTGACATCCTTCTTCAATCGTGGATCCACAATCTTGTACCTCCCCTTGACGCCTCGTGGCCGACCCGCAACCCCGCGATTCACACCCCTCGCCACCACCAATCTGGCCTTCTCCTTGGGTTTGCCGCTCTTCTTGGCGGCACGGGACATCATCCTGGTGATCGCGCTGGCCTTGTCCTTCTCGGACATGCCCTCGTCTTCCAGGAGGAGCGCCGACTTCTTGCGCAGCTTCTCGAGCCGTTGCGCGGCTTTGAACTTCTTGCGCCCCTTGGCTTCCCGCACCTTCTTGATCGGCCGCGCGTTCAAGGCGCGTAGTTTCTCCTTGATGGCCAGGGCGGCCGCTTTCGTGATGGGCCGCTGGGGCTTTGAGTGTCTATCCTCGTCGTCGAGGAACCAATCGGGCAGACCGTCGACGTCGCGGAACGTGTATTTGTTGAAGTTGTCATCGAGGAGGTCGCGCGGGGTCTTTTCACCTGTCGCGAGCGAGTGCGCTAGCGTCATGGCTTCGGCGGTGATAATGTCGATGTCTAAGTGGCCGGAGGGGGTGAGGGGTTCTTCTGCTGCTCGAGGAGCAGAAGCTGTCCTTTTTTCGGGCTCGGAGTCGGACTCGGAATCCTCGGCTCTCATGGAGTGTGCTTTCTTCAGGGCGGACTTGAGAGGCTTACTCTTTTGCGCGCCTTCTGATGCTTTGTTTGGTACGGTGCCGACGGGCGGTTTGGCCTGGTCTGATGACTCGTCGTCCATCTCAATCGCACTGTCTTTGTCATTGTCGTACTCGTCATCCTCGATGCCCAGGCCCTGGAAGATATCTTGGTCGAAGAACATTGCTGCTTTGTTGGACAGTCCTTCTTGCCTCGGCAGTTCTCTCATCGAATAGTCATCTTCCGCGTCTGTTTCGACATCAGTCGGCTCGTTGTCTGTTCTATCTCCTTCGTCAGACAAGCCTTCCCACTCGTCTGTCTCTCTATCCTTTCTCGCTCGCTTGGCTCGTGATTTTGCGTCGGCTTCTTCTCTCCTTTGCTGAAAGGATTCGTACATCATGTCGAGTTCTCGTTCGAGTCGGTCGGCGACTTCGTCTTCGTCTTCGTCTTCGCTTTGCGTCTCGACTTCTGAGACCTCTGATTGTCCGCCCTCGCCATCCGCCATCTCTTCGTCCTCGATGCGCGGGGGATGAGCAGCCCTCTCGGCCGTCTTGATGCTGAACATCGACCCTTCTCCCGCTGGGCCGTTCTGCTCCAGCCCGATATCAAACGGCGCGGTCATGTGCATCTGCATCCTGACGATCTCTTTTCTCTTCTTCTCATTCTCTTTCCGGCGTTCCTTTTTCTTCTCTTTGCTATCCTGGTCCCTCAGCCTTTGCAGTTCTTCCTGCATCTTGAGCTCTTCATCCATGGACTCGACCTCGGCGACCTCATCTCCTTCCTGGTCTTTCTCCTCTTCTTTCGCCTGCTGCTTCTTGGCCTTGGTAGACATGCCAAACTTGTCGCGAACCTTCAATCGCCAACGGAGCAACGTGCGGAATTCCTTTTTCCCCAGGACTTTCAAGTCTGCGCAACATTGTCTGACTTCAGCGGTGGTCTCAGGTAGTCTGTCAATGGTCGCAAGTGCCAGATCACCGTTCGGTGGCTGCTCGAAACTGAGAGTGTTGACCGAGCCAAGAATGGCGATAGGATCGGTCGTGTGGATGAATTCGCTGACGGGCACTTCCTTATGCTGTGTCCAATCCCCTTCTTCGTAACCCTCTCGCTTCCTTTTCTTCTTCTCCGGGTTGAACACTTTCGCCTCGTTGTTAGGTGTCGGCTCCTGGATCTCCGCGAAAACGTGCTTCGGGTCGAGGAATTTCGGATCCAGCTTCTTCGGTGCTTTGAAACCTCTGCACACGACAAAGATTTCCGCGGAGACATTCCTCGAGGACGGAGGTTTCGTCGCTTCCACTGATGTGAACAGCTGTTTAAACACCCAGAGCAGCGCATTGTAGTCCTTGGACCGGAAGACTTTTGTGACGAATGTGCCTCCCTCTTTCAAGAATTCGGTCGCCAGCTTCATCGACTGCAGCACCAATTCTGCTTGCGAAAATGCGTCCTGCACCCACGCTACACCTACGTTGGGCGCACCGTCGTGCAACACAGTATCCGCTTTCATATGCTTGATGTGCGATCGGATAGTCGCCCGGCACTTGTCTGTAGTGATATCGCTCTGGAACGTAATGACCCTCGGTATAGGCTTTATGGGTGCCAAATCGACACCAATGATGAGACTCTGCGCAGGCATCGTCTCGGCCGCAACTTGACACCATGATCCGGGTGCGGCGCAGAGATCCAGGAGTACTCGACTCTTTTCCAGGAAGCCATATTTCTTGTTCAACTGGATTAGCTTGAAGGCGGCTCGAGCGCGGTAGCCCTTTTCTTTGGCGAGCTTGTACCACTTGTCTGCGACATGTCAGTCATTTAGTCAGTTAGTGGCCAAGAGATGGAAGTGGCGGGGTGACACGTACCCAGACGGCCCTTGCCGTGTTTCTTCTGGACCGCCATGATAGAAAGACGTCCCCAGAAGATATAAACGGCTTTTCACACTGGCTGGTCTTCTGCGCAGCCAAGGGAGCGAATGGGGTGCAGAGCGCAACCTCCTACAGGCCGTGATCCAAATCTTTGACCGAAAAATCGAGCCAAGATTTCGAACTTCTTTGCCGAGGTTGTTCCGACGAGGCTGCGCTAATGTCCCCCTCGGGAAACCTTCCCTGTTTGCAGTACCATCGACCTCCAGTTTCTATTGCTTTGCAGCTGGCAGTTTCTCGTACGCAGAAGATGAAAGGGTGAACCGCTGCCGGCGTTTCGTGGGAGTCCAGGACACATGGCGCACCCGTCGGCATCGCGCAGTCTCTTAGGACTGGTGAGGAACTTCAAACAGCTCAATGTTACAGACCCGTTGACGGTACGACTGATTCGTGTTCCGATACAATTATCTCGTCTTCTAACTTTTTGAAAAGCAATGTCTCGCGCCTCGTCTCAGCCGCAACTTTGCTACTCAGACAGAACTGCCCATCTCAGAGATGGCCAAAGACATCGACGCTGGCATTGATGCCTCGAAAACCAAACTCGAAGCCCCTCTCCCCGGAATCACCACCTCAGCGTCACCAGCAGAAGTCTATGCTCTCGACCACCCTGTCCTTGCGACACGCTACACCTGGCCTCGAATCGAACCCTCGGGCTATGCGCTCTACAGTCCGAAATACCTTGACGCGCCTCTCCGCCGAGATATCCTTCACCGCGCGGTCATCTACGAAGCCGACATGACCCGCCAAGGCACTGCGTCCACGAAATGGCGGTTCGAGGTCCACGGGTCAAATCGCAAACTATACCAACAAAAAGGGACCGGTCGCGCTCGAGTCCGAGATAAAAAATCACCTATTAGACGAGGAGGTGGCGTCGCTTTCGGACCCAAACCCCGAGATTTCTCGACAGAACTTCCGGAGAAGGTGTATCAGCAGGCATTTCGCATCGCGCTGAGTTATCGCCTCAGGAAGAACGAGTTGATCATCCTCGACAATCAGATAACCCTGCCGGAGGACAATTCTGCGCGCTTCCTGAACAATCTCTTTGAGGCGAACCAGTGGGGACAAGGCCACGGTCGAAGCCTCTTGGTCACGAAGACCCTTGAGAAATACAATCCTCGAGTCTTTGAAGCGATGGACACGATTGGTGAACACGGCGAGCTCAAAGACATCGAGGATGTGGACGTCAAGGATTTGTTGACAAGCGGGCGAATCGTCATTGAACGCTCCGCGTTGCTCAGGCTGCTGTGTCGAGCACATTCGTTCGAAAGTGGCGGGTCGTGGTTTACCTTTGGGATGCCCATATACCATGTCAGGGAGAAGTACCCGCACCTACAGCCGGAGCAAATTGTACAGTATTTGTGAAATAGAGGTATTTGGACTGAATGATTGCATGCTGTTTGGCCTGGCATATCGATTCATGGCTCTGTTCAAACCACATCCTGATAAGACTGGTGGCTTTCCTCGTAGTGAGGAGCCAAGTTGTAAAAGTGTCCTGCTTCTGCAATGGTTTAACAGCAGGCTGCTGCAGGAGCTAATCAACAGTTCCAGCAGATTTCTCCTCCTGCTTTCGCTGCTGCTGCTGCTTTCTCTTTCCTTTGCGTTTTGCCCCCTTGCGTGTCTTCTGATTTGGCTGTCGACTTCCAGATCTGGCTTCAATGTTCCGCACTGTGTCTGCATCCATCATGGTTTTCACATCTCTGGGTCGTTCACCTACCTCGTATCTGTGCCGATCTCGGTCTCGGTCGGTCGACGGCGGGCCGGGATTGGAACCCTCATATCGTCGCTGGCGGTATTTTTGTCTCTGATCTCGGTGTCTTTTATACCCAGGTGACCGCGATCTTGGTCTGCCGCGGCCCTTGTGACGCATATGAGACCTCGCTAGCGCGAGATGATTGGACCCCGCTGGTACGGCCAGTCGTTCTTCTTCCTTATTCGACAGTCCACTTTCTGACAGAGAAAGCGGTGAATGATCTTGCGGGTCATATCGCTCGTCGAACGTTGACGAATGTGAATCATATTGGTCGTCGTTTGCGACGTGGCTCGAAGTGATATCCCGAATTCGATGCCAGAGCACGTCAAATGTGACTGGGGGTCCATGACCAACATCTGCAAAGGCGGGATCGTCTTTAACTCTGGGCCAGAGTACGGTCTGAGCGACCGGCCGTGACCATGAACTGTTTTCGTTGTCTTTGCAATTTCGGAGATGTTTTGAGACGATGACGGGTTGCTGTGATTCTATGAGGTCATTCTCGTCCATGGTGGCGCCGAGTGCTTGAAGTCTTCGTTCTACAGGTGTGGCTAGATCTGCGCCTTGAAAAGCAAGCAGAGTCGTCTGGAAAGTCGAGAGCACTGAGGAATTTGTCCGAATCAGCGTAGCCGTCCGCCTCCTCAATCCCAGAAGGATCCTCTGTTGAGCAGGAGCGCCAGCAACCCTCACGAGGTGGAGGGACGGGCAGTCCCCCAAGGTTGCGGATCTGATCCAGATGGTTATTGATATAGCGGTTGGAATCTTGTAGCTTTCTGTCTTGAGCTGCAGTGAGATCGTCTCTACGATGTGACCCCTCAGGATCGTGATAGTTCACCCGCTGAAGTTCATCGTCCTTCTCATGGAGCTTCCGAGTTAAGGAGTCCTTGAGAAATCTTAGATCTTCGATAGTAGTTGCAAGGGTCTTCTTTTCGCTGGTGAGCTTGTTGATGAGTTTTTGTTGCTCGTTGATTTTGCCATCTTTCCTCTGGATGATGCGACTTTGGTCATTGAGCAGCCTGTCGAGGTCCTGCCGATCGCTGTTTGAACTTGACCGAGCTCTAGGTGAACAGCGAGACGGGACTCTTCGTGAATGATCGGGTTGGATAAGGTCATTTCGTGCGTGGTGTTCCGATCGTGCACCCCTAACATAATGACGGTGTTCCCCACGTTCAGCTCCTCCAGGGAAACATATGTCATGTTCCGGCCCAGCTGCGCCTAGGATGCGAATGCCGTGGTGTCTCGGTGGTGGGGAGTTTGGAGCCGAGTGCCTGGTTGTCAGTCCACAGCTTGATCAGTGGGCAGTCCGCTCAACTTACCAGTCTGGTTGAGCCGGTTGGCCATGATAGTATCTCTGATGGTCGCCGTAGTAGTTATCTCCATCCCAGCGCTCATTCGTCCTGTTGTCCTTGGTGAAGGGGTGGCTCCCACCAGATACAGTCGCTGCATAATCAGTCGAGCTGCACCCTTGCCCAGAGGCCATGGTGCTGTAGGGAGCGTGCTGCATCCTAGAAAGTAGTCAAATGTCGCACTGATGATGTTGTCCTTCGAAGGGAGGAGGCGAGAGTAATCTCTCAGGGAATTGCGCGCGAGACTGCCTTGATTTGCTCGCAGAACAGAAGCACTGGACACGACGGGAGTGAGGGAATCATACGCGTGTCGAGCAAACGAGGGCCGCAAGCAAAGTACAGCTGCCGGTAACCCAGATTATCCACCGCCTTACAGAGCACATCAGGCAGTAAAGGCCGTCACAACGGAGGAGAGATGCGTGATGAAAGGCGAAGGTTGAGAAGACATTTTTAGAGACCGAACTGCCTGTCACTGACAGGTAGGAACTTGGGCTATTGCGCATATTGATACTGCTTGCCGCTTATACTACCCCCAACGCCGTCATTGAGCTGCGTGTTGGAGTTTCTTTGTCTAAAAGCCCATCGCATTTCGATAGAGCTTTCACGGTCCTCTGCATGAGCTGGAAACCAAATACTGGCTTACAGGGTGGTGTTGGGGCACACAGCCAGGAGACAAGCATCTCTCACGAAGATCACAGTGAAAGTAGACTCACTCAACAACAGGCAACGAATTATAGAGATGTCGAGTATGTAATGTGAGCGACGTAGCAGGGAGGAGTAGGAGTAGAAGCGTGACCTCTTGCTCCTTTTGAAGAACATCCGCGTCTAGCCTGAGAAAAAAAGCTGTCTGACAGGAATATGCTACGGAGGTACGGAGTACTGTGTACTGGACCGCACAGTTTCAGCTCTTTGCAACACCTGACACCGTGTCGACACCGAGAAGTGGACGCCGAACACGCCCACGTTTTTCAGTCAGACTGCCACTATCTCAAGAAGTCGACGTTGCCACTTCGTCCCTTCCATTTTTGGGTCGCGCGCAGACGCTCATTATATCTCTGTCCACGCCCATGCCATATTTCTGAATAGCTTTCTGTGCGTCGTTGGCAGCATTCTACGGCGTTGAACACCATGAGACAGCGCCTGATACATAACTAGAGTCCGAGGGACTGGTTCTGACTGTAGACGCCCAGGCGCACAGCCCATTCGATCCTTGACAGGCCCTCCCACTGCGCGATGCCTGGCCTACCTGGTATGGCACCAACGGAGTTTCGTGGATAACATCGCTGATAACGAGGGTTTACAGCCAGCATTGACCTCGATCAATGCATTGCTCAACTGTACAAAAAGAACCTGCTGGCCGAGTCCCTCATCGAGGCAATATGCGCAAAGGCGAAAGAGATGCTGATGAAAGAGAGCAACGTGGTCCACATCTCGGCACCGGTCACGGTCGTCGGCGACATACATGGCCAGTTCTTTGACATGCTCGAGATCTTCAAGATTGGCGGGTTTTGCCCAGACACCAACTACCTCTTCCTCGGCGACTACGTGGATCGTGGTCTCTTCAGCGTCGAGACGATTTCCCTTCTTGTTTGCTTGAAATTACGATACCCCCATCGCGTTCACCTCATTCGCGGCAACCATGAATCACGAGGCGTTACCCAGTCCTACGGCTTCTATACGGAATGCGCGCGGAAATACGGCAATGCCAACGTTTGGCACTACTTCACAGACATGTTCGACTTCCTCACGTTAAGCGTGGTCATCAACAATCAGATATTCTGTGTTCACGGCGGACTCTCGCCATCTATACACTCGATCGACCAGATCAAAATCATCGACAGGTACCGGGAAATCCCACACGAAGGTCCCATGGCGGATCTGGTGTGGTCAGACCCCGATCCTGAACGGGACGAGTTTTCGCTGTCCCCGAGAGGCGCGGGATACACGTTCGGGGGAGACGTCGTGAAAAAGTTCCTCCAGGTCAACAGCATGTCTCACATCCTCCGCGCCCATCAGCTGTGCCAAGAAGGATACCAGGTACTCTACGACGATCGCCTCAGTACTGTCTGGAGCGCTCCTAATTACTGTTACCGTTGTGGAAACTTGGCAAGTGTGCTGGAAGTGAGCGATGCAGGCGACCGCTACTTCAACATTTTTGACGCGGCTCCAGAAAACGATGTTCATCGGAACGAGCAACAACAGCAGCAGCAGCAGCAGCAACAGACACAAGGGAAAGACAGCCAAGGTTCTCACATTGAGTACTTTCTCTAGCTATGCGATTGTCTCGAGTAGAGACATCCTTCAACGTGTCCGCATCGCAGCCCGCAGAGCCATCCGAGTTCAGCGTCCTCAGTTCAACTGCGCATCACTCTGCATTGTGACGAGTCAGCTCCCGCAGCATCGCCCTGCTCACTTCATCGACTTGGACATCGAGACGGATGCATTGTCTGGTCTTCACAATCAACCCGATCATTTCCAATCCTTGGCGATATCGAATGACCAGTTGAACTCGAGATGGGTGCGATCATCGTCGTCGGCGAATCTGACACTTGCGTCGTAGTGGCCGCGAGCCAACATGCCTGAAGGGGCCTCCTCCTCAGCAAATCTCTTGATGTATTGAGGATTGTCGGTCGTGTTGGGTGCGAAGCTGCCGATCATTTCCTGGTCTTTGCTGACTCGGATACCTTTGCGCTTGATGGACTGGATGTACTTGAGACCGGAGAGGACCTCGTGATTGACGGTGAAGACGACCTTCATCCGATATGTGGTGCCCTCCTTGATGGTGAACGGATGTTTACTCAAGGTGTCGACAGAACCGGGTTGGGTAAGATCAATGGTGATGTCCGGTCGGCCATTGACTTCCTTTAACCGGGTCAGTGGCGGTGACTGAGCTGTGAAATCAGGGTCGACTCACCAGAGCGAGGGATTTGATGATGCATGTGCGAGGGTCTTTAGGATCACCAATAGGTGTGCCGCCGCTAAGACCAAGCGATTGCTTGTATCGCTGCATGGCTTCGTCATTTGCGTCTGGCGGGAAAAGTTGTCAGTTGGCTGGTCGGAATGAATGCGCGTGTCCAGAAGTTGTTCCGTAGACCGCAAGCCGAGAGTGGCAAGGAACGAGAATCCAGCCTTGTCACGTCAGAGGCGCCTGTAGTGCTCTTTATTTTCTCCTGCTGAGGCATTGACAGGCACGCCTAAAGCCGTGTTCCGCCTTTTCGGGGAAGATGCTGTGGTTTTGACAGCGGACTCACCCAATTTATGGTACTCATCGATTGTCTTCTTCTCCCCCACCTTAAACCCGGGGGTCTGCTCAGCCTGCAAGTCGTCCGCCATAGTTGCGACCGCCGGACAAGGTTGACCTGAGTGTCCTCCACGCAGTTTGTTGTATTCCAATGCTGTTTATCCACGGCCAGCGTTCTGTGGTGGACTGAGAGAGTTATGAAGGTTGAGTGAGTGTTTTGTTTGGAGGGGCACTTGGTACGTACATGAAACATTTCAGCCGCTCACTGGAATTGTTAGCGGCGGCAGGCGGTCTGGGCCGGCGAGACGCTAAGCTGACTCCAAATGGTATAGCGTTTCCTACGGTGGGCGAAATATGCACTGTGGCTTTTCGCGTCGCGTTCACGTCACTCCATTTAATAATCCGCGTCTGGGACCATCGCCCACCACACCCACACCACGCCCTCCACGTCCTCCACGTCCGCATAACAATCGTAGTGCAAAGTCTCCGGACGTCGCACCTGCAACAATGCCTGGTCGTGTAGCTGAAAAGCCCAAGAAGAGAGTGTTGACTGACACGACCAATACTCACAATGTCGTCAAATCCCCGCCGTCGGCAAAGAAGAGGAAACTCAACGGCAACAGCCCCAGTGTCTCTTTCCACTCATCGCAGACCGGTCCACATGGCTTCAAGTCAAAGCTGGGCTCGTCCCAGCCCAAGAGTCACTTCGAAACCGAGGTCCTGGAGAAGATGACCCAGGATATTACTGGCCTGAAAGAGAACAACTCAGAGAGAGACCAGCAATGGGATCGACCCAGCTTGGACGATTTCAACGAGGACACTGATCCCTTGACATTCCAGCAGATCGAAATCGAGGAGGGCACCCTGCATGGTGGCAAGATGACTCTAAAGATGTTTGGCGTATCAGAGGTGAATAGGTCGATATCCTTGATCAGAGCCGGACTAACCATAATACAGACCGGTCACTCCATCCTCCTTCACGTCACTGATTTCCTGCACTACCTCTACGTTGCAGCCCCGGTCAACTTCCAGCGCTCAGATATCGAGGGTTACAAGGCGTACCTTGAAACGCAACTGGCCCAACATCAGCCGACAATCCACTCGGTGCAGATGGTGCTTCGCGAGAACCTCTACGGCTTCCAAGGGAACCAGAAGAGCCCGTACCTGAAGATCACCGTGTCAGATCCCAAGTATATCAATAGAGTGCGCACCACAATAGAAGGTGGAAACGCCAATTACAAGGGCATGTGGAAGGGTGTCGAGAGCAAGATTTTGACGTTTGACAGTATCCAATACGTCCTTCGTTTCATGATCGACACTGGGGTCACTGGGATGTCATGGGTCGAGGTTCCTCCACAGAAGTACCACGTCCTGCCTTCGCACGATAGGCAGTCCAACTGTCAGATCGAGGCATACTGCCATTACCGGGATCTCATCGCACACGGGCACGATGGAGAATGGGCCAAAATGGCGCCGCTCCGAATCTTATCCTTCGACATCGAGTGTGCGGGTCGCAAAGGTGTCTTTCCTGAACCGCATATGGATCCTGTCATTCAGATCGCGAACGTGGTCACGAAATACGGAGAGTCCAAACCTTTCATACGAAATGTTTTCGTGCTGGATACTTGCAGTTTGATAGTAAACACGCAGATCTATGAGCACGATTCGGAAGCCAAGATGCTTATGGCCTGGAGGGATTTCCTGGAGAAGGTTGATCCGGACGTCATCATCGGCTACAATATCGCAAACTTCGACTTCCCCTATCTCCTTGACAGGGCGAAGCATCTCAAGCTGTCGAAATTCCCTTACTGGTCCCGGCTGAGGAGCGTGGTCTCTCAGGCAAGGGACACGAACTTTTCGAGCAAGCAGATGGGTAATCGCGATACCAAGGCTACAAATACGAACGGAAGAATCCAACTGGACTTGTTGCAGCTGGTTCAACGAGACCATCAACTCCGAAGCTATACACTCAACTCGGTCTGCGCTCATTTTTTGGGTGAGCAGAAAGAAGATGTCCATCATACCATGATCACCGAACTATTCAATGGGACCCCCGACTCGCGACGACGGTTGGCGGTTTACTGCTTGAAGGATGCTTACCTGCCCCAGCGTCTGATGGACAAACTCATGTGTCTGGTCAACTACACCGAAATGGCAAGAGTCACAGGAGTTCCATTCAACTACCTCCTAGCACGTGGTCAGCAGGTCAAATTCATCAGTCAGCTTTTCCGCAAAGCATTGGAGCAACAATTGGTTATCCCAAATCTGAGCAACGAAGGCACCGACGAACAGTACGAAGGCGCCACAGTCATTGAACCCATTCGAGGCTACTACGACGTCCCAGTGGCAACGCTGGATTTCGCTTCTCTGTACCCATCTATCATCCAGGCTCACAATTTATGCTATACGACACTGTTAAACAAGAATACCATTGAGAAGCTGAATCTCAAAAAGGACGAAGACTACATCGTGACCCCCAACGGAGATCTTTTTGCTACAGCAAAAGTTCGAAAGGGACTCCTCACCCAAATTCTCGAAGAGTTGTTGGGTGCACGTAAGCGCGCGAAAAAGGAGCTTGCTGTCGAAACGGATCCTTTCAAGAAGGCGGTGCTGAACGGTCGTCAGCTCGCCTTGAAGGTATCTGCAAACTCAGTCTATGGCATTACCGGAGCCACGGTGGGGAAGCTTCCCTGTCTTGCAATCGCCTCGAGCACAACCTCATATGGCCGTCAAATGATCGAGAAGACGAAGCAAGAAGTGGAAGCGAAGTACACCATCGCCAATGGATATTCGCATGATGCTCAAGTCATTTATGGCGACACTGATTCGGTCATGGTCAAGTTTGGAGAAAAGGACCTGAAGAAGACCATGGAATTAGGGCAAGAAGCTGCTGAGTTCGTCTCTAACAAGTTTATCAAACCCATCAAGCTGGAGTTTGAGAAGGTGTATTTCCCGTACCTGCTCATCAACAAGAAGCGATATGCGGGATTATACTGGACGAATGCGGAAAATTACGACAAGATGGACAGCAAAGGGATTGAAACCGTGCGCCGAGATAATTGTCGTCTTGTCCAGATTGTCATCGAAACGGTTTTGAAGAAGATCCTGATGGATCGTGATCTCGAGGGAGCGCAATCCTACGTCAAAGAGACGATCGCGAACCTCTTGCAAAACAAGATCGATCTCAGCATGCTAGTTATAACGAAAGCACTCAGCAAGAGCGACTACACTGCCAAACAAGCCCACGTCGAACTTGCCGAGAGAATGAGGAAGCGTGACGCTGGTTCTGCGCCGGCTCTAGGTGATCGCGTTGCGTATGTGATGGTGAAAGGAGCCAGTGGATCGAAGAACTACGAGAACTCCGAGGATCCTATCTTCGTCCTGGAGAACAATGTCCCCATCGACACGAGATACTACCTAGACAATCAACTGGCCAATCCCTTGGGCAGGATCTTCGAGCCCATTCTGGGTGAGAAAAAGGCCAATTCGCTTCTGGCTGGCGATCATACTCGCTCCATCTCCGTTGCAGCTCCTACGGTGGGCGGACTCATGAAGTTTGCAAAGAAAACACAGACATGCATGGGATGCAAGAAGCCGCTCGTCGGCAAAGAGGAGTCGAATGGCGCAGTCTGCGAGAACTGCCGTCCGCGGATTGGCGAGTTGTACACGAAACAGATCAACAAGGTCGGCGAGCTTGAGGTCCGATTCTCCAGGTTGTGGACGCAGTGTCAAAGATGCCAGGGGAGCATGCACAGCGAAGTGCTGTGTAGCAGCAGGGACTGTCCCATCTTCTACATGCGCATGAAGGCGCGAAAAGAGGTCGAAGAACAGGGTCGGGAACTCGCCAGGTTTGACGCCGATATTGGTGCAATATGGTAGTTGCTGAACGACAGGGACCAAAAGATGATGCACGCGGGTGTGAAACGCACAAGGGCTTCGAGTGGGATAGCCCCTTTGTATTACACGCGAGGCGCAAGTTATGATAATGGCGCAAGGTACTGTGTGCGTCCACGAACGCTTGAGGGCGTCGAATCAATTACAGCAACCAGTATGATCTAGTATAACAGCAGAAAGGTCTTGATCGAGCTGTTGATGTTACCCATGCCAGAAGATGGGAGGAAGACATGCTATCTAAGCGCTTGCTGAAGCGGTTACAAGCCGCCAGGGTGAATCCTTACGTTCTCGATGCGCTGCGTCCTCGCCTTCTACCTACAGTGCCAGACGAACTCAACTCGCATCACCATCAACACGCTGCCACAGATCTACTACAATAGAAGGGAGGAGAGGAGAAAGGAACCGAACGCACAACCCGTGTGAACAACTCTCACTGCCTCCTCGCACTTCCACCCATCCCATTACTTTCACCTTGCAGTAATTCGAGATGCCCAAGCAAAACCCAATGACAAAGAGCGACGCCTCGCGCATCCAATCTACTCAGGTATGTCTGTGTCTGGACGGACCAAGCCAGAGTGCACACACGCGGAGTGAGGCCGACTTTCCTGACATCAACTAAATTAGGCAAAAGCCGGCCGGGATATGTCCACGAGAGGGTGGGCCGCGCGGGCTCAGAGCGCTGGGGATCGAAACGCGAATGCGAATGGGAACACGAACGCGCGGGATACCACGAGCGGTCCGTCGGGCGCGGAGCGAGACACGTCCAGTAGTGGTGTAGGCGGATGGAGCTGCACAGTGCAGTGAGACGGGGTGGGCACGTTGGGCAACACTGACGTATATTCATGCGCTGTGTTGTGCCCGAACAGAGCGGCGTAGGATGGCGAACGCGGATGGCTAAGGGAGATCGCGAGAGCAGCACGGGGAGGAGGTTCTTATGAGGAGTCCCTTGGGAGTAAGCTCCGGGCCTGAACATACTCGTGCGAGTCTTCCTAAGGGACGAGGTCATACCAAGCAGCCATGATGGCGGATCAGGGATAATGCCAGATCAGGGATAATGCCAACGAACGCCTGACAACCCGGACGGGGTATCCAGTTAACATACTCCGTACGTCTCGAGAATGCTTTACTTTGGCCTTTTGTAGAGCCACATGCTCGTTGACCGAAAGCTGTATCTACTCTCTCATGGCGTCCGCGAGATCGCGGGCATTATTTCCACCCCCCTAGGAAAGGTAATAACAGGCGCGACACTACGCGACCTGCTCGCTCGTTCGTTTGAGAGATTCGATCGGACCGGCGCCAGTGTTTCGTGCACGAGCTTGAGGGGGGAACTACGTCGTCACAGGCCTTGACAGCTTCATGTTCTCACGCGAGAGGTCCGCCATGCTCCAGTTCCTCCGAGACTTGGACGAAGGCTTCATGGATTCTCATGCTTTGTGCGTCATTGTCCCGGGTACCTTCGTGTTGCAAAGCGTCGACTGACTCAAGGCCTCGGTACTCTAAGCCACTGTCTGTCAGCTGCAAACACAAAGGGCTACAGGGAGCAGAGTCCGTGTATGGTCTCCCTACAGCCAAAGGACGAAAGCCTTGGAAAAGACCATGATTGATGTCGTAGATCAGTATTTCGGGCCGGCAAAGACTGGATAAGATTCGCCTACACCCTTGAAGCGGGCCATCCAGCCGGGGTTCGAGATGGGTAGTGTCACCTTCGCACATATCAGCCTGGCCCGTCATGCGGATCGTCGATCTTAGATATATGGGTGCCGTCGACGCCCTGCTGGGACTTGACATAATTGTCCCCGACACCACAAAGGGCTCGTACATGTATTCGCGGTTTGAGTTCATCGACTGGGAACATTCCATCGTCATGATGATAATCTGGTCTTGCATATTCGGCTGGGTCCGATGCCATTACCTCGCAGGATTCAGCAAGGAAGCAAGCATCCTCGGCGCGGCGTCGTCAATCATACACTGGCTGATGGATGTTTTGGTGATTGAGCCAACGGGCTTGACCATATACCCGCACGGTCAATATCACTTCGGTCTCGGCCTTTACGAGAAATACCCAGTCGGCTCGTGGGCACTGGAGTGTATCCTCTGCATTGCCCTTGGTGGCGCCAGCTCAGACCATCAGCAAGCGGCGCAGTGGAGCGGATATCGCCCAGGCGTGCCTTCTCCTCGCTGTTCTCGCCCTTCTAATGAGTCCGTGGACCTCACCTTTACCCCTTGTTGCACGTATCCATGAGCAATACGGGTGGGGAGGTTATTTGCCGTTCGTGCAATGGGCAGGATTCTGGATCGCGTATTTTATCCCCGCTACAATCTTTAGCCAAATCCTCGATAGGGCGGACGGTGAAGCTGTCGCTGCAAGGAAGGGCAGGTAACTGCGAGAATACGCCGCGCTGAGATCACTCTCCATCTTGCGTGTTCGCACCACAGACGCCCCATGAACGAGAGCCTTGGGCCGCTGGCGTTGAGAAATTCGCGAGAGAGAGACGAGCCGCCGTTCCGGTTGTTTAGGGCGCTGCCGGCGACGAAAGGCGACTCGAGCCAATGTATTGCATGTTGGTAGCGCTGGCGCATGGAAAGATCCTCCCCTTGTTTAGATGTTCGTGAATTCCACCTCATCCGCACATAAGCTCCTCCTTCATTCTTGAAACCGGCGCCATGCATCCATGCCAAGGATACATGCACCAGTTTTTCGGTGCCAGGGTGCTACAGAGTAGATGGCGAACTGTTAAGTGGCTGTGCGTTGTCTGAGGATCAAAGGAACACTGCAACCAAACAGCTTCAAGACAATGTCGCTCCTGCACAGTTCACCTGGACCGAGGGCTAGGCTAGACATGGGCCTCAAACATAGACGGTGTTGACCCCCGAGGCAGGGTTTACCTGTATTGCAACAGCTTGCCACCCCCAAATGAGTATGCTGCTGGGAACACCTTTGAGCTTTCCGACATAGCGCTGGATGAGACTCGGCACGTTGACGGATTGTCTTTCCCACTGTTGCCCCAGGTGACTCAAGCGGTGATAGCAAAGCATAGAGGTACCAACGGGTGGCAATCTGGCCATCTCTCTTTCTGCCAACTGGACCAGACTCATTGCTCCTTGAGAGAGTATGGAAACCTCCCGATCGATCCCTTTCATTGCGCGAGAATTGGGATAAAAGCATCGTCCTCGAAAGTCGAGGAGGGCGGCATCGTCTGCATTGCAAGCTCGAACCAGTCAACTGTTTTAGAGCAGCAACGAACCGTGGCCATCTGGCGAAGACAATTTCCTGGTGATCCGCCCCAGATCGAAATACCGAATGGTCAAAGACTTTAGCCAGCGAGACACACCGTCAAATGTACATCGTTCGTGTCCGTAAAATGTGGCATCCACCTGAAGTCTAAAACATGCCAGATGGAATTCCATCGTCGCTTTCGACCGCCCCGTTTCGAGCTCAACCAGCGGCAAATATTCGTGGCGTGAAGGGGCCACGGGAAATTGGTGCCAAACATTCCACGTGTCCGGTCCAAGAGTCGATGTGGAAGGACAGAACAGCTTCTGCTCATCACAGTCAGCGTAGCTCAATGGTACTGCACCGGAACGCTGTAGACGCCGGGACATGGACATACGAGATCAGGGGGCTGTCATGACTTTTGGTTCAAGCACCATGTCCTTGGATTTGGCTAGGGCCGGGCTGAACCCCGGAAGGCTCACTATAGATTCCAATACAGTCGAACCAACAGACTAGGCTCATAGCAACAAACTCCTCGCCCGGCATTGGTCGTTACAAGTCTGGGTCGTCATCCAACTGCAGTCTTGACAGCGTACTCACTTCCCCCATGTCGTCCTCGAACTTTGATCCTGGGGTCGACATGCCATCCCAGTCCATTGCACTCATATCATCGTTGGTGAATCCGCGGTTCACCTTCAGTGCCTCCCGCCGAATCTCCATTGCCGCAATTGCCACCCCAAGCGCATTCCACACATCTTGATCTTTTTGGCTGAAATCCAGTTCAGCGATTATACGAAGCCTGTCGGGGTTGAAGCTTGTGCCTCCGTGAGTGGAGGGACCAGAAGGGGCCGGAGAGGCTATTTCTCCATGGGTGCACTCTGGCGCTGGCGGGGCGAACGGACTCAATGTGACGACAACAAGCACGGCAGATATAATGACGAGTCCAATTAGAGTTGGCGTGGACGGATCATCGTCCGCAACCCGAGTCTCGTCTGCGTCTGCCGAATTCATGCCGCGTGTTTCCACGCTAGGGTGGACATTCTGGGCCCTTTGATGTCTCTCTGACAACTTCTGTAATTTGGTCGCAACTTCCTCCAGTGTTTGTAGAGTAGAATGACCCGTTCTCCTCGCGGCGACCACGTGGACCGGGATGTATTGCGTCTTCGATCTCGGTCGCAGCCCGACATCAGTCAAAGCCCAGTAAAGGTATCTTTTCACAGACTTTTCCAGCACCCTCTCTCGCCGCACTCCAGGACTGACGTGACTTCTGTCCCGTGCATCTTGTCCAGCCTCAAAAAGCCGCCGGAGGGCGTGTCCTGCTCTGAACTGGTTGTCTCTGACATTCTGGATCAGTGCTGGATCTAGTGAGTCCTCATGCGCAAATACACTGATTGGTAAGGTGTCGAAGTCCAGCATCCAGTTCTGTGGCAGCAGAGGCTCGAAGCCGCGATACGCCAGGTGGAAAAACAGCTCGCGTTCGGTCTGTGACCAGATGCCCGAGTTCGGGGGAAGAGTAATCGCAGCAGCGTGTCTTCTTGCTTCTTCCATCAGGTCGTTGTCCACTAGGTCCGGCTTTTTTCTTGTAACGGCAGTTGACACGAACGACGTTGAATCATCATCGCGGATCCAGCCTTGGGAATCCCGCCTTGTCGATGGGCTGATACGCTGTATTGGGAAATTCTTCATCTTGCCGTGGGGAGTCGCTGGAGGAGGCATAAGCGAGCGATCCAACCCTGCCTCGATTCTAGTCCTTTTCATCGGAAGATCTGGACTGGAAGCGGAGTGGTTGTCATTGTCATCCTCATATGGGTCGGGAGTGCCGTGCCCCGTCCTTATTGCATGCTTTTTTGGTTGCCGCCCAAACTGTTCTTCCTGATCGGCTTTGCGCTTGGTAGAGGGAGACGGGTCTTGCCGCAGAGACGGGTCGAGGTGGGAAGAGTCAGTCGAAGCAGAGCTCTTGGGAGAGGCAACCAGATTGGCGAGGTATCGGAAAGGGGACACGAGCACAGACTTGGCCATGGCGTCAGAGTCGTCTTATCGAGTTGTGAATTTTGCGGCGGCTGATGGAGTCGACGAAAGAGGGAAGCGGCGCTGGTGAAGCGGCGGTGAGATCGAAGTGAATCGGAGCCGAGAAGGACTTGAGTGGTCAAGGCCACAGCCCTGCGATGGGCTCGGACAGTGGGCGGTTGAGTCGCCGCATCCCATTCACAACGAGCATGATGGAGGTTGCTGAACTGACCATGCGCAGAGACGAGAGACGTGATTCTGCCGGACCCGGCGGTCTGAAGGTCTTGCCTTTGTTCGTAACGATGTGAAGCCGAAGTTGGAAGCGAACCAAGGCCGGTTTCAGGGCCAGGCTGACGTCGGGCTTTCGATTGGCTAAGACACGTCAGGCAGTGGACGACCTTACCATATAAGGACTAGATTAAGCCCGTCTGAACGCGAATTCACGTGATTGGCCTTCGTCTCCACCTTCTCCTGCCCTTTCCTTCACTCTGTCCCTCACAGTCGCTCGCCGTCGACAGAGATCTTCAGGTTCCATGGATGCATCGGAGCTTGACCTGGACGCCAAACTCTACAAAGCATCGGGCACTCTTCTTGCTGAACTTCAGCACAAGCTACCATTATTGTTGTATCGTGGTGAACGGGCTCCTCGAAGATGCGTCCTCGATACGAAAAGCACAGAGCTGAGTCTACTGGTACGAATGCTGCAGCGTAAGTCTCTCGATCGGTAGCTAATCCGACTTCAGCTCGACAGGTTCCAAGAGTGGCCTCAGCTCCTTGATCCCTGTTTAGCAAATCTCGTTCAACTCCTCACTGATGCCTTTCTTGGCTATCTCACTACATCAAAAGATCAATATGGTCCGACCCGAAGCCGAGGTACAGCCGGTGTCTCTCCCTTGCCCCGGGCGATATGCAGCCTTCTGTACTCGTTGTGCAAAGTCAGAGGATACAAAGTTATTGTTCGTTTGCTCAACAATGAGCCCAAGTACCTGAAGCTTATGCTTTCCACTTTCCGTGCCTGGGACGTGCCTGGGGCGGGTATGACCTGGGAAGAGCGGTATATTATGTTGCTATGGCTCTCCCACCTATTGCTTGCTCCTTTCGAGTTGGCCACCATCTCGGTCCAGGATGGGCGGGTCCGTGACGCCGCTGTGCCAGGGGAACTGGGTGGCCTGCCCGGCATAGCGGGCCAAGTCATCAGCCTCGCTTTGCAGCATTTGGGTGGCGCCGGCAAAGAACGTGAAGCTGCAAGTATATTGTTGGTACGCTTGAGTTGGCGAACGGACATGCAAGCCAACGACTTGTCCACACGGCTGGTGCACTATACTAGCCGTGAATTGCTGTCGAGTTCCGACATGGCCACCCTCACACCGTACCAGGCTCTTGGTTTCCTCTCACTTTTGTATGGTATTACCAATTCTGGTTCGGACAGCGGAGTCGCACCATATCTACAAGCTCTCTTCGATTCGACCATGAAAATTGCTCTGGACCAACGCAATCAGTTTGCATCCATCAGAGACTCTGCCCCTGCAAGGAAGTGGGTTCTCAAGATCTTGCGCGCCATCTTAACACATGCTTTATCGTTGAGTTTGAGAGACAGTGCAAACCAGCCGCATCAGCTCAATGCGATGCTAGAGGAGAGTATCCAGTATCTCCTTGACGCTCTGGGCGATAATGACACGCCCGTCAGGATGGCCGCCGCCAAAGCGCTCAGTGTGATCGCACTGAAACTCGATCCAGCCATGTCTGCTGAAGTTGTTGAAGCCGTCTTGGGCTGTTTGGAAGAAAATGTCCTGCTTGAGGATACTCACACTCAGAGACTTGTTGCTATCACCGATACAGCTCGCGCTGACACAATAGGGATGAGGAGAAATATAAATGCGGTCGATCCGCTGAGATGGCATGGTCTTATGCTGACTCTTGCCCACCTGCTGTTTCGCCGATCACCGCCACCTGACATGCTGTCAGAAATCCTCCAGGCGCTGATTCTGGGTTTGGAGTTTGAACAGCGTTCAAATGTTGGAACTTCACGGGGAGTCGGTGTACGCGATGCAGCATGCTTTGGTTTGTGGGCACTGGCTCGAAAATACAGCACTGCCGAGCTGGATATGGTCCCGGTTGCGAGTTTTCCCGAAGTGAGCAGGAATGAATATTCGGACTGCAAAAGCGTCTTGCAGTTAATCGCTATTAAGTTGGTCGTCTCGGCTTGCTTCGACCCTTCGGGCAATATTCGACGAGGCGCTTCCGCAGCGCTACAAGAGTTGATCGGCCGGCATCCTGATACTATCGCTGACGGCATCCCTGTCGTCCAGATTCTGGATTACCATGCAGTAGCCCGACTGTCTCGAGCTATGACCGAAGTCGCTCCGCAGGCAGCTGGTTTGGATGTGGTCTACCACGGACCTCTTCTACAAGCGCTGACAGAATGGCGGGGTGCACGTGCTGCTGATGTGAATCAGCGTCGCTGGGCTGCCAGCGCTCTTCGGATACTAACGAAAAGCTCGCCTCTATCAAAGACGTCCACTTTCGCTGAGGCCATACTCAAGCGGCTTTCTGATCTCAAGGCTGTGAACATAGGTAGCACGGCGGCTGCGAGACATGGGCTGCTCCTAGCGCTGTCGTCCATACTGCAGTCGATGAGGAAAGGAGATACTCAATTCGTTACGTCCTGGTTGGGGGGAAACGGAAGGTTGATCCTGGACCTTAAGAAGCTGACTGGCAAAATCGAAGGTCGCACGACAGCAGATATTGAATTGGTGATGGAAGGTGTAGCTGTGCTGGTCCGCGAAATATGTAAGTGCTCAAACTCTGCAGATCCTCCTTGGGTGTCCATGCAGGGTTGGACGGCAACCGCCGTTGAAGTCCTCAACCATTGCACAGTGGCTGGAACTAAGGACATTGTTGTCCGCTCAAGCGCCGAAGCCTTTGTGGAGCTGTTCAAAGTCCTTCCACCTGAAGCGGGCATGGAGTTGATCGAGCGATGGCTGGACAGCAAGCAGCAACCGCCATCTGCTTTCGCTAGCAAAGGCCGCATGAAAGTGCTAAGCTTGATTCATGGGCACCTGTCAGCACGGCTGGGCAGCAATGAAACCCGAAAGAAGATTCTAAAGTACATTATTGGTATCATTGAGGGCGTTTACAAGATCGAGACAAGAGTCGACGCCATGGAAGCTCTCGGAGTCATCCTTACAAACGACTTTTCAGAGCACGCGGAAGTCTCCGTCACCCTGTCGAGTGTGCTCCAACGAGGCCTAACAGACTACACGAATGATCAGCGAGGAGATATTGGCTCGATCTTGCGCCTTCAGACGCTCGAGACGGTCGACGCTTATCGTGGTCACTGCAGCGCTCATGGTGAGAGCGCTGCGGTCTTGAGACAAGTAATGCCTCTAGTGGTGAAACTCGCCGCAGAGAAGCTAAACAACGTGCGCTTCCGGGCCTGGAAATGTCTTGAGAACTACCTGCAGACAGACTCGTCTTTACCTGCCTTTCAGGGAACCTTTCAATTCCCAGCAGATGTGTCTTCGGCGGCGTATTTTCAGCAACTCATGCGATTATTGTCTGTGCCTTGGGCGCACAGGCACCTCATCCTCGGCTTTATCTCGTCCGCAACTTCCGGGAGCGAAGATACCTGTCGTGCTGCGAGCACAGCATTTGTCTCATACATGCAGTCTTTGGAACCGCTCCAGGGTGAAGAATCGATCGCAAGGGTGTCAGCTATAATCCTGGAAGAGCTTGCATTGAGGGCTACCGAGGATGACCGGCAGGTCCTGCCATTGCTTGACTTTCTTTGCTTTATGATCGACGAAGACCTTTTCTCTACCAAGCTGTTCGGCCAGTCGAACAATGTCGACTTGGAAATTTGGAGCTCCATGCAGCGACTCCACAGCCCGTCATCAACCATGCAACGGATGGAATCATTGATGAATGTGTATTCAAGGCTGTTGTCTATTGATATTTACCGAGCTCGTGCGTTGGACAAGCTCACACGTCAGTTGCTCCACCGCTGGCCCAAGGTAAGGTATAAGCTCCGGTCCCATTCCGCTTGCTAAGTTTCTTCTCTCCAGGTTCGTAACACTGCAGCCGACTTGCTCTACCTCGATAGTCCGGTTGAGACTCTAGCTTCAAACGACTGGAACGCTCCTGTTGCCCAAAACAAGGCAGTGGTTCTGAGCCTGCGGAAGCAGCTCGGCGTGGTCAGTCGACCGAATGCCAACGGACAGTGATAGCATCGGAGAACACTTTCCGTTTCAGATGCGCCTAGCAATCCAAACCACGTGTTTTGAGGCATCTGGCCACGACATCCTTGACAGACTTCTCGTTGTACTGCTCCCAGATATCGTACAAACTGATCATCTCTTGTGTCCCTTCGATCATCTGCTTGATGTCAATTCCTGACTCAACCAGGAACTTGATGGTGTTTGCTATCTTCTCGTTCTCCTTCATCAAGGTCAGCGCCGTTTCCTTGTCGAGCGGTTGCTGCAGGAGAGGGTCGGACTGGTTCTGGTTTTGGCTGGCAGCTGATGCCTTTCCATTCACGTTTGCATTGCTTTGTGCAGCCATGTGATTAGACATTTGGAGGCTCCCTAAGACATTATTGAACGAGCCAGACAATGTTTGACGACCTCCAGCTCCGAGGGATGAGAAATGGCTGGAATCAGGGTTTGCAAGTGTATCATGCGGCAGAGACCTCACTGTGCCATTCGCCTTGGCACTTGGCAGGAATATGACTGCGAGAAACATTGCAATGATGGCGGTGACATGTGGAGGGCAGGTCAGCGGCAAGTCGGTCATGTAACTGTCGTTAATGATGGACCAAGCCAAGCCTAGCTCGTCGTTGCTGAGCTTAAGATCTTGATTCTCCTTCAGGGCGATCAAAGAGCGGTAGGGATGCCAGACAATCAGCTGTGAACGCATTTCCGAGATGAGACAGAACTCCATTTCTCCCAACCGAGATACGTCACCGGGCACAAATTCCGGCCATGCTTGACGTGCTTCGGCGGCGACGAGGCGGATATGATGCGGGGACTCTTCGGTCTTGGAGGCGAGATAGAAGGCTGTCGCCACCAGCAGATACAGGTTGACGTTCTGCATAGGGGTCGACAAGAAATACCGGTGCAAGTAGACCATAGCGGTGGCGACACATTGTTGGCGAAACTGCAGCCTTTTGCCTAACTGGAGGATCTTGTCTCTGAGGAAGATGAACATGAGCCTTCGATCCGGGTACGGCCACTGTTCTAGGACTTTCGCGGTGAGCTTGTCGACGTCGTCTCGTAGTTCAAGGAGCTTTTCGGGCGTGACCGTCCAGTACTTGCGCTGGGTGGAAACCCAGTAGTTGGCTGCCATTGTTCGGCAGTGAGTCTCGGATAGCAGAAGTGTCTTTAGTGCGTTTGTCGTATATCCCAGCGCAGAGCAGATGGGCGCCCTGCAGACGACTCGGCTGATACTGAAGGCGTCCTCGACGATGCCATCGCCTGGTGGGAAGTTGTGGCAGATTTTGAGACTTTCTTAATGTGGATTAGATGCAGACGGGCCAGGTACTCATGCCGCCATGCACACTATGCATCCTCCCAGACAAATGTAAAGGAGACGACCGTCGGAACCGAGTCGGGAGATGGATCGGGGCTTGGCAAGGCTGCGCGAGGCTGCGTCCGAAACCCGACAAGCCCGAACACGCCCTGACGGTTGGAATTTAAATTGCCTGAATTGGCTCGGCTCGAAGGGCCACAACGCAACCCCACATGCATAGCAACGTCACACCCAAGCTGGCGGCTGCCACCAATGCACACCTCAGCAATTACACAGTACACTTTGGTGTGCAGACGTGCTAATCCCTGCCCAAGCTTGCCGCTTCTCTTGATCCTGTTAGAATTCCTCTGTACCTTTGATTCCTCGATAGGTCGCTGTCACGCCGCACTCACGGACAGTGCCTCGTGGGCCCCTCGTCTCCTGCCATCACCCAGCACCGGACCCTGCCGAGTGAGGACCAGCACACAAACATGCTCCCTCACAGATAGCCTCCAGCTGCACTGCAAATCGGATGTAGCATGAACGGAGAGTCGTATGAACACCGCGATCGGCGGATCCGAGAGCTATGGAACAACCTAGATACCCGCAACGAGGGGCAACTCGACCTGCTTGCCCTTAAGAAGGGCCTTCGCAAGATCGATCACCCACTCAAGAACGCCGACGATCTCCTCCACGACGTCCTCCAGGCGGTCGACACCTCGGGTGACGGTCGGATCCAGTTCAACGAGTTCAGGGTGTTTGTGGAACATGCAGAGAATGAACTGTGGCAGCTGTTCGAGTCAATAGATCGGGACCACAGCGGTGCCCTAGACAAGGCCGAGCTTCGCGCGGCTTTCAGCAGGGCCGGCCTGACAATAAGCAACGCAAAATTGGATCAGTTCTTCGACGAAGTGGACACAAACCATGATGGACAGATATCCTTCGAGGAGTGGAGGTGCGATGAAACACCAGGCGTGAGCGAATGCTGGAACAACATTTGACACTGGCGCATAGGAACTTCCTCCTCTTCTTGCCTGCGGGTGCAGCCAACATCGGCGCTTTGATCACATATTATTCGGCAACGGCGAATGTCAATCAAGAAGGGGATGTTCACATCAACGACACCCTTCAAGGTTTCGGTAAGAACTGTCGGACCCTGCTCCATCCCTGTGAATAGTGGACAATGGATGACTAGCGCGTCACCGTCCACCATCGCCAGGTCATCAGAGCTCACAAGCCTCTGATGACTTTACCCTCACCCTTGTCTCGTGGCCTGTCGCAAGAAGCTTCATATCATCGTGTCTCATCTAATTGACGCGATGCTGACAGACTATATTATTCCGCTAGGCTATTTCATAGCAGGCGGCCTAGCAGGAATGATCTCGCGCACAGCGACGGCGCCGCTAGATCGACTGAAAGTCTATCTCATCGCACAGACGAATCCCAAGCAGGCGGCGGTTGCAGCGGCAAAAGAAGGGGCACCACTTCAAGCCGTGAAGAATTTCGGACGCCCGTTGATCGACGCATGCAAAGATTTGTGGGCAGCTGGCGGATTGCGCAGCTTATTTGCTGGCAACGGTCTCAACGTTGTCAAGGTCATGCCCGAGTCGGCCATCAAGTTCGGCGCCTACGAGGCGGCAAAGAAGGCCTTTGCCGAGTTCGAAGGAACAGACGCAAAACATCTCCATCCGACTTCACAATTCCTCGCGGGCGGTATCGGTGGTGCCGTGGCACAATGCGTGGTCTATCCACTAGACACGCTGAAATTGTGAGTGTTCTAGTGCCCGCTTCCAGCCCATACTGTGGCTTCTCAGACTAATAATGTCCACTCTAGTCGCATGCAATGTGAGACCGTCGGAGGCGGCCTGCATGGCAACGCTTTGATCGTACAAACAGCCCGCAAGATGTGGAAACAAGGTCGACTAGCGCCGTACTATCGAGGCTTGGGCATGGGCCTTGCTGGAATGTTCCCCTACAGCGCGATCGACTTGTTCATATTCGAGTACTGTAAGCATTACGTGCTTGCGCGAAAGGCGAAGAAGAATCGGTGTCATGAGGAGGACGTGGAGATGAGCAATTTCGCGACCGGAGTCATTGGCGCAACCTCAGGCGCAATCAGTGCGACAGCCGTCTATCCCATCAACCTGCTCCGAACAAGGTTGCAGGCTCAGGGCACAGTACTGCATCCGCCGACATACAAAGGAATTGTTGACGTTACGATCAAGACCATACAAGGCGAAGGAGTCAAAGGCTTGTTCAAGGGTGTGACGCCGAATCTCTTGAAAGTGGCCCCTGCAGTGAGCATCAGTTACATTGTCTACGAGAACAGCAAGCATCTGATGGGTCTTCACTAAGGGTCGGCTGCGAACTAGCGAGAACCGAGATGAGATGATGGACACCGATATACATGCGGCGATGAATAAAATCGGTCCAGTTTACTGTAACAGGAGAATTGTCTCGAGCCTTTTTCTGAGTCACAATCCGCTACACCAATTTTCTCAGATGCAACCCTCCGGTATTCCACCTTCAGCGGAACCTGATTTCGTATTCGTATAGACTGTGTCATGCTTGCCGCCTTATGAATCGCATATCGAAGGACGGCTCCTCTTGGATCGTGGATCAACAGCGCGATGCGTGTGTACACAGTAATATCTAACTCGGATGAAGTCCCGTACACCCTCAAGTATACGATGGTACCTTATAGTAGCGGCGGAGCCTGAGGGCATTATCAAGTGGGTACAACCTCATTGCATGCTCACATACCTTATGGAGTCCTCCGTACTCGTACCGTATCTCGCGGCTCAGGGCTTGCTAATCAGATGTGCCTTACAGGTGGGGGTGATTGCTGCTTCGAGGTCTTCTCGCTGCCGATCGTCTTTGGCCTGGGCTGATTTGAAGATCAATTCAATTTCGACTGACGTTGTCTACTGTAGAATACCGATCCCTCGCGACTCGTACCTTGCTTACCTGCTGCATTATCCGGACGTCGTCATCTGTCGCCGGGGTGAAGCTCAACAGCCACTCACCCGCTATCGCTCCACATACGGCCCTCTTCCCCGCTTGTCCAGTCCTCGTTCAGCACACCGTCTGTGACGCGAAAACTTCCCCACCGAGTGTCTACAAGCTGTCCGTTCTGACGGTGCTCTCTCTGGCGATCGTCTGCGAGTCGCGCTATATTTGGCGACAATAATGCGCTCGTACTGGGCCCGAGCAATCAGGCAGCACGTCGTGACGGCTTTCAGCCAAGAGAGATGATGAACGCCGACTTGACGGCGGAGCGATCACAGCGAGAGTCGAGTCCTCCGATAGAAGCAGCCGAAAGCCTGGAGACTGTTGCGCAGCCAGCATCCAAAGGCAAGAAGAAGAGCACGGACAAGGACAAGGACGCAGGTTCATCCACAAAGAGGCGTTGCGTGAGTACCGCATGCATCGCCTGTCGCAAAAGAAAGTCCAAATGTGATGGCAACCTGCCGAAATGCGCCGCTTGTGCCTCTGTATACCTGACCGAATGCGAATATGCTCCGCATACAGATCACCGCCGGAAGGGCGTCTACAAGAAGGATGTGGATGCGACCAAGACTAAGAATTCCACCCTCCAGATACTCATACAGGCGATCCTCAACGCCGAAGAGGAGGATGTCATGGATGTTGTCCATCAGATACGGACCTGCGATAGTCTGGAGGAACTCGCGGCCACCATTGAGGCCCAGGAAAAAGGCCTCCTGGGAGGACCGGGCGATTCGCCTGTATTAACCGGCGAGTCCAACGTGCCACAGTTTGAAGCCGAGCTCTCCGGGAGAATGGGCGACTTGATGCTCGACGGGTCGGTCAAATTTATCGGTGGCACCTCGAACCTGATCTGGATGTCGGAAGAGTACGAGCATCGTGGCGCTCAGGGTGTGCCAACCCACCAGCAAGTCGTGGTCCGGCCTCGAGAAGAAGCGATCCTGTCATGGACCACTGTTACTCAAGACAAGGAAGTCATCCTCCACTTCATGAATATGTACTTCTGCTGGCACTACGCCTTCTTTACTACACTGGCCAAGGAGCTCTTTTACCGGGATTTCCTGACTGGAACCTCATCGCATTACTGCTCGCATCTCCTCGTCAACGTAATGCTAGCGCTTGGATGCCATTTCTCGTCCCGGCCTACTGCGAGAGCAGATCCCGACGACTCGGGAACCACCGGCGACCACTTCTTCAAGGAGGCAAAGCGACTTCTCTATGAGAATGACGAGTTTGCCAATGCAAAGCTCTGCACAGTCCAGGCCCTCGCATTGATGTCAGTCAGAGAAGCCGGGTGTGGCCACGAAAGCAAAGGCTGGGTATACAGTGGAATGAGTTTCCGCATGGCCTGTGATCTGGGCTTAAATGTGGACGCAGTGCCGATGAATGAGATCTCTCGCCTGAACGACGAGGACATCGACGCGAGGCGGATCACGTTCTGGGGCTGCTTCCTCTTTGACAAGTAGGTCTTCCTGGGTTCGGCCCGACGTTACTGATGAGATTAGATGTTGGTCAAACTACCTCGGACGCCAGCCTCAGCTCCAAATGCCTAGTATCACCGTCAAGAGACCCGACGTGTTCCCGTCAGAGGAAAGCGAGATGTGGTCGCCATACACTGATTCTGGCATCATTCAGGCTCATGCACAACCGGCACGGACCAGGGCAGTGGCACTACAGCTGTCGAGACTCGCCGAGATCTCCAGTGACCTCTTGACTTCGTTCTACAATCCGCAACTTCTGGACAAACCCCTGCCTCGGCAAACAGAGCTGAAGCGTCTCAGTGATCTCCATACCAGGCTCGAAGGTTGGAAGCAGGGTCTCCCTGCCGAGATGGAGCCGAAAGAAGGCCAACTGCCTCAAGTCCTCCTCATGCAGTAAGTCTTCGCCTCGGGGAGGCTCCCAAACGAGCAAACTGACCACAAGCAGCATGTTCTTCCAATTACTGTACATTCATCTGTACCGGCCGTTCCTCAAATATACCCGGACAACCTCGCCGCTTCCAGCACATGTCTCTCCGCGGAAGTTTTGTACCCAGGGAGCAGCTGCCATCTCCAAGCTTTTCCGCCTGTACAAGAGGACACATGGACTCCGACAAATATGCAACATCGCGATATATATCGTCCACTCGGCATGCACCATTCACTTGTTAAATCTGCCCGATAAGAACGCTCGACGAGACATCATCCACGGGGTCAAACACCTGGAAGAAATGGGCGAATGCTGGACGGCCGCCCGACGAACGCTAAGAGTTCTTCGTCTTTGCGCCGAACGATGGAGTATCGAAATGCCCGAGGAAGCAGAAATGGTCTATACTAGGATCAGGGTCAAGTGGGGACTTAGTCCCGGCGCACCTTCGCCGGTATCGCCGGAGTCTCTTGCGAATATGGCTCAGCAGATCTCTTCCCAGCCAGTCCCCGATCTGATGGCAAGGAATGTTCAGCAACAGCAGCAGCAATCGCAAGTACTACGCTATACGTCCGTGTCCCAGTTTCATACCGGCCTTACGGCACTGATGGCTCCTTCTCCTGCAGAAACGGTCGATTCTCGGCGAACGTCAAGTGGAATGTCATTGCCTCCTGTGTCGGCGGCCGAACTTTCTCGCGACGCTCAACGTATCCGCGCCTCGACATACCTGACTAAAGCGCAGCAGGACGCTTGGAACGCACACCAAGCACGATTGGCCGCAACCTCCGCGGCAAATTCCTCCAACCGGGTAGCGGGCAGCGGCGAGCAGAACGCCGCTAGGATGTTTGGCGGGGTGGACAGTCTGATCGAAGAAACGCAGGATTGGATCTTCAGGGACCAGAATCAATTCGCCATGGGCTTTGGAAACTGGGGCTCAGACCCACCCGACTGGGGGACCCTGGACCTCAGTTTCTTCGACACGCCAGATGGCACGGGGTCAAGTACAAATGACCACACGAACGGCAATTCCCCGTCCTTCACCAGCGGCATGCAATATTCGTATGATCCAACGGCCACGGGGCCGACTAGTGGAGTGGTAGGCGCCAACGGCGGAGGGGGAGGTGGAGCTGGAAGCTACGCAGGAGGATTTCCCAACACTGCATATTCCTCGGCGCCGCCGACGACGACTACCGGGAAGATCGAAATGAACGCCATGAACAATAACGGAACGAACAGTTTAATGAACCCCGGCATGGGCGGTGGATCACTCTACGGGAATGGTCAGATGGCCGCCACGATGGGGAGAAACATGAACATTGGAAGAGAGGGCGGTGGAATCAAGCGGCGGTCACAAAATTTCGGATTTGACGACGTATATTACTGATATGAAGCGTTCGCGCTGGGGTTAGTTATTACGGGATTGGCTTTATGACAACATGATGCTGGATGGGATAGATACGGAGTCAGTCTTCTCCTGCTATGAGTACTAAGCACATGTAAGCCTCTAACCTCTCGGATGGACGGCGACGGGGACATGGACAGGGACAGGGAGACCGGGATGCAAGCGTTCGTGGGAGGCTCAGTCGGTAAAGGTGCCTTGGGGGCAACTCTACTTTGTATAATTACCCTAGCGTTGGAGCCCGAAAAATGGACTGCACATTCCTTCTCGGTCACATGGGTACGCAAGTCCTATTGGACATCAGATGCGATCCAACGTGTAGTGGTGCGCAATATAGCAGATTCGTATTGTACAGTACGAGGTACCCCGCGTCGACTAATACGTCTACCAGGTACAGTAGGCTCGTCCTGAAATCTCAGCCTTGCAGGGGAACGCACAGCCTTGCCATGACGTAATTCGATAAACAAATCGGTGACAGTTATTCGGTACGCAGTAACGCAGTAACGCAACGGAGAACGCAGTGCGTACGAGGTGATTTAGTGAAGTGACATTGGGAAAGGTTGTCTACCGTCGACGTCAAAGTCAACGTCAACACGGCTTCTACCGTACGTGTACATGTAGACAGCCACAGCCACGGCCACAAACTCCACCATCTACTGACTGATTACAACGATGCCCTCTCCCCACCTCGACTACCTCGTTGCCCACGAACCTCTCTTCCGCCCCACACGCCTGCCGTCACTCTACTCGGACCTGGCCGTGCAGAAAAAGTCCAACCCGGAGGGATACGCGGCCAACGCCACGGCCTGGACCGCCGCTCTCACCCGCTTGGCCCTAGCTGGTCGACTGTCCCCGGATCGAAACACGCTTGTCCTGCGCACGGGGGACGCGCTGCTCGATGCACTCGCCAGTCCCACGTACGGTCCGCCTAACCACTTGGGCTGTGTGCTCGACGACGCTGTCGCGCGGGGGGTGTTTATTGATGGGTCCGAGTTCCTGGGTGCTGAGAAGTCAATATATGCGCGCAGTTGGGTCCCCAGCCCGCGGGCGGTGTTGAGATGGGGATTGCGGACCGTGGGACTGGAGTTCGGGAGTGGGAGTTACACAGTAGGCGGCAGCAGCAGCAGCAGCGGGAAACTTAGGCCGGGGACACTGGTTGTTGTGCCGGCGTTAGAGGAGGTCTCGAATCGATTACAGCCTCTTATTACGGGGATGGGGTCCGCGCTGACGGACCGGGTGATGAGTCGGGAAGCATTTGCACAAGAAGTCGGCGTCCTACTGGCGAAGAGCCGGGGTCAGGGTGAGGACGAAGGCACATCGATATCGGACACAGATCTTCAGGTCCTACTACGCTATCTATCGCGCGATAAACAGCTCCTCAGCTACGATGCCGAGGTCGTGAAATTTAAGGCCCCGGCGTCGTCCACAGGCCCGGAACCAATCACGCAAGAAGATCGGTCGATCGCGTCGCTGAAATCACTAATGGAGAGTCTGCGGCGACAGACGACGACACTTTCCGCGCGCGTCGTGGGCCTGCAGACCCAGGCCGCGCAGGCCGTCAAGATGGGCAACAAAGCTTCGGCGCTGTCGGCGCTGCGGAGCAAGAGACTTGCGGACCGGACGCTTCAAAGCCGACTGGACAATCTAGCGCAGCTCGAGGAAATCTACACAAAGGTCGAGTCGGCCGTCTCGCAGGTCGAGATCCTCGCGGTCATGGAATCCAGCGCCAGTGCTCTAAAGACGTTGAACGCGAAGATCGGGGGCGTGGAGCGCGTCGAGGATGTTCTCGACAGTCTGAGAGACGAAGTCAGCAAGGTCGATGAAGTGAGCAATGTACTAAGCGAGCCGGGCGCCGTGGACCAGAAGGCTCTGCTTGACGAGGCGGACGTAGACAACGAATTGGAGCAAATGGAGCAGGAAGAGCGGGAGAAAGCGCAAAAGGTGCAGGAGGAGAAGACGCGGGAGAAATTACAGCAATTGGAAGCGTTGGAGCAGGTACGCCGAGAGCAAGAGCGGGAGCGAGAACAGCAACGGAAGCAGCAGGAGCAGGAACAGGAGAAAGTCAACGACAATCTATCATCGAGTATCGAGAAGATGCGCACATTGGATATCGACGATCTACGGACCAGGAACGACGCTCCAGGCAGGGTGAAGGAGAGGGAGCAGGAGCAGGAGCAGGAGGAGAGTCACAGGCAGCCCGTCGCTCAAGAAGCGTCCTGATGCTCCTGATGTGGAGTTTCGGATTCAGTATCAAGTTAGCAAGCAAGCAGGCAGAAAGGCAAATCTCAAGCATGCATCCGTGTCTTCAACCTACCTATACAATGTGAGCAAGGACTGCGCGAGTGAATTCTTGCCTTGGACCTACTGTACCGCAAGCCGGCGTCCAAGTTGACTACACCGTACTGCACTGCACTGCCCTGGACCACCCTGATGATATTACACTAGAACAATTGTTTTACTGTGTACTCCGTACTTATGTTCCGTTGCCGTCATTGCACTACCTCATCATCGGTCTAGGAAGTCGTAGGGCATACGGAGTACAGATTACTACACAAACGCCACGACTCGCTTGCGTTATAATTGCTTGCGTTATCGTGCATGAATTACGGACTATACTATACTATACTACAGCATGGTCACAGATCATGCCAAATGACCCAGCCAAGGCGGATGATATCACAATTATAAAGTCGTGATTCATAAACATGTGTTCATGGCTCGCGACTTGGACTATAGGTACGAGTGCACTGTATAGAAGCGGTACGTACAGTACCACACACTGTGTGTACTGACTGACTCGGGATTGGTCGTGATCTTCAAGTACATATATACACAGACACAGACACGGTAACGAACCAACGCATCAACCATGTAGTCATGATATCTAGGATCTCATTCCATGCATGGTCATCAACCACTCGCCCACATTTAGACGAAGAAGCGTCTGGAAGGCGTCCGTGGCGCAGTACTCATTCCATTCTGGAGAGCTGATGGTTCTGCCGAAGGGTCGCGCAAAGATTGTGGCGTGGAGGTATCGATTTCCGGCTCTACAGCACCGCCGTCCGGCAGATCTGTTCGAGCCTCATCCGTGGGCCTTGCAGTTGCGTTTTCAATGCCCAATTCCGCGGTGGTCCCTTGGTCGGCTGTCCGGTGTGGATACGTTGCGTCTGACTCGGAAGGATGGTGAGGTTGAGGCGGCCTGAGATTGACCGGCTCGATTCGTGTATCTGAGATCGCTTCGGGCGTCGTCGTCTCGTCCTCGACCGTGGAAGTCGTGTCCTTCTCCTCTGACCGTTGCGCAGCATTGAGTTTCGCCCTCTCTCTAGCCTGCCTGATCAGGTCGTCGAAATTGCCCTTCTGAGCGCGGAGATGTGTGCCGCGATCAAAGTCCTTGGCCATGAAGCCCGTGTTTGTGGTCGGTCTTTCCAATTGACGGCCCAGGGTATCCTCCCATACCTTGAGTTCCCGTAGCAAATGGCGTTTACTGTCAGGGGTGGTGGAGTCGCAGTTCGCGTTCCACAGGTTCACCCACTCGGTGTGCCGTCGGCGCATGAGGTCCTTGGAGCCATGGTTAGGAATGCCGAGTTCCTTCAGCTTTTGCCGGAGCTTAGCATCGCTGAAGAGGGAATAATTGATGAATGGTAGCCGTTCGGTCTGCAGCGCGGGCTTTCGTTGAGAGTAGGCGATCGTGCCTGGTGGGGCGACTTGGCCCGGGCGACCGTTGGACGGGGCGGGAGAAGATGAGGAGGCACCGGTATCGATGGGTGTAGAGCTGTCGCCTTGTATGCACCGGTCGAGATGGGAGTTTATGAGTGCCTCTTTCACGCGCCGGCCGCAACAGGGACATTCGACTAGGCCTTCGTGGGACTGTGTGGTGCCATTGGCAGGAGCAAAATGTGGGCTTTGGATTTTGTCCTCTGGATCCTCAAACACACTCCCCTCTTCATCATCTTCGCTGTCACCAATGATGACTTCTTGTGCCGCCGCTGGGACGGGTGCATGTTGTTGGCTCTTCCGACTCTGACTCCGAGTACTTCGCCTACCCAGGCCGTTTGTTGTTGCGGGCGCCACATCCACCTTCCGCCTCTTGCTGGGTCTCTGCTCCTCTGCCCCATCTCGCTGCTGCTGCTGTTGCTGCTGCTGGGCTTCCTCGACGACGGTGGCAGCAGTGGCAAAGGTCAAGATACCTTTCCGAGCCGCCGTGAAATTCGCGACCAACTCCTCCACGGCCCAATTCCTCCGCAGTTTGATCTCCTGATCAGATTCCCTGCATGCGGGACATCGGCCTTCCTGCGACAGGTACCGTCGTATACACAGGCTGCAGAAAGTGTGCGAACAGCTCGTCATCATGGGCGTGGTGAAGAAGTCCTTGCAGACTTGACAGCGCAGGGACGAGTCAAGCGGGGCAAGGGCGGCGAGCGGCGTGGGAAGCCAGTCTGTGCTGTCGGTAAATTCATCTTGCTCGGGCATGGTGGTGTCGCAATTCGAGGGGGAAGAATGGAGGGCGGACGGCAACTGAACAAGGCGGCACACCTCATTGTCAATAAGGCTGTGACGACAATCAACCGACAATCGACAATGAGCTAGATTTCGCGCTAGCCGTTAGCGTGTTCAGCCGACGCGTTACGCGTTAATGGAGTTCACGGATAGTTGTGGCAGCCATGTGAACGGCTTTCGTCTATCAACTCGGGATTATGTGTCTGGATTTAGAATCTACCAATGAAGCAGCTTAAGTTGTATAAAAGGCTACAGTCTGCACTTCTACTCCAACGATAAAGCAGCTGCTACTCGAAAAGCCGGTTTAAACCCTTGGCCGATATCGACAAGTCCAGAGTCGGTCCCTCGCTGTAGTAACGGCCCAACGGATTCATTAAGACGGCAGTCATGGCCACCGGCACAGTGCAACGGGACGACTCCATAAGACATGCCTTCCTCCTCTTCGCTCGGCATTCGTGTCAAGCTGGGGGACTCGTCAGCCGTGCCTCTCCTGGTGCCTCAACTGACGGAGAGGAGATGACTGCTTACATGCTCACTGGGAAATGCTGACCGGCGTCTGCCGACGTATAAATCCAGTACCAAGCAGGGGTGATTTGGGGAGGATGGGTCCACCGCCCATTCCATGGCAGCAAAGCAAGCAAGAGGCTGCACTCTCAATGGCAACACGAAATCTAGGCAGGTCTGCAGTGCAGCTTTCTATGCGTGAAGGGTCGACTAGGGAACATCAGCAATCCTTATTGTTGCATCCCAGGTAGCCTCGGGCTACGGAAGGCGAGTACTGTGTAGGTATCAGCAACAGTCCTCAAGATGATGCCTCTCTACCTCATACACTGCAGCTAGACGGGTCTTTCCAGATTGTTGGCCCCAGACAGCAGCTCCTTGTCCTGTTGACGACCGTGGTGGGAGGGACCTAGATATCGGAAGGAGATCAAGTCCGGAAGATTTGACGCTATCAGATATCGGGATTGGGAACAGACTTCCGCCCGGTTTGGCAGAAATGTGCCAGCCGTCCATGGCAACTCCCTCCAGAGGATCACTCGTTGCTCATGCCCGGATCTCGATCTGATATGCCACGAGGTTGCCAAAGATGCTACTTTCAAGCTACGACCACTACCGATCTAACGATACCCTGCGTGTAGGTGTTGAGACCAAATCAGTGCGACTCTACAGACCACACTCTACAGACCACACTCTACAGACCACACTCTACAGACCACACTCTACAGACCACACTCTACTATCGGGTAGACTCTACGCAGACAACGCGCCGGCAATTTTTCGAGGCAGTAAACTCATACACACTTCAAGTCCATTCATTGCATTACTTCCAAAGGGAACATGAACGAGTTGCCACCCCTATCCCACAGTCTATCCTTGAATGCGCCTGTTAAACTTTGCACTAAAACTATATTAATGCCAGGTATAAGCAGTGACGTTCTCTTTAAAGCATTGGAACGTTGCTAACCTGTTTGCACCCTATGTTCCACGCGATTGAGAGTATCTCCTGTGCATTACTATATTGGCTGCATAGAGCGGCAGGGGACCACAACCCGTGTTTCATCAGACGACTTCAAGGACAGGCTGTAGTACGGAGTAGATTCATCACAAGTACTCCGTACAAATGAGCTCTGGCTGTGGCCTAGCTCTCCAGACCGATCCTTTCGTTCCAGGCCCTGCCTGTCCGCCCGCTCAGTGGTGTCAATACCTGGTATGTAGCATGTTGCGACCTTGCACACATCTTCTTGTCAGATATGACCAGTTGCCAGTCGTCAACGCTGTCGGTTTTTGACTCGGCATGCCTTGCATGTCTCGGTCGCATGGGGATCCTGCAGAATATGAGCCAGGGCAGAGCAGGGCAGGGCTTTTCTGCCATTCGAGATTTCCTCTAGCGACACCCGATCTCCGAGGGCTGCAGTTCTCAACGCCGTCGCCGTGAAACGGTTTATGAGGCGTTATGGCTGGCGTGAGCGGGTTTTAGAGACTGTCCCTCTGGAACCACGGCACCCTACTCCGTACGCTTTGTGTTGAACATAAAATCTCCGGGTCGGGTATGCCATGAATACGACGCCGCCGCCATGAATTCCAAGACGCCGCCATGCCGCGGTGATGCTGAGAGCCCGGGACTAAAATAGGGTTACTACAGTGTTCATTCAAAGTCATCGTCCTGCAAGAACTTGTCCGGTCGACCCAGTCGAGCTGGACTCAACGGAGTGAGAGGCTCTATTAGACTCACTCCGCCCGCTCCGGCGCCACCACCACCTCCTCCTCCCAAGAGACTGCTCCTCCTCCGGCCCCTGCTGTCGGTTTTCTCCAACGAGTTCATCTCCTCGACAGTTTCGTCCTCGACATCGACTGACGACTCGACCGGCCCTTCGAGCTCAAGTCGTCGCGTGGCACCACTGAATCCTCTTTTCCGCGCTTCGCCGAGCTTCATTCGCACGGCGAGGCGCAGTTGCTCGAGGTATTCCGCCAGATCGTGGAATTGTTTGTGCGACTCGCTGTGTCGGGTCTCGCCGTAGAGCTCTTGCGCCTCGTCAAGCTTCCCTGCGGCGATTTCTGCTCGACCCAGTTTCATCCACTCGTCTGCGGCCATGATACTCCACAGCGCTGCTTTCCGCTTGCGCGTGCCCCAGCTGGTATTACCGATGCCGATCCGGTCTGCGAGACAAGAAGCCACGCGCTCACTGACCAGGACATGACCGATGCTGCCGACCAGGCTCAACTCGAGACTCCTCGTGGCCCATTTGGCCGCCAGTTCGCTCGCCGCTCGTCCGCGCACCTTCAAAAGCTCTACCCCGAGCAAGATGGCGCGCAATGCCAAATGTGGAGCATTACACCGGGCCAAGTACGAATAGCTCGCTGTTTCCAGCATGGTGTCGAAATTCTCGACCTTGAACTTGGAACTGCCACTGTTGGTCAGTGGGTTCAATAGTGTAGCGATGCAGCACATTTCGTTCGCTCCAGCCAAGTGCTTCCATGCCTTGTCATTCGAGTAGTCTCCACGGAGTATCTCGTAGGTCGAGGCTGCCAGTTTGTAATCGCGTAGCATAAATGCATAGTCAGCTAGCTTCCGCAACAGGCTCTCCGGAGCGTCGTATCGGTATGTTCCTTGCAGGCTGTCATAATTGCCGCTGGTACTGACATTCGACGTGGAAGATGAGCTTCGAGACGAGCCACCAATGCTTGTCCATCGCTTCGACAGCGACATGAATCGGCCGGAAATCCCGCGGCGTCTCGCGGCAATCTGCTCGTTCCACAAAGCGATTCTTTGCTCCATGTGGTAGATGACAGATTGGGCGATGAGCTCGCGCACAAATCCCCGCAGCGCCGTAGTGTCCGAAGAGAAGATGTACGGTGATGTGGACGTGTCCAGGTCGATGAGGTCTGCCGTGTCGTCCAATAGGGCGAGCTGCTCATCCGCCGAAAGCCATTCACTGGTAGGAAGTTCTTCAGCGTCGTCGTCGGACTGCGTGCACGAGGCCGACCTCAGCCGGAGAAGGTGGCAGTGGAGGCCAAAATGGCGCTTCATCTGGTCGAAGAGGGCGGAAGACTTGGCGAAGTCATCTCGGTCTTCGTCGTGCACGAGGACATAGTATCTCAGATATTCCGGATTCGCGTAAGCAGGCAACGCTCGTGACCCCGATGCTGACTGCTGATAAAGAGTGCGGAGGGTCTCGATCGGCTGGTTCGTGGCTGAACTGATGGCGATGACAGCCCCGACCGGATGTCGAAACGACTCGTGCGCGCTCATGGATTGGGAGCACAAGAGTCGGCCCAGGAACAGCCGGTAAAAGGGCGACGCCTCACCCCGTCCTGGCACGTCTTCTGCCTCGTTGAAGCCTTCACCCACATAGTGTTCCATCAACTCCTCCACCTTCTCTGTGGCGTCGGACTCTGTCTGTGAGGATGCGCCATCTGTGGCCAGCTTGCCGAGGTCCGCGAAATGGACGCCGAAGTCTTCCCACGCTCGACTTGCGCCTGTACTGTCTCGCACCACGACCTTGCCGTTGATCCTATCGCCGAAAGGCCGGACCAGGCCCAAGAAACCTTTCTTCACACCCTTCCGGGTCGCGAGTTCGTCGACTTCTGGGGAAGCGTAGATTGCGACCGTGGGTGAAAAGGCCCGCACAATGAGCGATCTCGTGTCGTCATATGTCTCTGACGGATTCCCCAGTGGACTATGCGTTTGCGAACGTCCGAACCGTGAGAATGATAACGACAGTCTCCCGTTGGGAGAACTGGAGCGGGATAGCGCTCCGGAAAGAGTGCTCGTCCGAGAGCCTAAGGCGGGCGGACTCGATGTGCGGAGAGGGAGACTCGTGGTGGAAGTCTCGGGTGATTCATTTCTCGCGGGTGATCTTGACTTGGGCACCTCGAGGGTCGGTATCGACGTAGAGGACAGGTGATTTGGCGACTGAAGAGGGTCTCCATCACTCAACGAAGAGGTCATGGACAACGCTGGATATAGGTCGGCGGTAGGGAGTCCTCCGGGGTGGCATGAGGTGTCGATTGGTTGGGATCGTAGGGCAGGGCTATTGACACATCAAGGCGCGATCATGCTGGCTTCTCTGGCAGTGTATGTCTAGGTGCGTCCTCAAAGAATCCGCCGGCGCTGGGCGTTGCACAAAGCACGGAGAGATGATGGAGTCGGCATAATTGCGGCAGGCCAATTTGCGCATATGTATGAATGGTTCTCCGTGCTCCGTTGAGCGGGGCACATAGGCCATGACGCAATTGAGCTGGCAGTCCTGATGGTTCCACCAGCTGCCACAAGCCGAAATCATTCATCCATGCTGCACGCCTTGATATGGCCGACTCTCTTTACGCCCTGGCCTATCAATAATCTTAGCTGCCGATGACTGTTCGGTCGCGCTCCACCAAGAACTCCAGAACTTACACCACAACCTGGGAAGGGGTCGTTGTTACGCCGCGCCTACCTTGAGCGTCGCACCAATCGTAGGGTGTAATTCTATAAATTTGTCTCATCCGTGCCACGAACAGAGAGACCGATATTAATCTAACCATATCACGAGAGCCCAGGCTGAACGAGGAGCACGTCCCTGCAAACCCTTCAGCCTCCGTGTAAGTTATCGACTCGATACCGTTTCCGCCTACAATCTGCCTGTTGTACCAGTCTCGGGCTTGAAATGGACCTCCGACAGCACTACCTCGACTACATCTCCGCCATCAACGACGGATGCAAACCCGGCGCTCTAGATCCGTTTGTCCATGAGGGCGTGGTCCACAACGACTCCCCGCCACTGTCTGTGGCTGATTATGCCAAGAACATCACCGACGCTCAGGCGTCATTCTCGGATTTGAGCTTCAATATCGAGAGGATTGTCGTGGAGCCCGACGGGGACCAGGAAGGGTTCGGCCACCTCGCAGTTCGGATCAGCCTGGCGTTCCGACCGACCCCGGGGCAGGAGGAGACATTCTATGAGCATGTCTTCTATCGCCTTGAGGCTGGCAAAATCAGACGCGTGTGGAGTATGTTGGATGGGGCTGGGCTGAAGTGGGCTGAAGAAAGGGCAAGCGCAGGGAACTAGGGGCGTGGCTCTGGGTATCAGGAGTCGGGAGGAGAGCTTCAAGCTTGTCCTTGGTCCGAAAGAAGTCACGTTATATGTATTCTGCATTCGCGGCTCTATGGTCTTTGATTTGTGGTGAAAGGACTGTTCGGCCTCCGCTTTCGCTTGGTATAGTCACGGCCTTCCTGGTAGCTTATCGTGAGCGTGAAATTCACAGTCTCGAAGCTACCCGATCTTGTTTGACGGCACCGGATTGGTCTGGCGCTCTAGGTGCCTACCTTCAGCGCTCGTCTTTCACAAGGCTGTGAAGGAAAAGTACCTTACGATTTTCGGTGCATGACCGTAGCAGAAGCCTGAATGACATCTGTTAGCCATGACATACCACACGCTTGGATATATCTCTCGTATCTCAGCACGACACCAGACAGCACGCCTTTGCGCGGCAGGCCAGCTTCACAGATCAACAGAACTCAAGTGACTCACCTGGTGGTTCGGAAAGATTAACGAGTCCGCGAGGACCACGTTTTCCCTCCTTCCAGCGGCAAACACGACCACCTCGGCAATGTCATCTGGCGTCAAGGGCTCGACTCCCTTGTAGACGGCGTCCGCCTTGGACTTGTCCCCGTAGAAGCGGACGACGGAGAACTCCTACCAAAGATGTCAGTCATCCGCCTGCATGAGATACAACACATGCATTCGGGAAGAGTGCGGTTCGACTGTTGGAGTCGGGGGACGACCATGGACCTACCGTCTCAACCTGGCCCGGATCAACCTCGATTATCCTGATCCTCGAGGCGATATACTCCCGCCTCAAGCTGTCCGTGAACGTCCTGACAGCGGCCTTGGTGGCACAGTAAATACTTCCTCCAGGGTACCCTTCACGTCCTGCAATGCTGCCAATCATAATGATGTCGCCCCGCCCACCAACATCCTCGCCATTGTCACCTTTCTTGGCCTTCATGATCGGCAAAATAGCCTGAGTCATGTTGATCAGCCCGGTGACATTGGTGGCAAACATGATCTCCATGTCCTCCGCCTTGATGTCGGGTGCTTTATCCACACCCTTGACCAGCCCGGCATTGTTCACCAGGACGTCGATGTCCCTCCACTCCTCGGGCAGGTTAGGCACGAAGTCGGCGACTTCCCGGGGGTTCGAAATGTCCAGTTTCACAGGCAGCACTTTTACTCCGTCGCCGACCTCTTTCTGTATATCAGATGCGACTTGTTTTAACGTGTCAATCCGCCGCGCCGTGAGGATGATCTTGAGGTTCTGCGGCGACGTGCGGGCGAACTCTTGGGCGATGGAGCGGCCAATGCCAGAGGAGGCGCCGGTCACGAGGATGGTCTTGCCGGAGAGGCGCTTGCCCATCGCATTGAGAGAGGACATCTTGCGGATCGTTCTCCAGATATGTTGGTTGCTTCGGCGTGAAAGGGAGAGTGGGAGGAAAGGGTGCGGGGAAGTCGTCAAAGGGACCCGAACGGTGGCAGCGGCGAGGACACTGCGTGGGAGTCTCGGGAGGATCGAAGAAAGAGAGGGCGGCATGTACGGAAGGCACAAGAGAATAAGAAAGGAGATCAGGATGTGGACACCGTCACAATATGAGTAAAGAGGTTGTGAGACTCAGGTTTCGTTGGAGACTCGGTCGGCTAAATGGCGAGCAACGGCCGTGGACGGTGCAACAGCCGAAAAGCTGCGGTGAAGCTGCCGTCAGGCCAGGCGGCGGTCATCGAAGAGGCGAAGCCGACGGCGTCGAAAGCCTTGATATGCTTGCTTCCTACAATACCACTATTGCGCGACTTGTCCTCATGACGAAGCAGCCACCCACTCTATATCCAATTCCACGGCCACGGAAAACGGTCATTCCACGTATATGTTCTCAGCATGTCTCCTTTATAGCCACTGCTGAGGTCTCCCAGCTGGAAAGCGCACGAGATCTCTCGGGAGGAAATCAAACGCACACTTGCGAGACATGACATAGGCTCATAGCTTCCATAGCTCCTCATAGCTGCCCATAGCTCCTCGTAGCTCCCTTCAGATAACTTTCTTCGTAACGCCGGATGCTTCCCTTCCTGAACCTCGAGACGGACGCCAAGTAGATAGGGCTCATCCAAAGTACGTGAGCGCCGGCATCTGGGACGCGACGAACCCGGGTCATACGCATTGCTCGTGCGTTATTAGCTCCTTGCACGTTCTCAGTACCGAGAAACTTCTGTTCCGGACAAAAGCACCCAGCCATCGTCTCACAGGAATCCTGACTCAGATAGAAGTCTCGTAATTTTCTCCTCTTCTCGCTCCCGTGGTTCGATCTTGAGACTTTGTGCGAACATGTCGTCGTCCGACGTGCCCGCATTCCTCATGTTTTCTGCAATCCACTCCTGCAGTTCCGGTACCGGGTTGAGCGCGTAGGGCACGTTCTGATACTGCTGGATGTCCCGAATGACTTCGGCGGTTTTGGTTCGTTTGGCGAAGTTGATCAAATTCGTACCCTTGATGTGTGATGGGATACCGTCCTCGATAAAAGTCAAATCCGTCAGATAGACGCCCAAGAAGGGAATGCACGGAGGAGTCGCCACTCGCAGTGTTTCTCGATATTGGAGAAAGTTCTTCCCCGATGCTATCAAGTTGCGCATCCCTTCGAGCATGGCATTTGTCTTCGGGTTGACGGCCTGCCACGTTCGACCCAGGCGGACGATATGAGAGGTGCCGAGCGCCGAGATGATAGCGGTCACCGAAGAAAAGTTGTTCAACCCGCGACATTGCTGTCTGTGTCAGTTTTCGAGCGAGGCATCCAGAAACGATCAAACTCACCTCGGCGATCTGCACAAAATGCTTGATGATAACCACTCTCTTCTTAACCTCAGTCTGTGACAGAATCATGGCCGAAACCCAATGCGTCAGCTTGTTAGAGTGGTAGATGAGAGCCTTCACATTCGGGGCCGTGTCACTGGTGTCCGAGTTGCCCTTCCTCTCCCACGTCTTCGCCAGACATTCAACAGGTTTGATCTTGCCATATAGCTTCGACTCCATGATGGTCAGCTGTCTCGCGAACTCCTTGGCGTCAATGTCAAGGAATTTCAGCTTCTTCATGTTCTTGGGCAGAATAGGCGGCGGCGCGGAGTTTGTCAACGTCAAGACGAGCTTCTTGGACAATGCCTCTCCTCCTTTCAGTCGCTGTTCGGCGGTGGCCGTCAATGCCTTCGCCAACGGAATCTTCGTCGTTGTGTAGGTGCTCTTTGCAAATGCGAGCATTCTTTCAAGCAACGCCTGACTTTGAGCATCGTCGTGCTCCATCCAGTACTGCTCCAGCCAGGTTTTCATGATGTTCAGCACTCGGAATCTGGCGGGTTTTTGTTTGTGCTCTTCCCAGATGGAATGCTCGTCGCGCGTGAGGCCCGCAGGCGGCTGGAGGTTGAAGCGTCTTACCAGAAGCTCGAATAGCTCTGCAGCGGTTGTAAAAGAACGATAAGTGAGCAAGAAGGTAGTTGTAAAAGTCGTATCTGGCCGGTCATGGCGGGTAAGTTGCTCGACAAGCCCAGTAAGCGTCCCGCTCTTGACTTGAGGAGGATCGTTCTTGGTGTCATAAGTGATTTCGCCTGCATGGTCAAGTTGCAGATACCATGGCACTTCTTCCGCAGGGAAGCTCGGGTCAATATTCGTCTTCAGCTGACTCAGGTTTGGCGGTATCTGCCCAAAGAATTGTCTCGCCTTGTCCTTTGTCCCCGGGCGACGCATTTTATCTGCTGGATCTTCGCCGAGAGTGTATGACTTCGACTGACCTAGGTCTCCCAACGCTGGCCGTAGGTTGGCTCCATGCCTGGAGTCGGCTCGAAGATGGTGTGTTTGATATGTTTCGCCCCCATCTGTCACGCGTTTCTCCCGCTTGTCGGTCGGCACTGATGGGTTGAGAGTGGTTGCAGGAAGCAAGAGCTCGAGTGCGTATCCCAAATTGGACACGTGAGTATCCAGCTGTTTGCAAGCCATCCGGACGTTATTGATTCGAGTATCCAAAGACTCGCCACGCACTTCTGCCCACTCGTCTGGAAGCGGCATGGTAACAGCCTGGCATGTTGCCACCAATTCGCCGATTGAGTCGTAAGCTCTCTGCTTCTGAGAACCAAAGTCGACCAATGACGGTTTTTGAAACACATTTCCCAGCGCAGATAGATCGATAGACTCGACGTTACTGATCCAGGGTCGGAACTGTTCCAATATCGCGCCAGCAGCTTGGCACAAGGCGTCTCCGATCGCGGATTGCCGCGCGGGCGTCACAATCTTCTCGTTCAGGACCAGGTTCTCTTCCAGACGACGGATTGCAGCCGACAGGTTCTTCTTGGCTTCTTCGATACGACGCAGGAGATTTGCATCGAGCGGTTCTGAAGGGCGAGACAGCGACTCATCGCTGGAGTCCATGAACGAAACCTCGTCCAACTTTGTCTGGTTGTCGATGTTGTTGTCCCGCCAATGTCCGCCGACGGTGCTGCCCAAGATGAAGCCGGGCACCAATCGCGGTATTTCTTCTCCTCTCTGCTGCCTTGCAACCTCGACGTAGCCGTACACGCCATTCATCACCCCCTCGGCCTCTTGTAGACATTTCGTCAGCGCATCCGGGCCCGCCCATTCGGCGGCGGCAATGTGGGAGGACAGGACGAGTTTTGAGAATTTTGACATCATCTCTCGGAAATGAGGGTAGAGCGCCTTGTTCGACGAGATGATGGAGGGATTGCCCGAGTGGTTGTCTGTTGTGCCTGATCCTGCGGCAAGCAACATGCGCAGATGGTCGGAAATGTCCTCTGCTCTTCGCACGTACTCGGCTCGTGCATGTGTCCGAATCGCATGCCGGTATGCCTCGATGGCGGTTTGCATGTTGTCCACCAAGCTGTTCCACGTTACGGAAGCGGCCCCGGCGTCTTCCAGGAAAAACCGTGGCGTCGGTGATTTTGACAATCGGGGCGGCACTCCGGCAATAAAGGAAGTGTCGGTCGGCCGCAGGGGAGGGATTGCCATGGAGATGCTTGCCTGTCCGAATGTGGATGTGAGAGAATTGACTGATTGATTGCCCGGCTGCCTGACAGCCGTGCCGCTGATGGAATCCATGGAAGTGGAGGTTGAGATGCTGCCAAAGGTCGTCGAACCGGACCCTTTCTTGTGTGAAGAAATAAATGATTGCTCGCCGTCGGCCTCTGACGCAGACCCATCATAGTCCTCCTCGTTGCCGAACCCTCCAGCCATCATCTCTGGAGGCGGTCTAGTCTGCTCAGGCACATGAAAATGATTGCGATCACGCGGCCCTGTCTCATCGGCACTGGAGGGTGTCTCTAAGGGCAATTCCATGGTGCTGACACCAGTCAAGGTGTTGAAATAGAAAAGTCTGCCGTCCGGAGTCGCCTGAGGGACCCAGAACGCAGCCTCCTCCTGGCTCTGGCTATGTCCTCCCTCGATCGGCAGATCCGAATCCTCATCTTGAGTGTGCACGTCCGAGTCTTCCTCCTCTTCGTCATAGTCCTCCTCGGTCCCTGAACCAGTCTCACTTCCGTCCGGGCCGGCGAGACCTGCCTCGCTCAGCTCGTCCATACTGGTGATCTCTACGGTATAGTTGCTCGGGAACCAGCCCCGGACATCGTTGATCACTCCATCCCACCAGCCACTCTCCAACTGCGTCAATACCTGGATGATGTCGCCTTGTCGGAAGCTCAAGCTTGTGTGGTCGTCGGCTTCGTAGTTGTACAAGGCGCGGACGAAGATGGGTGGGGGAGGCGGAGGGACGTCGGTGCTGGCCACATAGCTGCTCATGGCGGCCTGTTGGGCACGCCGGCGCGGCGAGAGGCTGCTCATGCCACCGTGATGGAGGTTGGAAGACATGGGGCGCGACGGTCGGCTCGGCTCTGTGTACTGAAAGGCGGCGGCAAGGACAGAGCCTGATTTGGCTGAGGGCCCTTGCAACGACGGATCTTGTGCTACCCGGCGCGAGGTGGACATGTCACCGTCTTTGGCCGATGCTGGAGCGGGCACTGAAGGACGAGATGTTGCCTGTCAAAGCGCAGCAGGGCAGACAGGCTCCGCATATTCGAGCGCTGCGACACGGATGGGCGATGCGGTGGCGGACCAAGAGAGGGTCATCGACGCGGAACGCACAAGCAAAGGTCAGCGGTAGGTTACAATACTGGAAGCTCGGCACGTCGTCTGGCTCGCGGTGGAAGGGCAGGTATGCGATTCTCAAGTGTGAAAGACGGCGGTTTGCGGTCTGTAGCACAAGTACTGCGCTTTTGATCTATCCCGTCTGTGGATTGTGAGAGGAAAGGGAGTGGAGAGACTGGTCGACATGGGCGCCCGATTGGAGGCCCGCAAGCCTTGAGAGGGGCACAATCCCCAGCACCATCAGAAGCGTTCCCAAAACTGCCAGGGCCATAGGCTGACCGGACAGGCCTCGCTAGCGGCTATCTGCACGCAGTTGTTGGTGGACACAAGCGAATGTCTGGTGAGCGTGGGATGGATGAAACGCATATCAGCACGTTGGATGACCGAAGGCTGCGAGGACGTCTCTCTCGGCCGTCCTATTTTCTACGAGCACAGCAAGGACAGATACCTAAACACGGGAACATGACGAGATGCCCCAGATGCAGTGCTATGTATTGCACAAGGGCCACGACGGGCTTTTGCTGGCTCGCCTGTGCCGCCTCGGGGGCTGCTGTGTGACATTCGGAGCACCCAGTCCCTCAGCTTACTTTAGCTCTAGGCGAGCCCGTAACCTCACCCCGGGCATCAGCATCACACCACCGAGGCCACCAAGGAGGCCCGGGACTGCCCTGCCCTTCTGCTCGAGGTCGGCTTTGGTGCTCGTCACTACCCCTCATTCCAGGTATTTCACAAGACACGGGCCAAGAGGGCTGGAAGACAACGGCGCGGAGCACGTCTTGGTCGCGGTTTCAGGGTCAACAAAGACGACGCGTTCGCCTGAGCTACTCCCAATCTAACAGCGGTGTACTCTGGATGTGTATCTCGGGGCAGAGTCGTGCGCCGTGTCTCGGAATTGACTTCGCCTAGTCAAGCCATGACATGATTCAAGAGGACGGGAGACATGCCTTTGTCCGTGTTCGAGCTCTTGACCACCTCTTGATGTACGGGGTACACTCGTGCTGAACTGGGGCATTGCTCGTGTGCTACTGATAAGACTAAACGAGCATATTCGTACGTCTACACGAGGCCTTTCACGGGGAACAAGAAGCATTCGGACGGGCAGCTGCCGCATGCAAACTCGTCTTACTGTAGCAAAGGATGGTGTAAAGATTATCACCTACACAGTACGAATAACGTCGAGCCCATCCAGGGCGTCGCCCGCAACATCTCCTTGCCGGTCACTCTCCTAGGAATATCTGAGACGTTCTGTTTTCGGCGTAGAATTCCCGCAGTGTTCAGTACACGGTATGTACTCCGTAGTTGTGGCTTGGACGGCCAGTCGCCTATGTCCGAGAACACACGCATTACTCAGGACCACTGTACATACGCCTGGGTGACATACACGCTCGAGACCAACCAGTGAGTTTACGTTAGGCCACCAGATCGACGAGAATGCAACCTCCACCAAGATTCTCTCCGCAGTCGGTGTCGATATCCGTCGTTGCTTCATCTCAGCCGCCATCTGTGAGATTGCAGCCTAAGCCAAGCACCACGCTGATCAATTGTAAATGTGACAAACCATACACCTGTTTGCCACAGGTTCTTTGTTTCTGGCGCCAGAGGACAGCATAAGATAGATAAATTGGTTGCGAAGGCAGCCAGTCACTCGGGGCGGGGCACCAGCCGATACTCTGAGCTTCTGCACGCCTTCAGGATGACTCCAGTCCCTGTCCATGTAGGAATCATTGGTGCCGGCATGGGAGGACTTGCTGCGGCCATTGCGCTGCGTCGAGGCGGCGCCAACGTCACCATTCTCGAAAGCGCCACTGAACTAGGTGAGAAAGGGGCAGGCATTCAGATCTTCTCGAACATATCGAAATACCTCATCCGATGGGGCGTCGACGAGATCATCGGCGACAACTTGGTCCAAGTGGATGAGGTACGGACATGGGGAGTCGACGGAGAGGTCGTCACCAGAGTCGATCCCAAGCGAGTTCACAAAATTGCCGGTTTCCCACACTTGATTGCTCGGCGAGATCATCTGCATGCTGGTTTCACCGAGTCTGCCCGTCGCCATGGTGTTGACATCGTCGTGGGAGCGCGAGTGGAAGAGCTCGAGTACGCGGAAAGGTCAGCAACGGTTACCACAGCCTGTGGTGCTTCTTACACATTTGATCTGGTGGTCGGCTGCGATGGCATCAAATCGACCATCCGACAACGCCTCTTCCCAGACGTCAAGCCACAAGCGCCGTCAAAAGTCGCCGCGTACAGGGGCGTCCTCACCTACGACGAGATCAGAGCTAAAGCTCCAGAAGCCGCGTCTGTGCTTACCAACACCATGGATATGTGGACGGGTCCGAACGGCTACATCATGACCTACCCGCTCTCGGGTGGCAAGGAGCTCAATGTTGTCACATCCTTTTGCAAAGACTACTACGTGGAGAAGACGGAGGAAGTCGACATTGATGAGTTTAGGGGATACTACAAGGACTACAGCCCCGCCATTCAATCCATCATCAGACTGGTCAATTACACGCAACGGTGGCCTCTCCTGATCATGCCCTTCATGGAACGGTGGTCGAACGAGTTCCGCAACGTCGTTCTGTTGGGAGATGCCGCCCACTGCATGCAGAATCACGTCGGTCAAGGCGCAGCGACAGCTATTGAAGACGGGGTCTTTCTGGGCCGCGCCGTCAGTGAAGTGGTCCGCGGCACGATCACAATACCGGAAGCCGTATCCATTTACGAGCAGAAAAGAATCCCCCGCGCGTGGACAAAGCAACAAGTCTCGTTCGTGTCGGGCGAGTTGAATATGTGCTCTGACCCAGAAGATCTCCGGAAGCGGAACTCATCGTCGCTTCCGGAAGTCCAGGATCTCAAGGAAGACGAGGCCAGGCGCAGCTTCCCACCACTGCCGCCCGAGTATCGCTCCTGGCAGATGTTCGACTCCCCAGACAGTGTCCCAGGCATCTTCTACTATGACGCGGAAGGCGACGCTGACAACGCAGTGTGCGAATTCCTGCAAACAAGGGATCGAGAAAACGGCGCTGTAGATGGTCTAACTATGGTGAGTCGGGCTTTGAGAAGAAAATGGTGGGCTTCTCTGGACTTCAACGGGGTTGTTGCAGTATAACATCGGCGTCAAGCTCCTAGGCACCGGACGGTCGATCTCACGAACGCCCTCGAGTCGTGGCAGTCGGTGGTGCTGGCTTCTGGCGCTCTCAGCAACGGAAAACTGAAGTGTTTTATGAATACGCCTTGTCGAAGCATGCATCTTGAGTCTTGGACTGGTCTACGACAAAGGTTCTGAGCGCTGAACGCATGGAAGCTTCACAGCCTGCAGCGCCTCCATCCGTGATTTAATACCCTTTCGATGCATTCCATACGGACAGGGATCTTTGGTCCTGCACCAGAAGCGCCAATCAAACCCAACCACTGCCGTAGACGTCGTCTGGCTGACCACAACTATCTTGCGCTCCATGGCGTATTGATATATCTGTCGCAGGGCCTCTCGGAATCAAAATCTGACAGCAAACACCTTTCAAATGCGCCACATATCAATGGTCGTCCTCAAGGATCTGCGGCTTCGGGAGCACAATTCAGTCCCGTGCGGGCTATAACATCAATCCAGCAGACACACAAAATGAGACATCAAGCTGTTTCCAACACACTCCTTTGGATCTCTCTCAGCGCTCAATCCGGCTGCTCGAAGTGTCGCCGGATCTTTCTCCTCAGGGGAGGATTCAATGTCACTTAAAGCACTCTACCACGAGCTCTGGTTACCAATATTTATCTCTCCTTTCGCTGGGGACCGGCCGATAAGGATCAGCCTCGCCATGTCATCGAAACCAACGGAGCGCTATTCAACGCCCTCTCCAATCTCCGGGCCTTTCTGGAAGCGTAGGCTGCAAACGACGGCTTCGTCCAGATCTCCACAGATATGGATCGATGCTCTCCGTATCGATCAAGCGGATATACTAGAGCGCAAGTAAGTTGTCCTTCTCGGTGCCTAGCCGTTCTTACCCCAGAGGTCAAACTTGGACTCCAGCCTCGTCATGTCGCTGACACCTATCCCAAGCCATCAAGTCCGGAACACGGCCGTGATCTATAGCTAAGCTCAGCGAGTCATTGTCTGGCTCGGCACTGGAGACGAAGGCCAGAAGAAGGCTCTCGAACAATTAGGCAGCCACTCTCCCAGCGTACAGGCACCAGGAGAATTGGAATCCCTACTTGCTCTCTGTGAAAATGATTACTGGGACCGCATTTGGATTGTACAAGAAGTGATACTGGCGAAGAAGCTTCTGTTGAAGTACGACAATCAGAAAATCCCTTGGAGTAGCTGGCTTATCCTCCATCGCAAACAGCCTTATCTCCGCGTGGTGGAGGATGTATTACAGCAATGCGACGAGGCTGTCAAGGAGTGATTCAACCGGTGCAGAGGAAGAGTCATGGTCTTGGAACAATACAAGTTTCGGGAGAGGAAACAGCAATTCAAGTTGAGCGAACTTCTTGCGACTTTTGGACAGTCAAAGTGTGCCGATATTCGCGACCGCGTCTTCGTGCTCCTCGGTCTCTGCGAAGAAGGTGTAAAGGGCGTGGTTCAAGTCGATTACTATGTGGATATCCCATCCCTGTTTTGGCGCACCGTGTCATCCTGTTTCGCGGAGTCCATTGCGGATGCGGAAATGCTCGCCACAGTCCTGGAACATGGTGACTCTTGGTTCCCAAGTGACTCTCCAGGCTCGACAATCAACTTCAGCATTTGTCGGTTCGGAAACCCTCATGTGAACTTGGAATGGACCCAAAGTGCTTGCAAAGGGTTAACCGACATACCCAGGGGAGAGCATCTCCTGTTTCTGGCAGGGTCAGCCCAATGTCCTCCCGACTTTGTTAATTTTGCGCGGTACCTCTATACCAGACTGTCCCAGCAGCACATTCGTCCACCAGCGGATCAGTTGCGTAAGACCAAGGCCGCCGGACAGGAAGGTGGGACCCATTGTCTATTTCGACCAGCCGCGTTCAAAAAGTATGGATTTTCTCCTCCGACGACTCGCGGACCAAGCCGGCTGTTGCTCCAGACCCTTCCGGAAGGCGCTATGTTATAGCGGAAGAGCATTTATCTAGAGCCCTTTTTGATTAGGTTGGGTTACATTGATTGATCAACAAAGTCGTATACAGCTAGCTATGTCCCAGATACAATACTATCTAGGTCAGTATATAGCGGAAGAGCATTTATTCAAGGGCTCTTTGACTAGGTTGAGTTACCTTGATTGACGGACTGACTGATTGATTTGATCGACCAAGTCGTACTCTGTACTCTGTACACAGCCAGCAATCTCCCCCGATACACTATATACCACAGATGTATGTACCATGACGGCGCCACATTCAGACAGACACGACACTCACGCATCATAAACCGCCCTGTCAGGCCAGGAAGTCGGCTGGCTTTTACAGAATTGCAGGATAGTAATGCATAAATTACAGAGTACTGGACAAGAGTACCATCAAGGCCACTTACAGTACCAGGTATTTCCTACTGCTGAGATTGGCATTTTCATAATGTTTTGACACTGTCCCGCCTACCCACCTACCTACCTGCCTACCCACTTACTTACCTACCTTCCTGCAACCTGGTACGTGATCGCACAGAGGAAGATGCTCGGTGGGCATATACCGTATCACGGTAGCCCCGTCCAGAGTATTACCCTCTGATGTGTCAGAGATGGTCCAATGATCACAAGCGACAGTGACAGACGAAAGCTTCGGTAAATGTTATGCATATCATTAAGTAAAGGGTTCTTCTTGTTTCTTCACAGATTCAGCCTAGCTCGCTCTGCTCGCCCTGGGCTGGACCGTGCACCATCGCACGCATGACCACGCGTTGCCAGGCCATGGCATATTGCGGCAGATAGCCTGGGTTCTGCTTGGAAGAACTATCAAACATATCCCTCCCACATCCACCCAGCCGTCCCGCTCCCAAACCATCCATTTCAGCTAGTATACAGAAGAGTCGAAAGACTCAAACACACATCGGCCGTTTCTTAGTCTCAAGTTGAAAAGGTTGCAATGAGTAGAATGGTCATGAAACGCCAGGACAACCCTGCTGGCGGTGTTGAGAGCTGCCCGGAGCACGTTGTTGTGCTCGAGCAGAAAAGAGTCGTCAAATAAGGAAAGAGCCGAAGTCTTGCATTGGATAAGCGCACAAGGTATCAAGTGAGAAGATTAGGTTGTATGTTGCGTGGTTGTGGGAAGATCGCGTCGAGTAGGTGACAAGGAAAATGGTCCAAATTACCCCGTCGTTCTGACCGGGGTTAGGTATGAGTGTTGCGGCCGTGGGATGTGCTGAAAGCAAGACTTCGGGGAAAGAGTCGAAAGCCGAAAAGGCTGAGCGCAACCGCCATGCTCGTGAACGCCGTGATCTTCCAGTGAGGCCGCCGATTCGCCATGCAGAAATATGAGAGGAGTGTGTTACAAAGGAAATTTAGTATGCTGTTTCCATGCCCATCAATGTCTGGTCCGACACCTGGGGCATGCCAGTCATGGAGTCCATATTGATTTCGTCCACGTAGCCGACCAGTGCTTGGGAATGCAGCTTGAACGATTCGCCCATGGTTCTCGAGATGCTGTGCAGAAGTTAGCTTTGCCGACACAGAACTTGCAATTCGAACTCACCCCCAGACGACGACTCCGTCGAGCATTGAACCCCAGACTCGGGCCACCATGGAGCTCAAGCGAGATCCATTCGAGTCCACGGCATCGTCATCAAACAAGCCGCGCACTTTCATGTACATTGACAGTTCCTCGTCCGTGGCCTCCTGGTCGTCGTGCTCAATGCGATACAGCCACAAGCTCAATATGGTGATGAGGTCAAGACCACAGAGGGGATGTTCGATGCTCCAATTCGTTGATGATGTCTTGGTGACCCAGTTGACGCCTTGCATAGCGACGATCTCAATGCATTCGTAACATTGCTCGATGACCTTGATCATTTCCTTGGTTCTCTTGACGGCGTCTCGGGACTGTGTCATGGCATTGGCGATCTCGTACGAATTGTGGTATCGCAAAGCCTCCTGGACATTCTTAAGGTCCACTTCAAGGAAAGCTCTTGTGTTCCGGTAAACAGCCATTGAGTTGAAGATTAGTGGATGGCTCTTATGTGGCGTGCTCAAGGGTACAACAATGGTCTCTGGTTCGCAGAGGTCGAGTGATCGCTCCCAGGTTTCGAGGGCGATTCGAATCTTCCATTCCAGAACGACGTCTTGCAACGATTCGAAGCTTCTCCTGAGATTCCAGACTTCCAAGAACAAGGCATTGATCATAACCCGTGTCGCGAAAGCGCTGTACCGAGCGGCGTCTCCCTGGAAAAGGCTGTCATGGGCTTCGCGGACGGTAATGGTCGGTGATGCTGCAATGATGTCTTGCCAGGAATCTTCGTCGCTAGGTTCAATGTTCCACAAAGACTCGGATGAAGGCAGAGGCAGTGAGTCAAATTCATTGAAGCTGATGGCTGGCGTGTGGTTGTAAGTCAAGGTGAGCATACCGAAGAAGATGTAGACAGCGTAGTATGTTCGTCGACATCCCTCTTCGGTGACCCACTCTTCGTGTGTGGGCGGAGCTCCTGCCCGGGCATCAATTCGAAGCTTGAGTTCGTATTTATTGCCAGCAACCATCTATGAGGGTCAGCGCATCCAAACAAAGCGATGTCAAGATACTCACGTTAGCAAGCAGACTTTTGATCGAGCACGCCCATTCGAGACCCTGGGAACCGCCACTCCAGCTTTCAAAGACCATGTTCAAAAGCGTGCTCTGCATCGTCCACAGCGGGCATTTCCTCGAGTCGAAGTTGTCCTTGTTCTGAAGGAACTGGTTCACAAGTTTCTTGGACCCGTGGTGCAAAAGATAGGCCTGTTCCTGATCGAAGTTGTACAGGGCTCCGATGGAGAGTATGGCAAGGAGAAGCGCTGGCTCGGTGGTCTCGGGGCGGAAGCTGACCGGGTGGAGGAAGGGGAGATGATGATGGAAGAGGTTGAAGTAAGTAGTAAGGTAGAGGTTGATGGAGGGCAATGAGGGAAGGGCAATGTCCCCAACTAACTGGTTAGCAATGATAGCTCTCTCGTCTTCGTTGCTAATTTGGGGAGCTTTGGGTAGGGAAAGGGGTTGCGCCGGGCCAGGCGACTTGCGGTAATTCACTGGTGACACAGGACCAGTCATCGAAGGGAACGGCGAGAGCGCGTTAGGAGTGGGGGTCCCAGAGACAGGGAACGTGTCTGCCAGTCCAGGGAAGGCGGAAGGGAGTGAGGCCGTGAGCGAGTGGTTGCGCTCCATAATCGGTGGGAGTTGCGACTGGTGCGGCTGTATCGATCCCATGTGGACGTAGGGCGCCTGCGACAAATTGTCTTGCGACGACATGCTCGACATGGAATGCGCTTTTTGGTCCGAGGGTCCTTGGGGCATGAAGCTGTCCCAAGGCATGTGCGGCAAGCTGTTGGTGCCAGTGAGGTAGTCGGACGATTCGAGAAGCGAGCTGCGGTCTGGGGAGTAGCCAGGGATGGATCCTTCGCCGTTGTTCAGATGGCCGTTCGCTGCTGCTGCCGCCTTGTGTTGGAAGTCTGTCATCAACATGGCGGCAGTTTCAAGGTCGAGCATACCATCGCTGCTTGCCTCTATCTGCTCCAACGTGCCAGGATCGATGCTGATGGAGGGCTTCGACGGAGCAGCCGCCGATGAGGGCGTCGCCTTTGTCTCTGCGCCTGCACCTTTACCTGTCCCTGATGTTGTACTTGATTTCTTCTGCCGGCCTTCAGACTGAAGCGGCACACCGCCATCCTTTGCGTGTACGGTTCGATCGTGGCGTAGGAGCAGATCTCGGCGAACGAAGGTGCTGCGACATTTCTGGCATTTGAAGGGCCGCTCCTTGGTATCTGTCAAGGGACGAAGGGTTAGCCAGGTGTTTTATGGTTGATGGCGGGGTTGAGTCTCCCCTATTGCCCCACGTCGGTCGCAATAATAGACGGGGAAAAAGTAGGAAGATGGACTTACGCGATCGCTCGTGTCGGCTCCGATGTTCGCTGCGACTGAAGGCTCGATTGCAGTATTGGCACTTGTACTTCTTTTCAGGCGCCGAAGCAGCCTTTTTCGGGGTGTTCGTGTTCGCCGTCGCTGCGACGTGGGCAGCCTCAGCGGCAGTGGCGTCAGATTGGGCCATGGTGGGAGTCAAATGAGTACTACAAGCCCTCCAACCAGGCGCAAGCCTTTCGCTCGAAAATGAGTTGGTGTAGAGGTGTTGATGTCGACGTGACCATTCCGTGGGAGATCAGCGCAGGGCGATTAGAGAGGTGAGAGGGAAACAGTTTGACCAAAGATTGCAGCTGGCAGTGTGGGCTTGCTGCAACTCGACTCGCTGGCTGGATCGCTGGCTCGTTGGCTTGTCCGCGCGGTGAACGATGGGTGCGTCTCCGAGCCTCGATTGGCGAAAACCGCAGGCAAAAGTGGATCACGTGGGCATGCGTGAAGTCCAGATCGAGTATCAGCCGTGGCTGCAGGTGAAGCCCCAATATCCGTGAATATGGTGAATTGCGACAGGCGACGAGGGTGTTGTTACAACACGGGGCCGTGAAGGATGTGTGCGATGAAGAGAAAATCAAAACGAAGGAGGGGCAAAAGGAGGGAGGAAAGGAGGGAGAGAAACACAGAGGGGAGGCCGAGGGCGCTGCGAGAGAGAGGCGCTCAAAGATTCCTAGGCATCCCTCTCAGCCATAATCGCGCTGGGTTGCCCTCCCCTCCGAGAACCCTGGAGCCCCTGAGAATTACCACCGAGACCAAGTGATCACTGGCTGAGGGGCAACCCGAGCACCCAGAACGGACCCGCGTTGCCGTTATGCCTGGCGAGCTACTTTAGGGGAGCGGGTCTACCGGGCCATCCTTCCACCACTTCCAGTGCCACCGCTTCGAGAAGAGAAGAGGTCCCCTCCATGCCGAGTTCCCACCAGGACACCCATCAACATCCTTCCGGCAGCTTGCAACCACCAGACTGGCGTGCCTCTAACGTGATGGGAACTTAGTCCACCTGTCAGTGCTTGACCAGCCCACGATCTTATGGCCC